TTTCAGCAATCCGATTTTCACTCACCATATGAAATATGATCCTTATGAAATACAAGACAATGGTGAACGCAAGTATGGGGAGTGGATGTCGTGTGAGCACGCATTTGAAATTCAGGCAGGTTCCTTCTAAGCTTCCAACGTAAATGTGTCTCACTAAGCAAATTTATTTCTAGAGTCAACTGCCCACTGGCACATCTATAGTACCCATGATTCTGGCATCTGACAAGACCCCAGTAACGTGACACACAGGCTCACTCGAGATGCACCCCACATTCCTGACAATTGGGAACATCCACTCTGAAATTCGCATGAAGGCAACCTCACACGCATGGGCCTGCATCGCATACATTCCAACCCCAGAATATATCGTGAACCATGATTTCTCAGGAGTATTGGAAGTGCACCTCTGGCATAGGTGCATGGATATGGTCTTACAAAACCTGAAGGTCACAGCTCAAGTGGGCGAATTCATGACAGACCCGATGGGTTGCTGGCATTATGCATTCACACCACTTGCCGCCCACATTTCTGACCTTCCCGAGCAACTTATGATTGCATGTGTCTCGAAAAATGTCTCGCCTGTAACCCTAGCTGCACAAGCACAGTTTGACAATGGCATTGCGCACCCTCCCTGAGATGGCCAATCTACAATCAATGAGCTGATCGCACTCAGCAAAATCATAGATCCCTGGAAAGTTCAGGAATTTCTGGAGCAGGCAAAGCAACAATCACTCAGCGGTGTCCATCTCCCGTATTGGCATGACTGGCGGTTTTCTGACCCTGCCATTTTCCTCGTCCCCAAACTACTACACACATGCCACAAGTTTTTCTTCGATCATATATTGAAATGGTGCAAGGAGGTGGTAGGCACTAACAAGCTGGATGCTTGATTCCACAGCCAGCATAAACATGTTGGCATGCATCATTTCGCCAATGGCGTCTCTCATGTTAATCAAATGACCAGACATGAGCATTGCGATATCCAGCAAAGACTGGTCCCCACCATTGTGGGCGTGACTACCCCTGGATTTGTTTGTGCACTCCGCGCACTTGTAGACTTCATATATAAATCACAGGCTCCTACCTTCACTGACTCCTCCATTGGCAGCATGGTTGCCTCCCTCAACGAGTTCCATGCCCATAAACACTTCATCTTAGAGGTGGAGGCTCGCACAGGAGCCTCCAGCCCAATGGATCATTTCCAAATCCCGAAACTTGAGCTCTCTAATTCCTTTGCATGCTCTATCCATAAATCTGGCACTGTCATCCAACATTCAGCAGATGCCAGCGAATGGCTGTTGATCACGCACTGCAAGACACCTTTCACTCGGACAAGTCACCAAAGGAGCACGTTTACTCAACAGGTTGTCAATCTCATTAATCGTGAGGACACAATGCAACAATTTGACTTGTACGCCCTCCTTCATGAATGGGGGATCTCTCTCGTTAATGTTATGGACGAAGAGTTCAATGAAGTCGTTGATACCGATCCAACGTTCAGTTGGATAGCGCATGTTATGCCACAGGAGATGCACCATTTTCAGGCCATTCGACCCGTCCGCAATCATTTTCTCAAAGGGATTCTTTCCGATGAGGCCAGTGTGGCTTTTCATGTTATGATTGCTCATGATCTTGCTGATAAGAACGCCGCTACTCTGGCTAATCATTATCATCTCCCTCATTTCCCACAACTGCTTGCACAATTTCTTGAAGTTGTCTCCAGTCCTAACTCGCACTTTCATGGTCGCCTGCTTAAAGCCTGGTTTAAATTTAGGCTACAGCTTCACTCTCGACTCCGTCCAAGTAATATCATGCCAAGCCAGCAGGTTCAGGCCTATCCACCATCTGATTCCCATCCTTACGGAAATTGCGATATTGTCCTCCTTCAACCTCCAGGCCATGATCCGCAGTATCGTACATTCTCAAATTTTGCTCAATTCTGGCTACTGATATGCCTTCAGCACCATACATTGCTCAAGTCCGAATGGTTTTCACACTCTCTCCACAAGGGTCACAGCTGCCAGCCAAGCTGATGGGCCCCCTTTTGTATGTTGAGCTCTTTGAAATAGCCGCACCCCCTGAAGTTGAGCCACATATTGCCATGTACCAAGTTCACTGTTCGTTCCATACTGTGCCTGATGGTTCTCGCACGCAGGTTGGGAAGATTGTATGCCTTATCAATGTCACTCATGCTGTAGAACTCATACCAGTCTACGGGGTAACATTGGATCGCACTGTTACCTCTGCAACGTCTCTTGAATGCTATAATGATTTCTATCTCAATGCATTCTCCAACAAAGAGTGGTACCATACACTACACACAGATTATGTCTAGCTTTACCTAGTTTTGTGCCATAATGTTTTCAATCTACAATTTTCAATGTTATCAGTGATATGATCAAACCTCATGACTGATCTGGGCCTTGATAAGTCGATGATCTGCTATCTCTATCTTACCGGACAGCGAACTGGTTCTTCGGATCATAATATGCTTGGCTAGTCCATCCTTTCCAAAAAAACTCAAGTCTGTAACCAATCCCTGGACTATCCCAAACTCAGCGGTCAATGAGCAGCTCAATGAGCAGCTAAAGTTGTAGATGTGGCCGGATCAAAAGGAAGTCATGACCGTAAAACCGAAGCGTGCATCCGTAAGGACGTACTGGCTCACGCTCGGCATGTAGCCCTTGATCATCATGGGTTAACTACGACTTGTCGTTTGCTAGTGTAGGCTCAGTATGTCTGTTGAAACCTGACACGGAGGAAGAGATTTCCTGGCAGGACGTGATGATCGGGGCTTACTATATTAAAACCTGTCACGGCAGTTCCACCGTGTTGTGTAGTACGTTCTGTTCACAATCGAGCGAACCGGCTAGAGTACTCAGCTGACTGTTGGCTGACCGCATGACCGACTCGAAGAGGACAAGTAAAAGCGGTGACTCAGACTTGGTCACCGTATCGTGATAAGTTTGTCACAGTTTGTCACTAGTTAGTACTGATCTTGAAAAAGAAGCCTATCCGAGTCAGCCCTGTCTCCTTCCTTCCGATTTCAAGGTCTGACTAGCTATGCACGAGATACTGGCTTTACATATCGCATCTACATCTACATATTACAAGCACGGAGCGTTTGATCACGCGAAAGCAATTCGCGTCAACGTCATATTCGCGCTCCACTCGAGCCCCTTTGATGCTCCACTAGTGCCTGCTCTCGAGTGCTCTACTAGGCGACTTCCCGCAGCATTTAGAATCCCAGATTTGTCGGAGATTCGGCTCACAGCAAACCAACATCTAGAAACATGTTCAAAACCGCACGGTGCCGCGGCAGACCAGATATATCTGTGACTCTGGATTCTAAATACATGTTCTAAACCTAAACATGCCAACGCGGATCTACACCAGGTATGTCACATGCTTGAGCTGGTGGAGGATGAGAAAGAATTCAGAGGATAGCTGTACTTGGTAGAGTCATTTCTTCACGAGCCATCGGAAACGCCTCGCAGGCCGACAAGCAAGAAGAGCATACCTCATTTGAGGTGACCTACTTTCTAATACCCGTGCCAATAGTTAATACACCCTAGCGAGCTCTGTACTTGGCTCGCAATGACTTGCAATTGTCCAATCTCGATCATACCTTAGAGGTCCGTGACATCGTCGGGGAATTTGAAAGCGATTTTTTGAATCTAGAAAGGGGGTCTTGCTCTCTCCCGAGTGCGGAATCGTCACGACATTCGGACGTTGTTGTCAATAGGGAATGAAGCAAAGATACAGCAAATGTCGTTTATTCTTCTGTAGACAAGAAATGAATATGAACAATACTTCTCCGTCTGCAGGCGAGCGGATTTCTTGCACGTGCACAACTTCAGGATTATCGTTACAAACATGCATTGAACCAAAGATAACAAGCCCCACTCCCGAGTATACCTCAACTAAAGAAAAAAAAGACTATTCTTGCGTGAATATCCAAATATATTGTGGTCGTAAAGAATCTGAGGATGAGTGAAGATGATAATGAATGAGTCAAATGAATAGTGTGTCTATGTATGATTAATAGCGTGTGCTGTAGTTTCTCGCGGTCCTTGAGACCGTGTAAAGTGTGTCGATCATTACGATCCCTCGCCATCTTCTGAGTCTACTTTTGCCGGTGGAAGTGTCGACGTGGGCTTGGTCACACGTTGATCCACCGCGGCGGACGACTTGCTGGTCTCTGTCATCGTCGGAGCAGCAGCGAGTGTCCGCCACTGCTCTAAAAGATGTTGACCCACCCCTGGTTCAACCTCCGTACCATCCCGCGAGACCTTGATCTCCCGGTCCTGGTTCCAAGGATTTCGAAGGTGTCGAGTGGAATAGAAAGGAAGACGGTCAGTACAGAGCCATTCCACCTTGAACGGTTGCCCCCAAGCCTGTTGTTCATCGCTCCCAGCATTCTTTGTCATCGATGGCATCACATCATCCTTCAGTTGTTCTTCTCCAGCATCGCCATCATCGCTACTTATACTATTATTCTCTTCCTCCACAGCTTGCAAGGCAGATACCACCGATTTCGTGCCATCCGTGCTCGCCTTATTCCGTACCGCTCGGACTGGTGCATTCCTGTCGAGCACAATATCGGGGGTTGCACTTACAAAATCCTTGGATATTATTCCAGTGGCTGACCTAGCCTTTCCGCTTTCATGGAGGCTAAACTTCTTGGTTGGAGGCCCTGCCGAAAATTCCCGTCGTGGGCGAGGCCCGAGTGCAGCTGGTGCAGATGATCGATGAGGTTCCATAGGAGAAGGTTTGCTGCTCAGGGTCCCTCCAGTATGTGGAGTGAAAGGCATTGGCGACTCCTCGACGAGACGGTTTTCTGATGGCGTGAAGAAAGACTGATTGGTAGCAACAGTTGGGCTAGGACTGCCAGGCTGACACCGAGACGGAGATACAGAAGTCACCGAGGCATCCGCATGCGACGCCCACGGAACTCTGTGCTCGCTTTTCAATATCCGACCAGTCATCCTTGTGTGTCAAGAAAATCAGTACCGGGAAAAAAAATGGAACTTTACATACTGTGCATATCCGTAGAACTCCCCGCTCTTGTTCACGCTAAATATCAAGATAACTTCGCTGCTAGTGCGGTAAGCCTGGTCAAGAATGGCCTCGTTATGCTTTTGAGTTGCCCACAATCCATTTTCAACACTCAAGTCTAGGTCAAACTACAAGGTCAAAGCATCAAAAATAAATCAGAACTAGTGATCCTCTAGAAACACAAACCTGCGTCAAAGACTTGAGAATGAAAAAGCGTTTCGGAAAATGCCTGGACAAAAAACTGGAGTTCGTCGACGAATAGGAACTACTTGATTGAGCCTTGACACTGTCTCCGGGTTGCGAACCTTGGCGAGCTCTGGTAGCTTCATCATCACTCGACTGTGATGACGCAGTCACAGCCACTGGATGCCCAGACTCACTCGATAGACTCGAACGGCGACCGGTAGATGATGACTGATCGTCTTCACTTGGAGCAACCTGCTTATTCATTTGTCCCTGCTGAGATTGCTCGCGGACATAGCGAGTGTGCACGCCCATTCCCCGTTGCCCACCTACCCCAGCACGGAGATCATCCTCTTTGCGACGTACTCGACAAACAAGTCGTGGACCCCGTCGGTCATGTGGGTGGAGCTGTTGCCCATTGAATTGCACGATTGCGCGCTGTAAGTGCTCTTCCGTGTCAAAGTTGACAAATGCGCAGTTTGACCGGGAGATTAAGAAAATCGATAAGACACCATTGGCGTCAGACTCAAACGAGTCATTGTCCATAGGAGGGCGTTTCAGAAATCCCCAGAGTTCGTCGTGGGTGGTCCCACCTGGAACATTCCCTATCCACATCACCCATTCGGATCTGTGGGAGGGGGGGTTGGGATGATAAGCTCGACGTACAATGGGACGTTCAGAATGAGGGCGAGATGAAGAAGTAACGGTTGATGGGGGCGAAGCATGACGTTCGTGGCGAGCGAATATTAAGGGAGAATTTGATACCGGTGCCGATGATGATTGGGGAGCTGCTAATGCAACCTGAGGAACCTGAGGTGGGTACCTTGTAGGCAGAGCCGCCGGCGGAGCAGTCGACTGCACAGGTGAGGTTGGTCCACCATGAATGGAGACTTGAGAAAAATGTGTCTCCAAGTCGACCGAAGGAGAATCATGCAAGGGTGGGAAGTTCATTAGGTACCGAGGTTGATAATGCATGGGGATCCCCTCGTTAAATCCAGGCGGGACAGGAGGACTGTAATACCACTGATATGGGTTTGGCTGATATGCGTGGTCGTAACGGTAAGGAGTGTATGGACTGGGATAGCGCACAGACTGGTATTGTAATGTGCTATGTGAACCAGATGCGCCAGGAGGAGGATGCTGCACAGGTAGCGGAGAGTGAGTTGCAGGACTATTTGCAGTGGAGTGCATTCCCGAATTACCACCCAACGGGTAAGGAGGCCTGCCCGTATTATGTGGTGAGTGCGCCTGTATCACGGGTCGGGATCCCAACGGATTTTGTTGATACGGGCCAGATTCCAGAGGAAAGTGTGGTGCGTATCCACGAGCGTGTGTGTATGTATAAGTTGGTGGGTGCGCGGTTGGAAATGGCGGGGGCTGCTGGGATATTGCGTATTGTCCTGGATAGTTATTCAGCTGGAATGACGATGGGGGGTAGTGTCGCAGCGGACTTCCTATGGATGACGATGGTGATATGTTGCTTCCTTGCGACACGTCTAGGTGAGGAAGATTGCCAACATGCGTCCCGGATGTGTCCCGCGGAGCTTGTGTTTGTGTCTGGACTCCACCGGAGCTCGAAGGGAGGACCTGCACACGACCAGCCTGAACGGATGCCAGCAGAGGACGGTGCGATGTACCGGGAGGGGGGCGTACCTGATTCCGGAGGTGCTGCTGCTGCATAGGCGGCCCCGTGCGATTGGCACTATCGAGAATATTGTCAGTACCCATGAAAGTCCTATAGCACGTTACACCAATATTAGCAAGGAGAAGAACCAGCTACAAAGTCCCTTGAGTTATGACATTTGCAGCGAAAAGGATGCTACTCACAGGGGATTAAAGTTCGTGTTTCTCCTTTATGGGATAGTATGAACTGTTCAATCGAAATAATACAGGCAGAGCCTTCAGCTCGCCTTAAGAACCTTTACAATCTGGAAGAGCGTACGCCGTGAGAACATGATGTCATACATCTCTCCAACCTTCTCGTCGCTCCTGTAGAAGTCTTGACGCCAAGAGATCGGCGACACCTCCAAAGGGCCCTGTTAAGTACCGCCTCCGCTTTCGCCGATGCGTGCAGCCAATCCACCGTGACAGGCCTCTGCTCAGCCTACTAGGATGAGCCAAGGATATTTGGCACTCGCTCGGTTTCAACTTCTCCTATTTTGTTTATGGTATGGTTGGCGGGAAGATTAAACAATTCAAAGCACTTTGAGACGGTCAAAGTACAGGCCATGAGCATTACCCATTCAGGATGACATGCCGAGGAGGACGAGAAGGTTTGAGAAGGCCTGGGTAACCCGGCCGTGCCGGGCCGGTGACCCAAAAATAAATCGCGGAGTTAACCGCAGTATCATCACAGCCCTCACGCACTGGGTCATCATTGCCTCTCCACTCAGGACGACGTATGCATTGCATCAGCTTGTTGGAGTCGCTTCGGTATCGCTCATTCAACGAGGGCACGGACATCGGCAGTCCTGCAGGAACAAGAGGGCAATGTGGTACTTACTTGCCACGACAGCTTGCTCCTAAAGGAAAATGTAGGCTGCTTGATTGAACCTTTGACAATTCCTGGTAAATTCACTGGGTGCCGCACAGTGGAAGTACCGTCCAATTATATTCGATAGTATCGATACGTACATCAAATTCAGTTCATGCCGTAGGCCTGTGACCCTCTGTCACAGAATGTGACAGTGACAACCAATATTGTTGTAGTCTCCCCATAAATCTCCCATAACTACTCAGTGTGCCTAGACGTGTGCCTCATGAGTTCGCAACTCACACTGAAGTTGACTTCGTATCTCTCACCAACCTGACTGCGCTCGTCATCCCGGATTGTTAATGGGTCGACCCCGTCTTCATGCAACGGCGGAAGAAAGAGCTGCTGCTGCGCGAAAATATAGACAGGACTACTATGAAAGGCCAGTTTTCAAAGATTGGTCTCGTGTCGCAATTAACTGATATTCGTTGCAGGAATAAGAAAACAATAAGCGTGAAAATGGCAGCCAAATACAAAGCACGACGTGCAGGCAAGCCGAGCAGAACAAACTATGACCCTGCGAAGACCACACAGCTGTGAGCTGCACAGTTTTTTTGTGGTTTCATGTCCTCTTATCAATACCAAGCTCCGGATACTCTCCACAGCCTGTTAGGCACGTTACCGAACAAGGGACATCCGTATCCGATAGCGAGAGTGAGCACACGTCACTGCCTGATAGTAATCTCCACCGCATCGATTTACAGTACGTATTCGGGCTCCCGCTGCTTCGCTATTCCAAAAATAACGGATCCGACTCTAGACAACGCATCCGAGACGTTCAAACAGCAGTAGCAAAGACAACTGCTCTTCATGCTGAGGACTACTTCGAGCATCTCTACTCCAGCCTGACGAAGAACTCGAATGACTATCAACTCCGGCTATCAATAATTTCGGACGCCCTGAAACTTTTAGAAAGACATAGTTTGCAAGCCCGCACGTTGGAGACAGAACTTGTGCAAGAGAACGAGGTCGGGAAATTGTTGTCCCAAGCACAAGAGCTCACACAGACGTTACGGGATATGACGGGAGCTGCTGAAGAGCTCTGGTGCTTCATCGTAGACAATCCAGATGCTACGAAGCTCATACAACAATATTCTCGAGGTGAATTGCGATTTCAACGGCCGAATGTAGACAAATGACCACGGATTCTCGACATTAATGATATACATTGGCGGCTGTTGAGCGGCGGTATAGTACTGCTCTGATTGGACATTCTAGTTTTCCACGCCTGAGGCTCTCGCAGTTCCGCCACTACAGTTTGGCCATCGTGCGAGGAATCGCGAGTCGCTGTATTCGTAACTAGCAAGAGCACTGGTTCTACACAATGTGCACATGCTTCGAATATAGCCAGATCCAATTCAGACTCGACCTCCCCAAATGGATGTCGTACGGACCTCGTCTAGTCTCACTCGTCGGTGTCAATGTTGTTCCCAAGTCCAGGCTGCTGTTTCAAATGTGGTTCTCGAATCTCTACAGGCTCTTAGATGTTCCATACCAGTATTGGACGAACTGCCGCTGATAAATTCCTCCACCGCCGCCGTACTATTGACTCGCCTGGAGGAAAAACACCTGTACAGAGGTCTGGACCACGGTAACGGGCAAGCGGATTGCGCTTCCTGTTCGTGTCGAACGATTGGAAGTTTGGAACCCCAAGTATATTTCGGAAACGAGCGTACGTTTTTAGTATATACCCCTTTTGTTTCATGCTGCAGGTTAGGCTTAGCTTTGCTACCTCATCAGATCCACCTGTTACGGCGATGGACTCCGTGCATGTAGGTGCTCCACTGGCACGGGCCTGGGGCCTGTTCTGCACTGCACTACTCACTATCGTCTACTCAGCTATGATCTTCGTGTACCAAGCGCTCTGTCTGCAGGCGCAATCAGCAAAGGACTTTATCATAACAATTACAAGGACAACGACGATTCTTTGCTTTTTGTTTGCTGTGCTAGGCACCAATGTTTCAGGGTGGCGCAAATGTGATGGCATGAATCAGGGAAATCTGGGGAGATGCCGTACTTATTGAGCCTTGGATGTCTGTGCATCCCTTGATGCCCGTCAATTGTAATTCAATCGTCTCGTTTTGGGGTTAAAGTTCATGATGCGAACACACGAATACAGGATAGTGACTCCAAGGAAGCACAGATATCTGATGCACGTGTATCGCGCAGTCAGATGGATGATGGCAGATCACTCAGGGAAGCCAAGCGATTGCAGAATTGAACGTTGTTTCTTCTAAGCAATCGCCAACAAGACCACACACAGCGAACTATAAAGGACTCGCGTTTGATAGCAGGGAAACGACAGTCCCTCAAGACCTTTAACACATCAATCCATCTACCACAATATGAACACTGTAAGCCTAGCTTCTTACAGCACATTTCGTATCTGATCTCGATATTCTAGGCCACTCAAGTCCCTGTTTCTGCTAACTCGTGTGGCTCGAGCAGCTGCAATTGCGGCGACTCGTGAGTAGTACTGTCCCTTACTCTTGTACACGGAGCCTGATTCGCAACGCGCAGGTGCGGATGCAAGGTGGGAGAGTGCAAATGCTGAAGAATGCAGCGCCTGCCATGTATTAATCTTTGACCGGAGTCGAGTGTATAATTATTGGACGAATGATCATGAAGAAGTGATGTAAAGTTTGAATATTGTTCTTGTGTGAAGCTGCAAGTTGAAGTAGCGAGGATCTCAATTAACACTACTCAGTTCAAATGACGGGAAATGAGTAATGATTAATGGGCATCCCTCGCTAGCGTCACTGAGCAAGGTTATGACATGCAGACGCGATGGATGTAATCTCAGATGATTAACTCATCACGATGCAAGGCAAATATCGGGGGCTTGTGGTGTGGGGAATTTAAAGAAACTAGTAGCGTGCCTATTTCAAGTGGTGACATACACGGAGGATATCAGAACATCATAATCGAAGAATCACACAGTAGTGCTAATCAATGACTGTTAGCTTCTCTATGTCTGTGTCACGTCGGGGGGTGATCCGACACGGGAAGTTCACGGGACGCCTGCGAGTCGTCAGCACTACACACGCCAGTACTTGTAAAAGCTACACACGACGCAATTCCGGGGGTCCAGCGAGGTTCAAAATCGATATCTTTTCCGTTTTCATCCGTCGCTTTCAAGAAATCGAAGACAGCGAGCATGGAAGCAATCGCAGACCATAGACTTGCGTCTGCAAGGTAACGCCCCACACATATGCGTCGGCCCCATCCCCAAACGGGAGTGACGTGGTCGTCATTCAGGTTGCCAGAGGATGTGAAGAATCGTTCGGGCTTGAATTCAAATGGAGCGGGGTATTTGATTGCGTCATGTGTCATCGCCCTGTGAACACAGTGATTGTGAGAGAGGGGACAGCTAAATATTCTAATTGTTTGTACCATATATTCGTCAGGATAGTGGCACCTGATTGAGACCGTGTTAGGCAAGAAATTGTCACTTGGGCTCCCTACTCACCTTTCGGGATAAAGTATCCTTCATACACGTCGTCGTTAACAGCAGAGTGGGGTACGCCTAAAGGAATGCTCATAACCGGATCGGGGATCATGCATTTGCAACGAGTGCCTTACCGAGAGGTGCAATCGGATAGAACCTCAGTGTTTCGCGCAGGACAGCTTCAATGTATGGCATAGAAACGCGATCACCAAAGTCAGGGAGTCTGTCAGATCCTACGACACGATCAATTTCGGCTTGAGCACGTTTCTGGGCTTCTGGATTGAGAACCATCGCTTGTATGAAGACGAGTAGGGCCGAATGAGTCTGTAGGGTAAGTAAATCGAAGGTTACTCCCAAGCAATTGTTTGCGAGCTCACAGTCTCGGATCCAGCTAACAGCACAGTCAGTCAACGTTACATGAGGAGTATAGGTGAAACCAACCCCCGAATGCAGTTGCACTGGATTCTTTAATCGCCAACTCAAACAATGCGTCGCCCTGAAATCGTGCGAGTCCTTCGGAGACCAAGGAAGGGCCAGACAGCCCAGAGGACTAAACGCCTAAGCAGAACATCACGCACCCCAGAAGATATGTACTTACGATTCTGTCAAGTGCATATTGAAATGGTTTCTCAACCATATCCTTGAGCACGCTCTTCAGTTCCAAAGCATGACGTTTGAATGATGCTCCAGGGAACCAGGCAGGGATTAAGGTCACTATGTTTGCGTTCTACTAAGGTATTCTCGCACGGTAAACGTCACCTACAGGCAGGATAGGAATCAATGATAGCCGCCTTGTCTGGAGTCTCTGCATGAATAATTATATCCATTGCCCCCCGAATCATGGAAACAAGGGGATCATTGGGCTTCGTGTCGTAGTCATAAACAGCGGACATGACGATGGATGCCGAGTGCGTCTCCAAATGCAGTTCATAATTAGCGGGGTCTTGGAGAAGCCCGACCAAGAGCTGATGCGCCTTGCGAAGCTGCATAGGTCTGTAGATCACAGCGGCTTCAGGGCGAAAGGCTTGGTGGTATATTCGTCTGAAATATGTGGTGCGTGAGCAATGCCAAGGAGTATAGAACACATGCTTACCTGTGCCTACGCCAAGCATCACCGTAGCCTCGCATAACCGTCCTAAATGCAATACCTAATCTTGAAGAGCAGTAGTATGAGTAAGTCTCAAAGCGCAAAATCGTATTACTTGCAGTTCCATTGTAGCAAAACGGGGTCTGTCAGAATAATTGCTTGAGCGTTTCTCAAGAATCGCTCGTGCTACGTCCACAGAGTTCAAGATGATGACATCCTGGTTGAGGATACGAGAGTATGTAATGTCGCCTAGAACTCTGTCAGATATGGTGGGTGTCGAACAGGAGCAAAATAAAACGCAGACCATAGATATCACTCCATTTTTTGTATGTGATCCAAGGAAAGTCGGTGTTCATGCGATGCAAGTTGCCAATTATGGGCAGGGGCTTCGGACCTGGAGGTAAAGGGTGTTGTCTTCGCGCTTTCTTCTTGACAAAACTTGTCGTTACACCGATTATCACAAGGAGAGTCACGACCAAAGCCCCATGTGCTAGGTCCATGGTGAAGTTCGAGGGAAACGTGAGACAATGTCAAGTATGATAACCTCTTGATCTTTATCAGTTACGTTTCGGATATTAAAGATCTCATTTCCGAAAGTGACGGCGCCCCTTCGTACCATCTAAATGCGTATCAACATGTCATGAGACTTGGTGGAACTTTCGGGTTAACGATCTGCAAGAACGGCGGCAGGTCCGAAGGCAGCTCACCGAGACTATGAGGGTCGGCAGACTTATCAGCGCATTGCAACCACACCAGGATTGCGTCTGTTATTAACATCTAGCTTCATGTATGCTGGTGGAATGTACACTAACACAATTTGGGTGTGGTTGGACTGGGCTGAGCGTAGCTCAGGGTAGGACGTGCAATAATGCTGCAGGGATGGTAATGATAGCTAGGGTTTGAGCTAATAATTAAGTGGACGGATGGTTGAGGTAAATTGATGAATGTGTAAATTCCAAGCTAGAACCGGAGTGGCGAGCACAGCATAAATGCGTGGATTATAGATGCGGTAGAATGTGGGAGAAGTGCGAAAATACACCAGAATATTGCAACATTCTCTGTCACATTCTCGCTGTTGGAATCGTGCTGGAAGTTACAGACTTCTACGTAGTTATCACGAGGTTCTCCTGTAGATTATCCTCAGAATTCACAGAAGATTTCCCATAGAAGGACTAATATGATATCCAGCTTCGACAATGCGCGCAGTTGTGCCTACTATTGATTGATTATCACGCTTGTCGTTGCCCATAGTGAAGAAAGAATATGATTAGAAACAAGCTCGTCCTTAGCTAGTGAGGCCTGTCCAGTATCCCCCACCATCCCCATCAATGTCATCGGACTACAACTTCAACTTTCCACCTCCATCCTCGATGTTTGGCCCTGGAGCAAGCATGGGGTATGGCGGGATATCTCATGGAATGGGGATAGGAATGGGTATCCCAGGGGGGATGCATACAAGTGGCACGAGCGGGACATCAAACAGCGCTGGACAGTCTATGCCACACTATGCAGCAACTTCTCCTCCTCCTGACTTTGGGGGTTGAACCTCTGCATCTCCCGTTCTGCCCCACGTTGATCCATGGCTGACATTGGCAACACCAGGTGCATCTGCTGGTGGAAGCAGCTCACACCAGCTGCCCAGCGGGGGTGCTCCTTTGAAGTCCTTGAAGATATCAGCTGTTCTGAATGATTTAGCAATAATCAACCGGCATTTGACTCATGCAGAAATGCTCGAAGTCCAACATGCGCAGCAAATTCATGTGCTTGAGGCGAAATTTGCAGAACAGCTCGAGGCTGTGCAACGCCAGTGGGATTTGCAGCTCAGTGAGGTGCAGCAGGCATGGAATACAGAGTTCGATAGTTTGAAGAATAAGCTCGAGCATCAATGAAGTGTGCGAGTCTCTAATGCTGATAGTGGGACTGATGAGGAAGGGATGGACAAGGAACTCGAAAAGGATGTTGTGAGGATGGAGAAAAGTGCAGCCGCATATGGAGACAATGGTCTGAAGGTTCGTCAGTTTGGTTTGGAAATAGTGTGCAACACACTCAATGAAATGCAGGCCGTTGTGTGCATGGTGTTTCAGACACTCATGGGAGTCAGAAAACTGACAGCAGATACTCTACCTGCCTATCCAAAGGATGGAGCAACTTGGCCTGTGGACGAGGCAACTAAGGAGCGACTTCTTCGATTTTGGTGGGCAGAGACTCACTAGCACATTGACAACCATGCCAGCATCACCCGAATCTTTCAATACATCCACAAGAACAGCATCTCTGTCTGTCCTTCATCTGGCCCTGCCTTACGTGACATCAGTGATGAAGATTTACATGATCGCATTGTGAAAAAATACCAGGGTCTCCAACGAAACATCCGCCATGCTGGAACAGTGCCTCCTGGAGCAGAGACTATCACACCATCTGATGGCACTGACCCAGTAGTAATCGCACCTTCTGCACCCATCAAATTGCCTTCGTAAGCAAAGACACAGAGTCGAGCACGTGGGGTAAGTCTCTGAAGCTTGTTCTCCCATGATGCGAAACTTCCTATGGTCCCAGAAAGTTGAAGTCCACATCTGAAAATTCAACAACTTGCCTGCAATGTCTGAGTACAAAGATGAGAAGTATAGAGCAGCACTTACCGAGTCACTGATGTCTCCCGACAAAGATGAGGTAGATGATGCTAATAAAAAGACAGGACGCTTCATCTCTCACACTGCTACATATCGGAGCACACTGGTAAGCACTGCAGCGACATTTATTAATGAAACATTACACACTTTTGTTCTCAGATGTCCAAGTTCTTAGATGCCATTGATGATGCTGAAGATCCATCACCGCCTGCAACTGGAAAGTACACTGTGCGTGTGAAAGGGGAAGCAAGGAACTTACCATTGGTGGCTGCAAAAAAGATTGAAAATCGTGCCCGTCGGTGGATGGTTTTGACTGCGTGGCTTGCACTTCCGGACAATAAAAAGTTTGATGCTCCCAGCTACATTCTTGACAATGGGCAGGTGTGGGGTGATCCAAAAGACCCGGAGGAGATTCTTGCTGGGCAGAAGCGAGTGAAGGAGGAAAAGAGATTGATTTCGTCGAGAAAGCGAATCAAGATAGAGGCAATGGAGGAAAGGGGGAAGGTGTCAGCAAAAGGCAAGGGAAAGGTTAAGGCTAACTCGAAGGCACGAGAGCAGCCTGTTGCAAGTACAAGTGCTGTGGTGCCCACTGTTGCCAGTTCGAGCACCCTGCGACTGCCTCCTGCTGCAGAAAGTGATGATGAGTTCAGCAAGTAGAGTGCGTAACTTCCCTTTGATTACTTTACCTTTCATTGAAAGTCATTGTTGTCAAGGAGATCCTCTGGTTCATTTCCAGACTGTTAAATGTCTTGAGGCGCGCTGCATAGAAATATTGAACAACTGTATGCTTACATGATCAAATGATACCGCAATCCAAAGATCCTTTTTTTTTTTTTTAAATCCAATTTTGTGTCCATTGAGAGGGAATCCTCTATGTAGGACAATGCTTTCTAATCTATAGGACCCCCAGTGTCCTTTGGTCTCTGAAGTCACGAATGCCCTGATGTGGGGTGTGCCCCCATCAGTCCGCCGTTCCCGCCAGCCATTTTAGATGCGCCCTTCGTGTGATGAGATGAGATGAGATATAATTCTGCGCTTGTGGTGATATAGTGCTTGTGGTGATGGTACGCTTATCTCATCCGCTTTCGCAGAGTAACAGGAATCTAGTGGAGAGTGTCTTTTGAGGGAGAAGATGTTAGTGTTCCATTGTGATCTATTCTCCGTTTCTCTGAGGTGCCTTTTAAGGTGCGGCTGGTTTCTGTGTGTATGAGGTGTTAGGTTGGTGATGATTATGGGGTATATTGTAGGATTATGGCAGTGTAGGGTAGTCTTGGGTATATGTTGATGCTGGTGGTTGTTACATTTGTTTGTGTGATGTGGGGTGGGTGTTACATTGAATGTGTTGAATGCATTGAGTGTGTTATCTTAGTTCTACAGGGTGGGTCAGGTCTTGCATTTTTTGGACATGGGTACTTCACCAAAGGTGTTCTTGAGGTGTTTAGTGTTGTTGACGTATTTGACTAAGTGGGCAATGGCTTCTGTGCTTGTGAGGAGGAAGGGTATAGATGATGCATCTCGGCTGAGTTCGTTTTGTACTGTGTGTCTTTGTCTCTGGTAGTGAGGGCATTCTATCAGATAGTGGTGGATGGTTTCTTCTGTGTCTGGGCAGTGGGGGCAGTATGGGTTTTCGGTTTTGTTGATTTGATGGAGATGGTGGTTTAGTGGGATGTGTTGAGAGTGGAGGGTCATGAGGAGTCATGTGAGATGCTTTGGGAAGTTAGTGGTTAGTTTAATGAATGCTCGATTGATAACATTTGGGTCTATTTGTTGAAAGTGTGCATATCTGGGAGATTTGGTCCATAGTCTCGTCCATCTTGTGTGTGTTTCTTGGTGGTGTGCTTGCTTTAGCACTGATATGCTGAGAGGGAGTGATCCATGGCATAGGTAGTTTGGAAGGTCTTCACGTGGGCTGTTGTTATCTCTGCTTGTTGCTGCTTTTTTTGCTTCGATGTCAGCCATCTCATTTCCGTGGATGTCTTCATGTCCTGGTGACCAATGGAGTGTGATGTTGAAGTTGGGGTGTGTTCTTGCTAGTTTGTGCATTTCTCTAATGAGACAGTTTGTGATGTATGATCCAGGGTGTGCATGTGAGTTCTCGCCTGATTTAAGCACTGCTTGGTTGTCAATGGATATTGATAGCGGGAAGGTTAGATTTGGTTCTGTTGAGATTAGTTTCACTGCTAATGTTAATCCTACCTCTTCCGCTTTGTAGACTGTGTGTTCATCTTTGTTACCTAAGTGAAATCTTAGGGTCCTGGGTCTTGCACCTGCTCTGAATAATATGGCTGCTGCACCTATGTTTTTCTTATATCCAGATCCATCGCAGTAGATCTGAATCTCGTCCTCTAAGTTTGCATGTTCTTCTATGGCCTTCTTTCTTTCTGATATTTGGGTCTTGTAGGGGCATGACGAGGATGGCGCTATTGTCGTTGGGTTGAGTGATTCTATCTTGTCTGGGTTGATGGCACAGAGGTGTGTGAGTCTATGGAGTGAAGAGTGGTGAGACATTACATAGTGTCCTGCAGCGCATCTGACTGGTTCATGTAGTAGGTGTGTTTTTGGGAGTGTGGATATGCGAACAATGGCTCTATGGCAGAAGTTCTGGAGGAGTAGGGTAATTGGGAGGACATTAGCATGGACTTCTAGTAGGTCAGTGGTGGTACTTCTCATTGCTCCCATTATTGCTAGGAGTGCGATGTGTTGGACTGAAGTTAATTGCTTTGCTGTTCCTAGGGAGCCTTTCTGGGGTGTGTCTGAACTGTCTCTGAATGCCAGGGAAAACCAAAGGTCGGCTGCATAGATCATTTTGGGTATGGTGACTGCTTGATATAGTTGGCGCATGAGATGGGTTGGTATTCCTTTGGCCATTGTTGAGAGTCTTCAGATTTGAAGTATGTATGCCATTCCTTTCGCTACTGCGTTGTCTACTTGGGCTTTCCAGTGTAATTCCTGGTCTAGTATGACACTGAGGAATTTGTGGGTAGGGGAGGGTTGTATTGTTATACCTTGGATTGTCATGTTTGGGTGTTCTTTGTTCCTGTTCATTGAGAAATCTATTAGTGCGAATTTGCTAGTTTTGAAGCAGGAATTATGATCTCTGGACCATTCAAAGCCCCCTCCATCTCGTTCTAGCATGTCCTGGAGGATTTGGTGCGTCATTTCAAAGTCCTTGGCTATTGCTATGAATGCTGTATCATCTACAAAAGCTAGGGTTAGTTCTTTGAGCACCTGCCTTCCCATTCTAGGCTTGGCTACTTCTACAAGGTCAGAGTTATAAATTATATAAAGGATCATAGATAGGGGGTCTCCTTGCCCTATACCATTATTGATGGGAATCCATTCAGATGTATAGTTGTTGAATTGTAATTGCATTTTCCTGTTTGTTAGTAGTTGTTCTGTGAAATCAATTAGTTGCCATGGTAGTCTGTGTTTTTTCATGTTGTGTAGTAGGTGTTTCATTACTGCGTTCGGGAATGCTCCTTCAATGTCGAGGAATAAAACTGAGGCCACTTTCTTTGTTCTCCAGGCATTATGGATTGTTTCTTTGAGTAGATGGAGGGAATCGGAGGTTGATTGTCCTGGGCAACTGCCAAAGTGCATATTGGGGAGGAGTTGGTGTTGTTTGAGTAGGAAGGTCATTTGCTCTGCTACTACTGCTGTTAGTGGCTTACCCGTCATGTTAAGTAATGCTATGGGTCTATATGCCTTGGGGGTGGTATAGCTTGGCTTGCCTGGCTTGTGTAGAACTACTGTTGTGAATTGTCTCCAAGGGTCGTAGTATGTTCCGTGTGAGAAGACTCCGTTGAAGAGATGTATGAGGTATGGGGTCAGGGTTTCGGAGCATCGTTTGAAAACGATGTTGCATATGCCATCCGGTCCTGGTGCTTTGAATCTGCTAAGGTTTGTTATGGCTTTGATGATCTGGTCCTTGGTGAATGGGGTGTGTCTTGCTATTGGATCTGGGTAGGTGTAGTCAGTTGGTACATTGTCAATTAATGGGGGTAGTGGGAATAAGGCTTGGGCTATTATTCGACTCTTCTCTTTGTTCATGCTTGCTGTGGTAGTCATTCTGTCAGGGTTTGCTTTCGTTAGGGTGGGGATTCTTGTTTTTCCTCTGTTGTTCAGGGTTGATGTGACATAGCGGTTGGCGGTCCAGATATTGTTACCCTCAATGTCTTCTAGCCAGTCTTGCCAATGTTGCTTCTTGGTTTCTTGGATAAGGTTCACATATTCATTCTTTGTCTTCTTCAGTTCTTCATGGACTTTGTGGTGGGAGAGGCTTCTCATCTGGTAGGTGGTGCGGTGTAGTTTCATTACTTTCTTGCATAGTTTGCTGAGGTCTTTGGTCCACCATCATTTTGAGTGTGGGCATGGTTTGGAGTTGGGTATGTGCTTCTTCATTGCCTGTGTTATACTGCGGGTGATGAGTTCTGCTGTGAGTTGGAATTCCTCGTCAGACACTAGAGGTAGTGGGGGGTGAGTTGTGAGAGAGTTGCTTAGCATTGTGTTGAATTCCTCCCAATCTACTTCTCTCCAGTTCTTGCGTGGTTCCGCGTGTGTTTTTGGGATGTTCATGTTGAGAACGAGTTGGATTGGTACATGGTCAGTCTTGGGTCCTCTCAGTTCTGGGGCTGTGGTGCAAGAGATGATCGCATCAAGGAGGTGTTCCATTCCAAAGGAGTTGTCTGGCCTGGTCCAGTTTTTCATGCTTGAGGATTGAAGGGTTGGGAGGCCTAGTGGGAGTAGTTGTAGCATTCCATAGTTGGTGAGTAGGTTGATGAGCAGTTGGGATGTGTTGTAATTGAAGAGGTGGTGGTTACAGATTTCTTCCCAGAGGGGGTGGTGTCTGTTGAAGTCGCCTAGCCATAGCATGTGGTCTTCAGTGGTTGGGCAGAGGGTTGTGATGTTTTGTTCTAGGTAGGCATCCACATCAGCAAAAACTTGTATGACTACTTATGACTACAGGGTGCTATATAGTCACTGTAGTACCTGTAGTGATATGTGTCAAGTTCCACCTATATGCAGCTATATAGCCACATGCCATGCTATGTAGCACTATAGGAGCCACCTGTAGCTGGTTGTAGCACGCTACAGGCTGCAGTAGCTGACACTGGTAGGACTTCATAGTAGTGTAGTTTTTTTGAGTTACAGGAGCCAATATTTGCCACAGATGGAAATTGACAAAACTGAATAGATTTGAGGCAGCCTACTTCTACAAAAACTAAGACTCCATGACCTCACGACTCACCTCTTGTTCTTCTCTAATCTTGTCTTCATGTTCACAAATCGCATTGTCGAATATATTGTCTGTGAAACTAACAGGGGTTGGCTGCCAAGCAGCCTGGAGCAAATTCACACTGGCATGGAATCTTGCCATCAACATCAGTTAGTACAATGATCAATGGCAGTGGCCAGGAACATACCGCACAAGATCAAGGATGTTAATACCGATTTTAGCAAGTAGATTGTAGGCATTGGTGCACTCATTGAAGTGCTGCAAAGAGTTGAGATGGACCTGATAGACTGGAGAATAAGTAGCTGACAAGAATTTGATGTCTTCCCTAACTCCAGTTATCCACTCATTAATGCAACATTCAATCTGCCATCTTGGGAGTTAGCTGCGGATTAACATTGGAATGCCCAAACTCACTGCTGTGAGTATAAGTGCCAGAAGTTCAACCGGTAAAGGGTCGAAATATCTCCTGTGAATAACACCCTTGTCACCGTGGTTCGCAAACCACATGCTGTTCACTGCAGACTGTATCAATTCAGTCTTGTATATGCCACGTTTCATCTCCCAATCCTGTTACTCCGCCAGTCAGACATCAACCAATGACAGGCCAAATTATAATCAGTGATGCACCTGAAAAATGAAACACAACCCATCCTTCAGAGATTCTGCAAGGTCACAATTTTGTCTGATCACCACTATTGATCAGCTTGTGTGGAAGCCAAAGTATGATGCTGTAAGTGCTCGCATCTTAGTCTTGAGTTCTCCACGAACGTGTGAAGTATGCCTTGTCATCTACACGACATATAACATCAATTAGGGTAGAAATGTTGATGTTGCAAAGGGACTAACCATTTTGACCAACGGAGGAGTAAGTTGAATAGTAAGACTTGCTAAGTTAGATGCCTCGCACCAGGCCTCCTTGGCTAGCATTGTCTCAACAATGAGTGTCTGGGGAAAGGGATTCTGTGTGACAATTAAACAGCGATATATAGATGTGGAGATGGCAAGCAAGTCCTTCATAATGTCATCAAAATCACTGGCCTTTAATCTTTGGCATGATCCATTTGAAGCTTTCATGATCTTTGGCTTGGATTCTTCAACAGCATCCTGCAGGGGGCGCTTTGTCCCGACAACCTGTGGTGAGGCATCCTTGACCTCATCATGATGCTCGCTAATGAAGTCAGCACCACGAAGAGACTTGATGTCATTGTCTGATAATTGGCTTTTGTCCTCACTCTCATTGTCATCACTGTCGCAGCTGTCATCACTGTTGTGGCTGTCATCACTGTTGTGGCTGTTGTCACTGTTGCAGCTGTTGTCACTGTCATCACTGTCAAGTGTGACAGCTGCAGAAGCTGACAAATTTGGATTAGTTGGAGACATACATAACTTAGGATCCAGTACCTTTGTGTGACTGACTGATAGACTTTGGAGCTGAGACAACTGGAGGGGTTTTGATTGCACTGAATGTGAGTGCCCATGGCTTAGATACCTTTGTAGGTACATAGTGATCTGAGAACTACCACATTGTAGTGAGCAATGCACACCCTGGAAGAACCAGACACTGACCATGTTTTCTTTGTCCCTGTCAATGTCACTGAGCAGCTCAGCAGGTTTGTTGTTGAACTCCTCAGGTTTGTTTTGGTAAGCAGCATGCAGTAGCTTCAATTTGTGTTTCTTGATCTTCACCTCTAATTCTTTGTGGCAGTCTTCTCCATGACAAGTTTTTAAGACTGTTGAGCTTTGTCAGACACATTGCACAAGAACATCAAGACAAGTCCGACTTACTTCTGTATGTTTCTCTTTCGGTTGGTTGGCATTTCCGACCACTTGCTGTCCATCCTGCTGTCTGTCCTGCAGTTGACTCCATCTTGGTGCATAAGTCTTCCTGTGCCTTTAAAATTGACTGTTTGGTGGCTGTGGGCTTCTTCAAGCTTGATTTTGTCTTCGAGCTTGCTTTTGCTGCCATGATTATGGGTAAGTAACAATGGCCATAACATAAGGGATAGGCTTGCCTTTAAAAACCCTGCTGTGGTGTGAAATCAACAAACAAATTTTGAGTTCTGTTGATTTGTCTGTTAAAGTTTCATTCTGATCGAGCGGTATCAATACAATAGCATAAGTAAGAGGAATGGATCGACTTTCCTTCCAACCCAATGATGAATACCAACAACATCCCCAAAATGAACTGCTAGTAAGTCACTAGCTCATCCACTTGTCCAACACTCACCTTATTGTAACCAACATTGTAGTTCACCCTCCTCACCACTGAACAAAGCCAAGCTGAACCCACTGCCTGTGACACAGGGTTATGAAGTCAGTAAAAGGTGGGTTTACGACCATAGGTTGAGACAGGTGCTGATACCTGCCTCAGTAGGGTCGTAGCTCCTCCTCCAAGCTGACCGTTTCATGTGGTTCATGCTCCAGGGCAGGCTAAGGCTAATGGGGGTCCACCCCCCCCTGAAGTCCTGTATCCATTGCCACCATATTGTCAAACACTGGGTCCCGTCAAAGCATCTCAGACTTACCTTTGAACACTTATATTGGAATGTTGGGATGCAGAAATAAGGCGCTGTGAAGAGGTGTGTAAAGCGCAACTGTTAGAACACATTCAGGGCCCAGTTACTCACCAAAATTTCATGCAGGAGATGATAGCTGGGCGTTGGAACGCAGAGAAGAAGCACTGTGAAGAGGCACGCAAAGTCCAATTGTTGGAGCTGCTACTTGCAGCTCACAGCATAACAACCCTGGTTTAGTTAGTTTTTGGGTCAGTAGAAATGGTGGCACATGGGTATGAATACCCTGTAGTTAGGGTGAAAAAATGTTACTGTGTCCAGTGAAATGAAAGATCTAGAGTCAGGGAAAAAGGGAAAAATGGTACTATGGATGATAATGCAGTAAGTGAAGCATGGTCCAGTGAAGCATGCTCCAGTGAAATGAAAGGAAAAAGGGTACTATGGATGATAATGTAGTAAGTGAAGTATGGGATGCTGCAGGGTATAGCAGGGTATAGATAGTGCTTTGAGATGGGTGAAAATGAGTGTATAAGTGGTGACAGAGAAAACACAACAACATTGAGACGGGTGGCGAAAATGAGTGTATGAACAAAAGGGTCAAGGGTTGTGTTGGCATGTAGGGTCAAGTTCAGGTCAAGGGTTGTGTTGGTATGTAGGGTCACATTGTGCCTGAAAAAAGAAAAGACTCAGTGCACGGCCAATTTGTGGTAACAAACAACAGACAATCTATGCCTCAGTGTGTGTTCTGTGGCAAGGTGACAAGCACCCACGAAGGTCTCAACAGACACATTGCAGGACGTTCTGAATGTCAAAGACAATGGGCATCAATGATTGAGGACGACACAGAGAATTTGAATGCACAAGATGGCCCAATGGGTAGCCCACTGCCTGTTGACTTCTCCCATGTTCATGCCGCTGATATGGACAACCATCATGTCACCATTGAGGAAGTCAAGGACAAAGATGGGACACCATTCTCCCACACAGGGCATTACTTTGAACCTCGGGAAGATGCAGGCTGGGCATTGCATGAGGAGGAGATGAAATTTGAAAGGTATAGAAGAGAACAAGAGGAAGCGGGTGAAGATCCATGGTTGCCCTTTGAAGACACATAAGTGTTCGAATGTGTGGTGAGGTGATCGGGCATCTGATGTATGACTTACCAGAGAAGAGTGGGATTTGGCCCAGTGGCTCATCAAGAATCTTGGTCAGACACACACTGACGAGTTTTTGAAGCTACCAATAGTATGTTGAGAGCATTGACTGAACTCACAATGTTGATATCATGACCAGATGCGAAACCGCACAAATTTATCATTTCATAACAACTGCTCATTCTTGCAGAGGGTTGACAGACTTCAACATGGACCTGGATGGAGTTGTAGGAAGGTTACTGTGCATGGTAACCATGAGGATGAGAATGGAGTGCCATTGCAAGAAGAAGTCGAACTCTGGAGCCGCAATCCTGTAGAGTGTGTTGAGGAGCTTATCAGCAACCCATTCTTCAAGGAAGATATGGCCTACTCGCCTGCCAGAGCATATGCAGACCGTGCAGGGCTGCATAGAGTGATCGATGAGATGTGGACAGCAGAGTGGTGGCACGAGACACAAGTAAGACTGTTCAAGAGGGAGCAATGAATAAATGGACTGACCTTGTGAGCAGAATGCCTTGCCCAAAGGAGCCACGATAGCGCCAATTATTATATTGTTGGACAAAACCTGCTTATCACAGTTCTGAGGGGACAAGTCAGCTTGGCCAGTGTATATGTCTATTGGCAACATCGCCAAAGCAAAAAGGTGTCAGGCATCAGCACGAGCAACTGTCCTTATTGGTTACTTACCTGCAGGGAAGCTCAACTGTTTCACTCCCGATGCATGCTCCCTGGCTGGATACAGACTCTTTCATCATTGCATGGCTCTACTCCTCCATTCTCTCATTGCCGCTGGACAAGATGGTGTCAAAATGGTGTGTGTGGACTCACTGGTTCGTCATGTCCACCTAATACTGGCTGCATATGTCGCCAACTTCCCTGAGCAGTATTTGGTCTCTTGCTGTAAGGAAAATTGTTGTCCCAAGTGTCTAGTAGCAGCGAATGAGCAAGGGGACGGATTTGACTCAATGATGCATGATCCTGAGTCAATGAAAGATATTCTGGAAAGGCACAAGAACAGTCAGCATCCACCTGAATTTGAGGAGAATGGTCTATGTGCCATTTATAAACCATTCTGGGCTGATATGCCTCACGCCAACATTTTTCTGGCTTTCACCCTGGATCTTTTGCATCAACTCCATAAAGGAGTGTTTAAAGATCACCTCATGAAATGGTGCATTGATATTATTGGGGAGGAGGAGATGGATGTGTGATTCAAGGTGATCCCGGATTTCCCAGGACTCCATCACTTCAAGAAAGGGATCTCGACTGTGAAACAATGGACAGGACATGAGCATAAAGAAATGCAGCAAGTCTTTATTAGCTTACTCACTGGAGCAGTGCCTAGGTGTGTGTTTGATGAGTCTTTAAGATTGAGTTTGTTGATGTCACCAGCATGCCAGCCATGTCTTGGTGGTCACATGATCAATTCTTGACTTTTCATATTATGCCCAGCTGCGAATTCACATGATGGACATGCTTGAAGCCCTACAGACTGTGTTGGGAGTGTTTCATGCTAATAAAGATGTGCTGAAGGAACTTGCCATCCGAGAACATTTCAACATACCAAAGCTACATCAACTCATACATTATGTCCAGTTGATCACTTTGTTTGGCACAGCTGATGGCTTTAACACGGAGCTTCCTGAGCACTTGCACATTGATTTTGCAAAGGACACTTACCACACTAGCAACAAACGCAACAATGAAGAACAGATGACATTGTGGCTTCAGCGCCAGGAAGCAGTGTTCTTGCATGGCACATACCTGGATTGGTTATCGCAACAGCCTCTCTTGGCAGGTCATACAGAGTGCCATTCGTTCGACTCAGACTCAGAGTTGGATTCTGAGTCAGAAGAAACAGTGGCCACGTCCTCGACAAGCCTTCAAGTAACCCATATCCTTGCAAAGGCTCTGGCATATCCTCACCAGACAGTTGAAAAGCTTGCGACAGCACATGGTGCTGTCGATTTTCTCCCCACTCTGCAAACCTTCCTACACAACAACCTCCTGCACACCACCATTGTACCTGGTGTTCAAGACTGGTTTGACATTTATTGTCAAGTGGTCATTGTGTTGCTGCCTGATCGATGGGTTGGTGAAGGACCAAAACAGTGGCATGTTAGAGCAAGGCCAGAAGTGGTAGTGTCAGGCCACAAGCCTGTTTGCACTGCTCAATTTGATATGGCATTGATATCAGACAAGCCTCAGTCTTCGCGCTTATGCACTCTTGATGGTAATGTTTTTCTGATTTGTTTGATGGTTGTATTTGATAGCAATCTGTTGCAGGTGTTCGAGTGGCTCAAGTCCAGGCTATATTTTCCCTCCCTCATCAGTTCAGCACATACTCCAGAGCCCTCGCTTACATTGAATGGTTCACACCTTTCAGACCACCAGACCCTTCCTCTCAATTGTGACAAGTCTCTCACTTGACATGCCAACTCCATTGCCATGCTGCTGTGATCCACGTCAACCAAATTGTACAACCATGCCATCTGGTACCAAAGATGGGACAATCAGTAGATATGAGGTTGAGAAGTGGAAATGCATATGAGGCGGCAAGTGATTTCTATTTCAATGAGTTCATTGATGGCGAGATGTTTGGTGTGTCTGTCATAAATAGTCTGTAGATGGTAGTGTTATGCGAGTGCAACCTGTAGCTGCATGTAGTGAAGCTTTGGGCTATATAGTGCTATATAGTACAATATAGTGTAGCATGTGCCTATATAGTGCTACAGTGACTATGAGTGCCTACACCACACTATATAGCTGCCACTAGGGCTACAGCAATATGTGTTTTTTCCTGATGCATGGCTGCAAGTGTGTCTTGTTTCTCGCTGTTGTTGTATATGTTGAAGATGGTGCATTTGCCAAGCGGGCTGGTGAGTTGTAGTAGAACTACGTCTTATGATGGGAAGTTGATCTGGGTCCAGGAGTTAGTATCTAGCTTAGTGTTGATTAATATTACCGCTCATGATCGTTTCTGAGGTTGTGTGTAGTGGTGTGAAGGGTAGAGAACATGCCATCTGTGATTGGCCCTCGTGTTGTGTAAGAAGTTGATGTACGGTTCTTGGATAGCAATGATGTCCCATTCCGTGATCTTGGGGCCATTGAGGAGAGCTTCTTGTGCAGCCATCGAAGTGTTCAAGTTTTGCTGCCATATTCATAGACTTCCATTGTTTGTGTTGTTGGTGGGTTCTTCAGGCATCCCAGCCGGAGGTGTCTATGTTGAGCTCATTGGATTCTTCTAATGGGAGGTGGGCAAATTGGTTGGTGAACGGCAGTGGTGTATAGTTTTGGGGAATTTGCAAATGGTGTCTGGGAGGGTGTTTTTGATGATCTAGGGTGGATTGGGTAAAGCGGGTTAGTGGGCGGGTGGAGAACTTTGATTGTGTGTTTGATGAGGGTGGGGGGGAGGGCAGGGAGGAGGTGGCAGTTATTTTTGTTTGCTGAGGGTGTGCTATCTGGGTCCAGGGGATTTCGGTAGGGTAGTAGGGCATTCTATTTTCTGGGAAGCTGTTGTTGAGGATTTCAAGGCATCATTTGAACTCTGGACATTTGCAGCTCCAGCTGGTGTGTTGGTCATTGTTGCAGTTGGAGCAGAATTTGGTCTTGAAGGTGTGGCAGTCTGAGGTCTGGTGTTGAGCGCTGCAGGTTCCGCATGTGTCTGAGGCTGCTTTGCAGTTTCTGGCTATGTGGCCGAAGTTTTGACATTTTGTGCATCTCATTGGTTCTTTCTTGTCTTTGCGTATGGTGAAGTGTTCATTTTGGATGCAGAGTCCTCTTTTGATGATGTCATTGGCCATTGGAGTGTTTATTGCTTGTAGGATGGCAAAGGCTTTCTGTTGAACTTGGGTGCGTCTGTTGACCAGTTTGATCCATTTGATGTTGATGAGGGAGTTTTCTGGGAGGTTGTTCTCTTTCTTGGTTGTTCTGAGGAACTGTTTGTTTTCAATCTGTATGCAGATAGGTAAGTATTCAATAACTATTGGGAATGCACTACTGTGGAACAATACTGTTGGGCCTAACTTGCTGGTGAGTGCTTTGCTGTTGATCGGTTTCCTGATCCAGGTCACCAGGGTTTCATTGTCTAGTTCTACTAGAAGGCCTCCATTGTGGAAAGTGGTCACAGATCAGACATCTCCTTGTGGGGAGGAGTTGTCTTTGATGTTGGCTAGGGCATCCTTGATCAGTTTGACAACATCTGCATGGGTAGTTTCCAGTGTGAATACGTTTCCTCCCAGTAAAGGATCAAGAATGATTTGGCAAGCTCAAAGCGCTGCTCTTGCTACAGCTTTGTCTATTGATGGTGGGAGGTTGGCTGTGGTAATTGAACTGTATGAAGGTTGCTGCTGTTGTTGTTGTTGCTGTTGGGTGGTGGATGGCATGTTGGTGGTCTGGGATGTGTTGGGGTTGGATGTGAGTTGCTGGGATAACTCATTGATGCATTCCTGGGCCTTGATGAGGTTTGGTTTGAAGGATTTCAATGTTTTGCTACAGTTGTTCATGGATTTGTGTAGGGTGTCTGCCACTTCTTTGAAGTGTTCTGCCACTGTCGCCATATCATCTCTTTTCTCTTCTTTTTCCCTCTCCAGCATGGTTTTTAATCTTTCTGCTTCTTTCAACATATTGTCTAGGCCTTCCAATGTTGATAAGATCTTTGCTACATGCAGGGCAATTGCCACTATGACATGTTCTGCGATTCTGGGAGAGAGGTTGTTAGTGATTTGATTAGTTATATTTTCCGCTATTTCATTTGCTTCATGCTTTTTCATTATGTACACTACCACTCTAATGGCTTCTACTGCTGGTAGGGGAATTGACTTGAGTTGGGTGATATGGAACAGTACTGAAATTAAGTGGGTTAGTGTAAACGGTTCATCAACATGGCACAGTAGGTTTTTGTTTAGGTATTCTTCTGCATTTTCGATGTTTTTAATGGTACTTGGTAGCACCTCGATGTCTTCCTGGGAGAGGTTTGATCTCCTAGTTTGATGTGTGGTAGCAATCATCGCTGAGGGTAAGGTGCTTTCTGTCAGCATTCCAGTACCTTTGTTGGTGATTTTCTTTGGTATAGTCATTTGCAAGGGGGGTTTTTATTGGTTTTGGAGTTGGGTGGGGTTTGCTGTGTGCCGTTGGGCATCTTTTGTTGCCTTAGGGCGCTTTGTTGGTTGGTTTTCTTCAGGGTCCTAGTTGGGGTGCCACTTGGTATATGACCAAGGTGCGATTCCAAAGATCCTTCTTGATGAGAGCCGAGTGTACAGGGATAAGTGCTAATGGGCACTCAATGTTGGAGACAGGGATTATTTAATAAGGGCCAAACACATCGGCATATGAGACATGAATTCCAAGGGTACTTCCACTAAAAATAAGTATATCAATGTTTAGTACATGTCAAGATAGGCCATATGATAGCGAGATTGACTCACTATCATGTCCAAGGCATGTCTGGAATGCGATCATCACATTGAAGTTGCCTCACCACAGCACAGACGTGGGGAACAACATCAAGGATACCAACAACAAACAAAGCAATGATTTGAACGGGGACACGTGTGGAGTTCCGTGAGATAAATCCCAACGAATCACTCTGTGCGACGGTTCATAGTGCAGCCATAGCATATCCCATCCTTGCGAACATAGGTTAACATACGAGCCACCTTGCTAGCAAGGAAAGGAGTGCCATCATCGTGAGACAAGTCGTTTACGAGTCGAAGTTGAGGCCATAGTCTGCGACAATATTCTAGAAGAAGTGTGTAAAAAACACCTGGCGGACCATATGACCGTAAATCGACAAATTTTGCTGCTCGCAGAGGTAAATGGACATTATCTGATGGTAATACATAATTAGAATGGTCACGAGAGATTGGTCAAGTGCTCACCTTCGGCAGCCTCGCTTTGATAGACAGCGATTTGTGACATCATACTTCCTCGGGTCTGTGCTTGAACTTTAATGATTCGATTAATCTGCTCTCACTCAAAGGGACAGGTGTCTGGGGGAAGAGCAAGTAGGTACTCATATATGAGGTGTGTCTGCACCCAGTTTCGCATGAGTGTAAGCTCCATACGGCCTCCGTCATGACCATTGTGATGGACACGTTCGAGCATGCCGTTGAGTCGTTCGAAAGCAAACAGCCACCAAGCATACACTGGGCCAACCTTTTGGATCATTTCGGCTATATGCATTGATGCGTGGTGATTGATAGTCAGGGGAACGCAAAGCCGAAGGGATTCTAGACAATAGTGCGAGATGAAACTCTGTCCGACCCAAGCCTGCGCCATGGAGATAGTGCGGGAGGAAAGAATGCGAACACCTGTGCAGAGAAGAAGGATGGTCTGATAAAGTGAGCGACAGTTGCGTGAAAAGTCAGGTTGAACTGTGTTTGGCGGAAGGGGAGGTTCCTTGTCTGGAATCTCGTCATTCTCATCTCTCCAAGACCACCACAATACAACTGGGGTGATAGTAAGAAGACGGCGCCATTCATCAGCCTTCTTGAGACTTTGGTTCTCGCCCAACTGTTAGATGAAGTTAGAATCAATGAATGGTGTGACCACGACAACATACATTTTTTGGGAGCCAAGTAATATGACTGGGCCATCGTACAGCATTGATAATCTCCTCGAACCTTCGTTTCGGAGAGTTGATGCCTCCGATACCAGAAAGCATGTATCCGCCGAATAAGACGCGCATGAACAGATGTGAGATGATGCCTACAGAAAACAAAAGTTGGCAAGTTAACACTAAAAAATATGAAAGCGTACCCAAGAAGATGGCGTGCATGAAGTCCAGTACCGACTTTTTAGATGGTAGCCAGCCTGATATGAGGTTAAGGATTGACCATCGAACTCCAAAATCCTTCAGGATCGCATCTTGACGTGCCTGGGTAGCGTCCTTCGAATAAAAACTTTGTCGAAGCATTTGGTAATCGTCCTTGGGAGTCCAGGCTGCATATCCAAGCAGAAGATTAGCAAACAAGCAGCGAGTGTATGATACTTACAGTTATCGTAGCCCTCCGGAGTATTGACTTTCACAATGTCAACATCACAGAATGCGCAAGGGTGGAAATCATGGCTGTGCCCCGCAGTTCCATTACACTTGTGTGATGCCGGCATGTCGCAGTCGAGAATCTCGTTGTCTGCAAAGATGTTCGCAGGTTCATCTTCGCCGTGGACATCCATTTTGACACCTAGCAATAGATATTTGTTAGCATATAGGCACCTAGCATACAACAGAAAATACCATTTTTCAGTTCCATTAGCTCACACGACGAAGGCTCTAAGCAGTGGTTGATTTGCTGTACATTCGGCTCCTTGGGCCCAGGCATGATCGCAGCGCATATGGCATTAACTTGAAGGTATCGTTGATCTCGCGGAAGGTCATTTATTGCATAGTAGATGGGCCCAGTTGAATGCGGCCGATTATTGAGGATACCCATCCTAGAGAAGGTACCGAAAATATGAGATAACGAGTCTAGCTATAATAAAACTCACCAATCAATGTTCAATGTTAAATGAAGGCCATAACGATGCTCCGTTATCTTTGTAGCTATCGGTCTGTTATCTTGAGGGCGATCGCGGATGGTACCCAACTCTCCAATTTCACGGATGGTATTCGTTTCGAGTTCATGCCAGAGTGTGCCGTCATGCATGTCAGTCATGACAAAGTCCTCGTCATCGTTACGTCGTGGTTGATCATGTCGGCTGTCCCGAATTGATTTCGCAAATCCCGGTCGCATGAACATTCGTCGAAGACTTCCAATGAGGGATACGTGTGGCATGATTTTCTTCGCAGTCCGAACAAGTTTTCCTTTCGCATCCACGCGCTCGTCGTACAGTAACCCAGAGCAGTCTCGAATAGTGCAGGAAGGAGACGGAAGCTCTCTCAGCTGGACTGGGGTATAGTGCTTCCAGCACTCGGAGCATATCGCATATTGTGTGATCCATTGATCTGGATCAATCCCAAGCCGACGCTTGGCGCTCAGGAGATGGCAGACAGGTCGTGGATGCTCAGGTAAAACGCCCTCGACGAGCATACAGTTAAGTTGGTTGTTGAGGGAATCTGTCGCAGCTTGAACAGTGTGGTTTCCGAAGACATTGCCAACCACGGCATTGAGATATGCGAGACGCACACCAGGACGCTCCTGGAATGCGCGTGGTACAAGGAATGGCCTGTCCTCTTGATCCTGGTCGGAGCCAGGAACCCGTACATCTGGCAATACGACGGGACGAAAATTAAAGTCGCGGATCGGAGGCTGCGCTGCATTGTGCGCTGGTGCAAGGGCATGCTCTTCATCTGCATGATGTCCATCATCCGGAGGGTCAAAATCAAAGTTGTCGTGCTGGTCTTCGTTAGTAGGTAAGTTTAGATCCCTTACTCGTGGTACTGCCTGCCCAGGCGCAGTTGAAATGGAGCGTGCAGCTTTGTCGACACCAGACTTCGAAGTCTGTGGTACATGGGGCCATTTTTTTATATGTTTTGAAATGACTTGTCGTGTCTGATATGTAGATCCGTCCGGATGTTGTGAACAACGTGCACAGGAGCATTTGAAACAAAGGTCCGACATAGCTCGAGCTCAGTGACGGGATTGTCGACGTTGTAGGACAGTGATTGCATTGACGATGGGGACTTCAATTGCAAGTTGTGCGTGACTGCGAGAAAAGGGACTTAGTCATTTTCGCAAATGGGCGCGACGTCGGCCATGATGCATGACGTCGCGCGACCTGATCATGTGCAATCGAACGTGATGAATATTATATTGCTTGTTGGAAAACAAGGCTGTAACTTGACAATTGTCGTACAATACATGGAGAGGTAGTTTGGATCGAGGAAAACGTGAGAATATTTGGAGGAAATCTGAGATTGTGCGATGTTATTCGAAAGTAATAGTTTGCGAGTTTATGCTGTGGAGAGGTGAGTGCAAACGAAACGATGTGGAGAGTAAGGATGCGTAGAAACTTGAACGAGATTGAGCTCATTGTAGGCTTAGGAAAGACTAAGACTCAGGCGTGGTGGTGCCGGAAACTTCCGGCAGGGCCTATAGAACGACCCATCCAGTTGCCACCCAGAGGTTTTCATTCACAAGTTCGACCATTATACGCACAGCTCTGCATTTTGAGCGTTGGCCTGTATATATTCGAGATTCTACACACGAGCTGCTATCAATACGGCATCAGCACTTCAGCGGTGATAGAACACTGCTGTTATTTACACGCCCTCTTATCGAGCACCCAGCACGTGATTCCTCCATGTAAAATTGGACTTACTCAGTATCTCACACACTCAGCATTGCTTCCCACAAAGCGCTCTTGAGAGTTGGAGCCAGCGGTATAGGTTCTACATTCGCATCCAGTTCACACGTCACAAGTCCACGGGTTGCGATTTGAAAATGTTATCCGGATATGCATGACTGTTTCTCGCGAATGGCAGCGAGAATATCAGCCTGGTCGGTGTCAAGTGCGCACCTTTCCTGGTTTTTATTGAGTAGTGCCTGACATTCCATCAAGGGTTAACAAAGTCCGCCCATGGATTCAGCGGGATATTGAGCAGGCTAAGGAGTGCAAGGCAGATGCTATGCTGCAAGCCCTCCTGCAGCACGCTTCTTCTACTCCGGAGACTACTAAACAGCCCGAGCTCCTGCAAAAGTGCCTCAAGGCAGTTCTGCCTGTTTGTAATGGACAGGTGTCCACAGCACTTGCAAAGTCTTCGGATGTCGAGATAGCCCTAAAAGAATAGTAAGTGCTTCTAAGTTTGCTGATTGGGCGTTTTCATGCTTATCACGATTACAAGCATGAGTCCAGGAGACGAAAACCAGTTCTACGGCCCTTTTATAAGAGCCACTAATATTGCGCTCGCTTGTCTTGAAGAGATCAAGGTTGATGGAATGGATGCTCCTGTCCCCGCTGTGGATATGATCTGTCAGCAGAACGATATGCCTATGCACCAAACCCACCAGACCGCGAAATCAATTCGGAAGCCCGACCTTGTCATTCTTCCGTTGAACAGCGCGTGCGCTCCATTCGAGAAAAAGAAAAAGAAGGATAAGAACAAGGACGACAAGAAGCGCAAGGCTCACATGGACACGAATGCGACGGCAAAGCCGAAAAATCTCCTCTGGCAAGATATTCTTGCTTGCATTGAGTTCAAGAGAAAGACGCCAGGAAGGAAGAAAGGGATTCAACCGCCGCCGCCCTCTTCGTATAAAGTGGAGGACTATGTCCCTACCAAGCCGGAATATCTGCCGGTTGATCATCTTAAGCCAGAACGCCCCACGCCAGGCCCTTCGCAGACCCCAGCAACACAACCTGCGTCTGACACTGCACGTAAGTGAATGCATTTTTTATTCCATAGTCGAACTAAATCGGCCGAGCTGCAGTTCTATCTTCCGGCCTTACTGCTGCACAGCCCTCCCAGGGCGGGTCCAGCTCCAAGCGCAAGGCCGCGGACACTTTGGAATCTGCCGCGAAAAAATCCAAGATGAACCCTGACGACACGGACGCCGAACTAGATGTCACTGTCCAGACGGGTCTGTACGCCGCTGAAATGTTTGCGGCCAATCTTGCAGTCAATTATCTACTGAATCTTATCGTCGTCGGTGGGTTCGTTCGTTTGCCGAGAGTGGTCGTGCTCTTACCACGGCTTCCTCAGACGATGTAATGTGGATCTGGTATTATGATCGGCAAGGCACTATTCAAAGCTCGGGCATCAACTTCATTCAAGATCTCCCGCGATTCATGGTGCTGTTGTATGCTTTACAACGATTCAAGCTTGAGAATTGGGGTCGAAACAAGGACTTCCTCCCAGTTGAAGTTGAGGAGAAGCGGTGCCACGAATTCAAAATCACGGATGAAGAACTTGGAGAGGTGGATCTACTGCTTCACACTAGCCATGACGAAAGAGTGACACACTACGGACTACAAGGACGCGCCACCAATGTGGTCCCTGTCACTAGCGACGTGCTTGCCAAGAAATACCCAAACGTCCAGGGTGGGATGGTAGCCAAGATCTTTTGGGGAGAGGTGAATCACACTAGCGAGCCGAAAATCTTGGAGAAGGTCAAGGAGATCGCTAAGGTGCACGCCACCGTAAAAGACCATGTTCCTGAGCTGCTTTGGCACCACACGTTCACAAATCTCACATCCGCAATCCGAGAAGCGCTCGGCGTTCCAGACCCCATCACAGGCAGTCGCATGCTCTACATCCTCATATTCCCCAAGCTCCACTCCATCACGAAGCTTGAAGACAAAGAGCTTTTCGATGTATGGGTTCAATGTATTATATGTACGTGTTTCATCGCATTTGTGTAGCTCCTGGTTGACATAGCGTGCAGGTCACGTTACTTTGTGGAAGGAAGGGGTTTTTCATCGAGATGTCAGCCCTGGAAACATGATGTGGTACGAGATAGACGGGAAGCTGATGGGTGTCTTGAACGACTACGATCTATCCTCGTTAGCGAATGACCCGGGTCCTCGGGGCAACGAGCGCACGGGCACGGTGCCGTTCATGGCGCTCGATCTTCTCACCGAAGAGGGTCAACGGGGCGAAATCAAACACCTATATCGTCATGACCTGGAGTCGTTTGTGTGGTGCTTGGCTTGGATTTCCTTGCGTTACGAGAACGGAGCCCTTCTACCAGCGGAATCGCGCCCTTTTGATGAATGGGCGACTTTAGACGCCGTGACATGTGGCGTGAAGAAGTACTATTTTCAGGGTCACCTCAAAGCTCCCAAAAGCTCGCACATAGACCCACTCCTATGGTGTCTTATTGTGGAGTGTTTCGATTTGCTTGACACGGATACTTTCAATCGACATAAGCAACTCCTACGATCTATAAAAAGGAGAGAGAAGCCCACCAACACCGAGGAAACGGAATCAGATATCGATAGTTTTCTACAGCGATTCAAGGATACCGAGAGCTGGGTTGCGCTCAGCACACCTCCCCGCGAGCCTTCACCGTGATTTTCTTTACTTGCTACAATAAATATGGTTTCTGTATTCCGATGCTTGCGTCAAATTTCCGTGCGAGCCTAGTCTCTGGTAGGCAATAGATGAATGATAGTGCATAGTTACTCGTCAATGTGGAGAATTTTTTTTTTAAATGTGCATTATGTTCAGTAGATGCGGAAGTATTGCTCACTCTAGCATCACTCGTGGGGCTTGAATCATTGAAGCTTGACCTTGGAGTAGCATAGATTCGTCGACTCTTGTATACAGCTACCACCGATGAGTCATTATTGGAGGAACTATGTAGTGAGAGTAATACGACTGTGCTTTGGAATGTATTCCCTCTTTATTTCACAACTCGACTGCACCCGTCAACTCCCCCTCACGGGCCACCCAAGTTTGTACGACTGCGCCCTCTCACATGTCGATCATCTTTCAAATTGCACTTCTTTGACAAAAAGCGCTCGCACTGCCTTCCCAGAGTTCAAGATAACGACATCCTGTTGGGGTATACGGAGCGTATGATATTAATTGTAGCCTAGACCCCTGTCAGATATATATTGGGCAGGTCAGACTCAGTAACTTGGTTACTTGGTATACACTTTCTCGGGTTGGACCTCGGCTCTTATGTAATCGGTTCGGCACATAATCGGCCGAATCGGTTTAGTTCACGCGCTAATTCGGGAAACTGGCACTTGGTTAATACGCCAATGTTTATTTTTCGCTGAGCGCTGAGGCTCTGACTGAGCTCGTATAATTTATTGAAGAATAGTCGAATAGTTAAAGTTGAGATTAATCTGAGTCTCTAGGAGCGAAATGAATCTCACAGCTATGCGGTGGCACTAGCATACGTAGTACTTTAGCCCCATTACTCCCGATATGGTTCCGGCCCAAGGTCGCATGACTTACAGCCTGCTTTTTGCTTCCTTGGATCAGTACCACGACCACCACGTTCACTAACACTCTCAAGATCTATGACTTCCCCATCAAGGCCAGTCAATATTGGCAGTCCACGACAGGACAATGTCTTTCATTCAGGAACACCAACACCAATTGGCACACCCGATCTCCGCGCTTGGCGCGCACAGTATACTGGAACACCTCCAGTGCCTAATATCCCTGCGCGGTTTTCACCAGAAAGCTTCACTAGTGGGTCTCTAGGTCAGAACCTGCTTCCACAAAGCGAATTTCTAGGTAGGGCCTACCGTTTACCTCCTACTGGAATCAGCCCACGGCCTTCAAGCGCCATTACACCTGGAAGTGGTTTCGATTCTAGTGTTCTTGACTTGGACACTCCCCCAGATGATCACAAGGCCAGGGTTATCAAGCGTCATCTTTTGATGCGAGAGGAGAGACAGAACCGGGGAGATGTGAATTCAACATCTGGCTCATTGTTAGATGGTCGCGTCTTCAACGATGACACCCCATCTCCAGGTTCCTCAACCCCACCTCCAGCAACTTCCAGAGAGGAAACGGAGGTATTTCCTATACCCTATGAAGCTCCGGGTGCAGATATTACGTGAGTCCGCTCTAATGTTATAAAGGATTGGCGTTCCTTCGGAAAACTAACAACTACGCCCAAGTCATGACATTTACAAGTGGCACACCGATCAGCGCCGTCAGGCTGGACGGCCTCGTGCCTCTTCTTTCTCAGGTTCTGTGGCACCATTAAATCCTGCCTTCGAGCACATACATGAGCCTGGAGGTTTCAGACGAAATTATGTTTTGCTGCACGCGAATGGGCATGGTGGAGAGGAGCGACGTCCGACCAACAACTTCATTGATTTCCTGTATATATATGGTCAATTCGTAAGTTTGTATCCTCACGTAGCACGTCAATGCTCATCAGCAAACAGGCTGGAGAAGATCTCGAGGAAGAGGAGGAAGACAGGGCTGATGATGAAGAAGCCACCATTCGTGCTGGTCCTTCTGAGCTCGAGGCCCACGTTGTAGTTGATGAAACCCAACCTTTACTCAAGCCTCGCTCAACGTCGCGCTCCAAACGGAGAGCTGCTTCTGTCGGTCCTCATGGAGATGCAACAGTCACACAAGCTGTTCTGATGGCAAGTCTCATTTATTGTCTATTAGAGATAGTTTATTTAGCTTGTTTTTAGCTTTTGAAAGCGTTCGTCGGTACCGGGATCCTATTTCTTGGGAAAGCGTATGCGTTCTCATACAAATATCCCTTTCATGCGCTGATAATGGTTCTTTAGCTTTGCCAATGGTGGTCTCTTGTTCTCGGTTATCATGATTTCTGTGGTTGCACTCGTTTCCTTATACTCGTTCTTACTCCTCGTCAGGACCAAGTTTGTCGTTTCTGGATCTTTCGGAGGTCAGCTAAATTTTGTTTGAATTGACTGTGTCTCACTCTACCATGAAGATATCGGCGGTGCTCTGTATGGTCCCTGGATGCGTTATTTGATATTATTTTCGATTGTGGTTTCCCAGATTGGGTTCGTCTCTGCATACACGATCTTTGTAGCCGAGAATCTAAAGGTGAGGGTGGCACATTTTATCAATTGTCGTCACTGAACTCGACTTTGTGCAGGCGTTCGTGCTTGCAATCACCAAATGCGAGACGGATTGGCCTGTGCAATATTTCATCCTTATGCAACTCGTGATTTTCCTCCCTCTAGCCCTTATCCGTAATCTCGCGAAGCTCAGCGCATCTGCTCTCGTTGCGGATGCGTTTATCCTTGCCGGGCTGGTTTACATATTTGGCAGTGAGATGTCATTCATTGGAGAACGGGGTATCGCCAAAGTGCAGATGTTCAACCCCAAGGACTTCCCCTTGTTTGTTGGGTGAGTTTCGCTCTTAGAACGTTGATTGGGGTCTGAAGAATGGTCATAGAACTGCCGTATTTTCCTTTGAGGGCATTGGTTTGGTGAGTTATTCTGTTCCATTCTAGAACGGAGAGACGTTGATGATCTGGGTTAGGTTATTCCCATTACTGACGCCATGCGTGAGCCACGCAAGTTCCCCAAGGTACTGACAGGTGTGATGATCTCCTTGCTTTGTGAGCACCTTTTCAATATTTTGTTATCTTTTGAGCCTCATCGTGCATTGTCAGTCCTATTCGGTGGTGGTGGTGCATTGTCATACCTGACTTTCGGTTCGAATGTGAACACCGTGGTGTTGGTTAACCTTGACCAAACAAGCAAGCTCACGCAATCCGTAAGCCCATCACAGTGATTTCATCAGTGGAATCTCACGCCTATGCACTCGATTTCAAGGTCCAATTCCTGTACTCGCTCGCCATCCTCCTTTCTATACCCCTCCAGTTCTTCCCCGCCGTTCGAATTCTCGAGAATGGGCTCTTCGTGCGGAGCGGAAAGCAAGATCCTCGCGTGAAATGGCTCAAGAACCTATTTCGCTTCGGGCTTGTCGCGATCTCCACTATCATTAGCTGGGTTGGTGCCGCGGACCTAGACAAATTTGTCTCTCTGATCGGTAGCTTTGCTTGGTAAGCGTCACAACGACTTTACTCACTTGAGAGTGACGAGATTAACAATGGTTACAGCGTTCCTTTGTGTTTCGTATACCCAGCGATGCTACACTACAAGGCAGTTGCCAAGACGCGCACAGAGAAGATCGGGGATATTCTTCTTGGCGTATTTGGTATGGCCGCAATGATGTATACCACTGCGTTGACCATCAAGGTATCAAGTCCTCCTTTGTTCATGTGGTAATTTCGTACTGATCTGATGTACACAGCTGATGGCAGAGCCTGAACCATCTGTTGACCTTCCTAGCTCGTGTTGAATGTCGAAAGATAAAGACCGTGTGTTGTCCCGTCATTAGTAGATAAGTAAAGAACATCTAGGGACACCCATGCCTTACCAGGGGATAACTTAATGGATCTCAGACCTTTCTAATAACATGATGTTCTGCGTATGCCAGATGTCATCCAACATGTCTACATTTTTACACGACTGTGGGAAGATGATCAGGGTCGTTGCAGCTTGTTGCAGTCATGAAGCATGTCACCATTATCACTGCTCTAGGTGAAAGTTTGGTTGATCCACGACTTTATTGCGGGTTGGACTCGCTTCCTCGCCGTCAATATAGCTAATGACAGCTAATAACTGGTATTGCACCTGCCACTGGAACGTTGGTTTGGAAGTGTCCATCTTGAGAATCGATCGTATTTGACGAGTCTAATCACGTACTTAGATCGCCCTTGTTCACTGTTGACAGAGCAAAGAGCAGTTAGGCATGGGCGATAAGGAGGTGCTATTGTCAAGCGACGGAAGTGAGGCTACCGTGCCGCAGATGGCGGCCTTCTCCAGAGTCCCTCAACATGCGCTGCACACGTGCCTACACCCGTTTTCTGATCATTGTGCCATAGTTCTACCGATCCTGAAGCCCTCATCGAAAACACGCTGATCACCACATAAATGCCCTTTGCAAAGAGTTGACATTCTTTGCTTTCCCCTTCAGCTGGAGCTCGCCAGTCGTGTCATCTAGCCCCCCTCTCTCATTCGAGCCGACGATCATCATTTAACATTATATTGTTCCCTTTGTTCCATTATGCCTGTAGCAACTAATGTAACTAGTTCCATTCCCCAGCCACGCTCCATGGTCCGACGAAAGCCAGCGCCAAGTATTGTGCTAGATGCACGCTATCCCTGTCCTGACCCCGACGACCCATTCGCTCCCCTCTCAGTACTTCGTACCAGAACTGCCAGCACGCTCGGCCTCCTCACCTTCACTGGTGACTCAACGTCACACCTTCCAACTCTTCCATATACCGGCGGCAGTCCATTCCCTCCTGATCCATACCAAGCCACACCGCCGGCGAGTCCCGATGTCACGGCTTCTCCTGATCAAAAGCTAGAGTTCCTTACGACATTCAGCACTAGAAGCAGCTTTGATATTTCGCAAAACCTCCATGAGACTACCGAGTCAGGACGATGGCCGCCGCAATTTTCACGATGTGATTCGCCAAGCATTCGTACTTTGCCGACTCCCCAGCGTAGGCGTTCTCGATCAGCGGTCTCGCGAAAAGAAGCACGCACTAACACGTGCTCCGTGTCGCCCGGGACGTCACCGTATGGCCATACAAATCTGCAGGCATATGTATTGGCTAGCTCCAGAATTCCCTCTCCTGCGCATTCTGCTCAGCCTTTTCGGATGCAGCACATCGGCCACGGCAGCGAGAGCTTGCTCCCCCTTGTCATTCCAATAGCTCGCCATGATTCAGCCCCTGTGCTGTCCCTCATGTCTGAACCTACCAGTAGTAGTAGGGGGTCAACATTTTCATCCGAGCCGATGAACACTTCGCGTTCTCGTGTTAAGAAGCTTGCGCGGTTCCTTCCTAGGAAAAGCCGTAGCGGTCTCAGTCTTGCTGAATTTCCAAGTGAGACCGGGAACGTGAAACACCATCACAATCATCGCTCGTTCCCCTCGATGACCGTTGCCCTCGGGGCAAGTTCGGAACGCACGCCCAAGGAGAAACACGTTCCAGAAGAAAACACGTTTCGCCCGCGCCGCAAATCATCAATGTCGATGCTATTTCCCGCGCTCGTTGCTGCAAACATGCAATCCATTGATGTGTCTTATCCTTCCACAGGAACGTCTATTTATGACTCTCCTATAAGTGCTGAGCCTGGGAACATGTCCGAACCCAGTAGCACTACCTTGTATTCCCCTTCCACTTTCGTGTCTGGCATCTCTGAGCCAGCTCCTCTCACTCCGAAGAAACCTAGGCCTCAGACGATGCAACCTCAGCAGCGACTTGTCAATTTGACTGAGCAGCCACCACGCAAAAAGCCATCGTCGCGTCCCTCTACCGCTCCTTCCAGCTTCGCACATATTTTCGACGAGAACGCCCTTCCGACGAAGAGGCAGCTGCTAGATGCAGCATCTTGTGTTGTTGTGGCCGAAAACGGCATTAGGGTTCCGTTTGGCGACCTCTTCCGGGATCAGAAGACGGTCGTTATATTTATTAGACACTTCTGGTGAGATTCCAAGTCGATCTTGAACGCGCTTGAGCTTATTGGGTCATGCCAGGTGTCCACTGTGCCAAGACTATATGTTTTCTATCGCCAATACTGTAGATCCACAAGTACTCAAGCAGTCAGGAATAAACCTTGTCATCATCAGCAATGGCTCGTACAACATGATCAAGTCTTACCGACGTAAGCATGCCACTCTTCGTCTCATTCGAACCATGCTCATTTTCCAAAGAGATCTTCCGGACGCCCTACGCAGTGTATACCGATCCTTCTTCTCGTCTCTATGGCATTCTGGGAATGACTCTGAAGTCAGTCGAGCCAAAGGCAGAACAACGTCGCGGTAGCTACGTCCGACATGGTCGCGCGGGGGGTATTGCCATGGTCATCGCGAATGCTCTGCGTGTCGGCATGCCTCTCTGGGAGAAAGCCGGCGATGTTACTCAGCTTGGTGGCGAGTTCGTCCTTGGGCCCGGGTTAGTCCACTTTCTAGAGTTCTGCTGACACGAACTTACCCATATCATAGAATGACAGTATCGTATGCGCACCGTATGCGAAGTCGCAGCTCGCATGCGCCTATCGTTCGGGTGCTCACAGCTGCAGGCGTGCATGTTTATCTCCGTAGCGAGAAGCCGAAGCCTGTTGTCTCATCTGATCCGGCTGGCCGGGGCTCTCTCGTCCTTGAAGTGGATGAGGAACAATGGATGGAGGAGCGACGCCGAAGTCTTGCCAGAATCCGCGAGCGGAAACAGGCTCGGAGATTAGGTGTCAGCATACCTCCTAGCAACGACTCCAGCTCTGAGCAAGATACGAGACGTCGAATCAGACGTGTTGCAAGTCACATGACTCGAACCGACAGCATAGTGGAGGAAGATGAGGAGTATGTTATTCCAATCCTGGGGCCAAAGGCTGAAGCCACCATCAGCAGCCCTCTGCGAGGCACTGATGTTGACGAGTCGAGCGATTCTGCTGAAGACGACACCGATGATTCATCTGTAGATACGCGGTCAATAACAGGCTCGGACACTGGATCTGAGAAAGCTCATGTTGGGCTGAGCAACAAACCTGGTGCTGTCGAATTTATTCATGACCTTTCTCCACCCATACCGCTCCTTATCTAATACAAACTCACATTTTTGAATATCTTCTAATCTTTCTGGAACATAACACGTACATCTACTCACTAGTAGGTCCAGGAGCTGAACGACGAGATGATGATCTGTCGATTTTTTGAAGGGTGGTTGAACTTGAAAGTTAAAATGACTCGCCCAACCTTATATGTGCTGCGTTGCAGCTGTCAACAAGCGTTAGTGGTGTACCGGTAACATTGGGTCTTCCCATGGCCTAGCACCGGGTTCGACTCCCGGCTGACGCAACAGTTGGAATTGGTAACACAATTCATAACTTTTTGTGTTCCTCACGCATGAATATTTTCTCAGTTCTCCCCCACTTTCAGTGGGCTGTGTTTTATGGATCTTCGGACTCAGTTTACGCTCGCCAGGCTTTGACATGTTTTGGACCCACAGTTAGTAGGCTTTGACTTTCCGTTCAACACTGTTCACTGATCGCCACTACCAATGATTGCGTGAGGATGCCCCGGACACGCTGAACTTGATTCCATAGATAAATGATCAATTAACAATACATAGATACTGACATTGCAACTATGCCGAGCATATATATGATGCTAAGTAGCGAACATGCTTACTTCAAATTATCGTAATGGCCTCAGTACTAGGTGTATCCAGCCATGATTTTACGTCGCAGTAAGGTGCTTCTTCATCTTCATAGAACCTCCCATCAACATGGAATATGCCCACGCGGCGGAACTCTCCTGCACTCTCAGCGGGAACGACGATCAAGCCCGTTAAGTAGCCTGGGTTCTCATCTTTATCCGAGCTAACTACGACAGCCTTGCCCTTGTCGGCTCCAATTCCTGCACTGTCGTAGTCAAAATACCCGTAACCAATGTGTCGTTCCCGCCCTTTTGAAGGCGCGGTAACTTCATTGGATTGGCGCCTTTTTGCATGGTTGTTTGAACCTATGTGATCAGGCTCTCCTTCGCATCCTATTTCAATAGCCTCTGTCGATGCTACAGCCATGTCCGTGTTCGTTGAATGGTCCTGCGGTGTCACCGCTTCCGCCCGAATGACATCTCCATTAGTGTTGTTGCTAGTGATCTGGCGGGAGGTAGCAGATCGTCTTGCGGGTGCAGTTTCTGTGGTATGCGCGTTTTTCCGACGCACAAGACATGGCACTAACTTCAAGAACAGGTTTGTTATGAAGGAACGACCTATATTACTAGCTCGATCCCCTTTTGCCTTGTTCGCCGTTGCATATTCGAGTATCGACATGTTCTATCGGAGAAGCAGAAGTGGGCTTGGCATTCGGCCCGGGAGGGTGCTGGTTTTGATTTGGCCTGAGTCCTTGACTCCCCGTATCAACGGTAGTATCAACGACTTGAGCAGCTGAAGCTGGCAAGCTTTGGACGCTGCAAGCTCCGTCGCGTTCCTCAGGCTCATCACCCGTCTTCGCCACCGAAATACACGGTCGCTTCAGCTCAAACAGCTCGGGCTCTGCAGGATCCCAGGTCACGTCTCTCATGATAGCTCTAACGATTAATTTCCCGCCTCTCACCTGGCCAAGAGGGTGATTGTCGGAAACTGGGATCGCGTCGCATGAGTGCACGTCCCATATGATGTTTCCGACTTTTTTGTCCCATCCGGCAGCGATGCATCCAATCGTGGCAGCCCAAGACCACGATGGTGCAAGAAATTGCCCTGGAACAAGACTTCCGTCAGATGGGCGATTTCTGTACCACAGGAGGTCGGAGGACAAATTGCGTTCCCATAACCCAGCGATGTAACGATTGCTACTTCCCCACGAACGTTGGAAAAGCTGAGCGATCCCTGAGATCGCTACGAGCCTGTCAGAGGGATCCGAAACAGCGCGTCGCGTGTAGTCGTATAGAACATTCCGCCAGGCTGTTAGCAACGCCTCCACGTCATTGCTCGAAAGCGTCCTATACGGTGTGCGCGAGACCATCATATCTGGCAAGCGCAGTTCACCCAGTTCCGTGGAGGGAAGGTAATTCCAGATGTCTCCGATTTCGTTCATTGCCGTCTGGCACTGATACTGGAGAGTATGCAAAGCGTACACCAAGGTCCTAGGGGAGAGGAGGCGCTCTTGGAAACACCAAGCTCGGCGATTCACTGGTTCTTGGGATGACCTGGCACTCCCATCACTTTCATCAACTGAGATGGTACCAAGCCTCCCATCCGGGCACCAGAATGGCAGTAGTGTTTCAACTGGTTTTTTGCGATTATGGAGAAATCCTTCGCTGACTTTGTGCGAGCTGGCTGCGATGATTGTTACATATGCACATCGGTATATATCGCACATCTGCGGAATCTCGCGCTGCTTGTCTTCGTTTAAATCTTGCAAAATGCACAAGGTATCGACCCAAAGATAACGGAGATTGAGACTGTAGGTACAAAAGATGGCATCTCTGATGGTTTTCGGAAGGAGGAGTATGTCGATTGATTCCAGGTACGTAGAGAGTTTTGTGGTGCAGACGCTGTGCGGTTGCGGTTCACCCCAGACGTAACTAAGCGCTGCATAAAAGCCTTGCATGTTTTCGGTGAGAGCAAGTTTTGGCTGTTCTGGATCCGAACAGTCTATTACACGGGTTGGGAGGCTTGTTTCCTGAGGTTTTGGACAATCATGACGAAGCGTGCATTGTGCGAGGCAGTCCAAGGCAAGCTTGAAGGCTCGAGGAGATGCAACCTGCCACACCAACTTTCTGCCAGGGACAAAGGCAGCCGCATTTTCGTCTGGCAGAAACAGAGGTTCGTCATATTGCACGAAATAAAACAACGACAAACTTCGTACCTGGATCGCACCGCACTTGATACCTGGGTGGCCAATCATCTTCAACCATGACTTTTAGGGCAATGTCATCTTCTGAATTTCGTTTTTCGAACCGTACAGTTATTTTGAAAGTCTCCTCTGGCATAGGCGATTCCTTTTTCTTGCGGTGCTGATACCAAACAGGAATCTCTCCCCAAAGAATATCACACCAATTGCATCCCTTGTTTTCCCCATCATCAATCTCCTGCCAAGTTTGAGTGGTGTACGAGAAGCCTGCTTTAGGATCTGACGAGTCCTTTGCAGTCCATGCAACCTGAAACGGCTCGAATGCAAATACTGTGCTGGAGCAGTAATCGCAGACCAGGGAACCGTTGCGCAATCCCATAATGACTACGAGCGTCAATGTTCGATCAATGTTAATGAAGAATTTAGACGGGCCCCGGTACGTACATTATTTTACAACCTCGAGAACAGACCACGTACGATTGCTAGTCCAAGTTAACGTTGACAAGAGACTTGGAATGAACGCACGACTCCTAGGCCTGGCTCCTGAACACGTGGTACCAGCAAGGCTGCGGCAAGGTGCAACGATATCTGTAAATATAAAACTGTATCAAACAACGCATTAGTGATCATTCTGAATACCGGCGTCTACGGGCTGAATCGGAAGAACGTCCAACCCAACATCTACTAAAACAGCAGAGCATGATCCAAGACTAATACCTACAGTGATTCGCCAAGTCCTGAGCAACATCGTGCAGAGCCCCAGAGCATCCCCCTGTTGCACGACGACCGTCTGTATTTGCTCGAGGGAAAAATCGAACCGAGAAGAGTTCTACGGTCAGATGATGAGAGTTAGCATCGACAGGGAATCATTAATTACAAGTGGTACTATCCCTACTAGTAATTGTCTTCGTTTTTTGATGTCTATGATGTAGACGTACGTGGGATTGGCCTCGAGAGTTATCTCTATCCAGGTGACATATGCTAGTCTCTCGTAGCCAGATCTTCAGGCCTAAATCAGACGAAGATGGTATCCTCAACTGATAATCTCTATAAACACCTAGTTAACCATTAACCAGCTGATACCGCACCGCTCTGCTCTATACGTTAATGACCAATAAGTCACTTTATGAAAATCGTATCGCCATGGAACGTTAGGGGTCTCAAATTTGTGTTGACCATATAAATTTTATCCTCGTCGAACCGTGTGACCTAACTTTGAATTGTCGGAATCGAACTTTCTGTCCGAAATATACAAGCTGGACGTAAGGTAGGGATGTCGTCAAGCTCTCTCCAGATCTGCCGGTGGAATCACTGATATATACCGTGGACAGCTCCTTCACCGCTCATCCTAGACCTCGCCTGTTCGTCACAGCTAACGGGCTGAAGTCCATCAAATGTAACAGACTCCGAGTCTCGTGTGCCGACAGGGAGTGCTTGCAAGACTCGATTCCCGCTAATGTCAACTTTAGCATCATATGGGTGCCAGAAAATACGAGCATTGGAAGAGCCCCGATGCTGCCATTCCGTCAAGGTTGAAGAAAATCCTCGTGGAAATGATGAAGACTTGAGTACCGTCGGTATGAGAAGAGAACGCAGTAAGGCATAGGAGTCTATGTGCGGGGTCTGATGTGTACATCATCCGTTGGGCTTGTATCTGCGGTTGTGAGCTATGGCCGATATCATCTACCGGAAGGCCCGGGAAGCACCGTAGCATCAATGAGACAGGCATCAGGAAACACGCCAGCAGATCCGGCGCCTGGGACATGTCCTCGATTGAATAGAGCTTCAAGTTATCGGTTATAACCAGCAATCGAGTGTTCCCGAGGGAACAAAATTCGACTCCAACATCGTAATGGCTGGATACAGTGCCGCTGAGGATGCTCTAAAATCAGAATCAACTGTGAGGTCTCTCCGCAATTTCAAACCAAAGCTCACATTGGACGTCGCCGAGTGTTGCCAGTCCCAAATCTGTAGCTGCCACTTGTCCATTGGAGTCCAATTTTCATCATCGTCAGCATCAGCATCAGCACCCAATCGACGCCACAAACCGATATGCCTCCCAAAACTTTTGAGCTTTGCTCTTCATGTTTCAGGGCGGTTGTCCGACAGAAACAGTCTCTCTCCAGCAGCCCGAGGGTGGGTATCATCATTATCCAGGGCTCTGAGGTTAATATAGATCGTCTCGTGATCAACAACATAGGCGACAGCGATCAGGTTTTGCGCTGGGTCCATAAACACATCGAGGTTGTCTGAGTGGGGAACTGGACACAAGGTTCCTGAGAGCCAGTTGCGCTGGATTGATTGTTGTGATAGCTTTGGAAGTATTGAACAGATGCTGGCCGTGTCTTCTTGTGCGCTCCAGAAGTAGAGATGCCCACTAGCAATCTTTTCCCCAAAAATATCGTGCTCTTTTTATGGGGAAAATTTCAAAAGAGTGGATGTCAACCTTGAACCATGCGTAGGCTTTGTCTCTTAAAAGTTGCAGGCACTTGGAAACAGGAATGTTATTGTCCGTGTTCGGGCCAGGGAGCAACCGTTGTCCACTCAGTTCAACGATGTACTGAAGCTCGGAGGACGACATGTACGTCTGGCGAAGGGCCTTACAGACTTGTGAGAGGATCATCAGAATAGAAGTTCATCTAGGACAGCAACAACATGAATTGCGACCTACGGACGTACACCGAAGAATATCTCGGCAAGAAAGGAAGCTCATAATGTAAGACATGAGTTCTTCAACAAGAGACAAGAACCCTGTTTGGGGCTTCATTTCATTGTCCATTCTCTTCACGACTCGGAGGCGAGAGAAGTAACTAGTCTCGACCAGGTATGAGTGAGAATGTGAACGCTTGAACGCCCACAATCAGCACATGAATTCAACTTCAAGTCCGAGTCGGAGCGTAAAATTTCCGTTCACTTTGTTAACGTAATGTGTGATGATATATCTCAACGGCAAGCTCATCTACTAGTTTGCCTACGAGAAGATACAGTTTCAAGAAAATTAGATGGACTACTACAAATGACCGAATATCTGTCAAAGACATCTCGAGTAGGAAGACTGGCTCCAGATAAGCTGAGAGGGTTGAACACAGATATAATTCAGTTACTTAACAAAGAATCATATGAAACAGCATGCAGCCTAGGTCGGCACGTGAAAACCGAGAGTGCTGTGGCAATTTCAATATATTCAACAACATCTCTGCTAGCGATACATTCACCGTATCCGTCCGGTTATGGGTTGAAGGGAAGATGATCTACTCGTACGATCAGAATAAAACGAAGATTTCGGCTTAGCTGCACGTACTGGTAGGTGACCCTCTGGGGTGTTTGTCTCTAGTGACTCGTATCGAGAACAAAGTATCACTTATGATGCCAAGTCTCTCCACGACGAGCGTAGAGATACCTAAGTTCTCCAGACCGGCAGCGATAGATCTGCGCCTGCGACGACGACAGAGCTGCGCGCGTCCGGCACCAATCACGCCGAAGACCAAGCCTTCAAGTCTTCGTTTTGAGTCGAAATGAAGACGCCAGTGCAATCGAGATGCGAGAGCCGCACCTGTCTCCTGCAAAGAGACCCCGTGATACTTGCGCTGGCTCCTGCGATAAGTTGAACTTCGAGACTGCAGGGGCTTCTACGCTGTCGTCGTTACAAAGGAATGAGTGAATGGCGAGGTCGATCGCGCGACATAGGATTCAATAACCACGCCGGTGGTGTGGCGTAGAGCGTGAACGGTTTGAGAACAAGGTGCGCCAGGCTGTAGTACCATTCCTCAGCTCAGAATCCTCAGCAGATTCCAAAGAAGACGCGGAATTACACGGACAAGGGTCTGTGTGACCCCGATGCTGCATACGACTATTATGATGCAGAATCTAGATTTCGGCATCTGACAAAAGTCTAGAGTGATGCGCACCACCGCAGCTGCCTACTGAGGGCATTGTCTGCTTCGGCTATGTCGCAGGCGGTAGCGGCCGCTTGGGATCTGACTCATCAGCGTAAATGGCTTGGGGAATGGCGGATCTCAACCAGACGTTTAAAGCTTGCGCCTAGATTGGGGAGTAGCTTAGAAATAATGCGTGATGCATCCTAGTGTATAGTCTGAAAACCTGCTAGAGGCGATAGCGTAAGAGAGCGTAAGGAGCGGTCGGCCCTGCTCGGCGACTCGGTCCAGTTCGTTTTTTGCCGCTTACACGAAAACCATGTCCGATCGAACCAACCAGACGTTCCCATCAAAACATCAAAATTCAACCTAACGAGCGTGTTGCCGAGAAGGACCTTGGTGATCTTGGTAGAAAATCACCGAGATTGATCACGGAAACATTGATGCCATACCAGGCGTGTTATGGTAGACAGCAGTGGACATACTGTGTCTGCCACGCCACGTCTGACTACGGGACACTGAATTTGGGATCAGGGTAAGTGAAATAAATGCGTGGTCACTTAACTGGAGACTTGAGCACAAGTTCAAGCGGAGATTCACGACCTCATAGCGTCCGTGAGATCACACGCACTTCTCGTCTGCGTCCCAAAAAAGAAAATAAGCAACAAGTTCCATCTATCGCCCTTGCCAAAAGTTATGACAAGAGTGGGATTTGAACCCACGCCCTCTTACGAGGATGAGAAACCTGAGCCTATCAGGCAAGCTTTCGCTTGAGTCACACGCCATAGACCGCTCGGCCATCTTGCCATATTCCCTTAATCCGTGACCTGTCAACAACACTAGCCCAAGACGAGTACTCACTTATACGCGAGACTAGTCTCTCAAATATTCTTCTTAACTGTGTGGACGAAGGGAGAGTGATCCACTGCAAGCTGGAGCGTGAACGGCCTGCAAAGCACGAGTAGTTAGACAGAGTCAACATTCAATGATAAATGTTTGGGCAGTACTCAGAGTAATATTCGTCAAAATTCCCTAACGTTTATCATCGCATTGACAAAGAACATTATGTCGGCGTGCACGCAAGGAGCTGAAGTAGGGTGTACTGGAAGCTGCACGAGTTACATCAATCGATGTCATCCATCGTTGCAATTGTCATTGGAGGGGTAGATCCTTGGAAGGAGAATATTTAGCCGACACAAACGCATGAGCGGTAAGTCCGGGTGCCGTGAAGGGAACGCAGAAGGACAAAATTAGGTGCACCAACTGCCATCACGTGGACAGGCAGACATGGCCAGACTTTCGGTGTGATCAGGTGTGATGGTGGAGAGGCTATGTGTATTCGGCCACGTCTATCTGAATAAATAGCTACATTGTAGCATACACACGGCTCTGCAACTCAAGGGGGATGTGAAAGAGTACAGTGAAATGAATGATTACGAAGAAATATAATGTCAAGAGCAACGAAAAGGAAGCAAGAGACTGCAGACGTCAGTGAGCGCAACAGCGTGAAGAAAAAGCAAACATACATAATGTACTAATCGTCGCTAGCATCGCCGGTATTCTCGGCGTCACTTGATGGTGGTGGGGTCTGCTTCTTCTTGCGGCTAGCTTTAGGCGCACCAGCTGCAGCCTTTGGCTTCCTAGGCTTTGGCTCCTTGCCACGATTTGGGTTCTCGGGTGCTTCCCGCCACATTGCTGCAATCTTGGAGGCGTGTTAGACATGCAAGGGACGCATATATGCGCATATGCGCACCTCGGACATGGCTTCTTTGATTGGTGCGCCGGGATGTGCCTCCTTCCACTCTTTCATGTGGGCTTGTACGAAGAGGTTGTATGCACTTGGTGCGCGCTTTGGTTTGTCCTCCTTTTCTGTGATGAAGTGAGTAGGACGAAGAAGAAATATAAAGGGATGACGAACCAGCCTTGGAGGTCTTGGTGTTAGCACGTTTTGTTGCAGCCTTTGTCGTTGATTCTTTACGACGATGAGAGGCTGTTTATAAAAAAAGACGCGTTGAACTGACCTGTTGCTGATTTTGCCATGATGGTTTAGGATGAGGGTGAATTTCGTTGATTGATTTGAGGGTTATCGATCTTTAAACGTAGTCGCGTCGGGGTTTAAACGCGACGTGTTATTCGTCACGTGGGGTGGTCAGTGCACCTTGGCTAACAACGGGAATAGCCGAAACCTATTTGAGGAGGGAACCATTTGACATGATCGCATCAACCTTTCTTTGTTTCCGTAGCGCTCGTCGTTCCAAAATTAATTCTTAGAGGCCATGTCTCCGTCCGCTCTTTCATCCGCACTTCTTGCTGTTGCAGCGATTACGCTTGTTCGCGCTCAGCCTGACCCTGCTGACCCCACTCCTCTTGTTGACAAGCACTATGCCTATCCGTCCGGTATCGTGAGTGTGCGGTGGCGCGTAATAGAATGGTGCTCACCGTATATTATTAGCCTTACCAAGTCGACTATAATACTGCTGCCATTCGCGGTCCCCAAGTCGGTTACAATATTTGCAACTCCACAACCGAGAACCAGAGTTCCATGTGTCAAACTTCGTTCGTGAACCACATAGATGGTCAGTTTCGTTGTCTTTTAATTTATTCATCCTTTTTAAAAATCATGCAGACTTTTGCCTCTGGGCCCCCCACAGCCCAACTCCACCATTGGTGACACCGAAGGTCAGGAAGTCGCCTGGTGTACAAAGCCAGGACACGGTACTCGTCTCATCCCCGCTGGTGCTCTCCAAGGCGTACAGCTCATTAAGACTCCAAACTACATCCAAATCGCCGGTTTCATTGACCAGACCCAGATCAACATTGCTGCTAACGACTACGGAGGCGAGTTGGACCCCCACGGTGCTGATCTGGTGAGAAAAAAATACTATGAGATATCTCCCTTGGGTGGAACCTTAACGTGACTTGTAGCGCGGTAACCCTCTTGGCGGTCTCATGTACTCTAACGCTTTCCCCAGCAACGGCGGTAACAATGACTCGTACCAACAGGTTACTGATTGGACAAAGTGTGTTCTTTTTCCCGCCCTTTGTCTACATGTCTCATCTCCCTTTCAGCTTTATGGGCGGTAACGGCTTCTGCCTCAAAATCTGCGATCCCGCCGGCCAGAACCAACAAGCTCTTTGCCAAAACATCTATGACCGCCTTGGGTGTGCATACAACGCACCCAACAACGCACAGAAGGGTGTTTTCGAGGTCTGCGATGGTGATGACATGTCCCCCGTCGGTGTCTACACTACCGGTGGCGCTACCTCGACCTACTTCCAACCCCCCGAATCTCTTGGCCCCATCACTACCGTGCCATACACCGCTACACCTGCTCCAAGTTCGAACTGCGTGACGTACTCGAGCACGTCACTGTACACCGGTCAGCCAACGCCATCAGGCGCGACCGCGAGTTCAGGTGCAAGCGGAGCAAAGTCAACAGCAAGCAGCACCAATTCCGGCGCATCACCAGCTAAAACTGGTGGTGCTGCCACTATGGGTGTATCACTTGGCGCTGGACTTGTTGGTGTAGTGTTCGCGATGGCATTCTTGTCGTAAGACAGTGCGGATGTTATTAGATTGACAGGGAGATGAATCGTTGCATCCACATTCACGTACTGCGTTTTTTCGAATGATCATTTTGTTTTATCACGCTTAGTAACGCCACACCGCATGCATTTTGGTTGAGTTAGATGCGGGTACAGACAGACAGACTTTCATAGCTTATCATTCATTGCATCGAGATTAGAGTAATACCCACGTTTTTAATGTCATTGATCTGTGTACAGCAGGGCACAAACAGCCTGCTTTGAGCTCCATTAATTTCGTGGTCCACTTTTGACAAGGCAAGATAGACAATAGCCTCTCGTGTGAGTCTTACAGATTATGGCGAGTCTTGAAGATGCTGGAGCCATCATTTAGCTCACTTTCGGAATACGAATCTTTTGACAAAATGAAGTCTAACGCAGGGTTCCTCTTTCTCGCTGAAGAACTGAAGTTCTACATTCTGCGTTTTCTTCCCTACCGAGATATTCTTCGTTGCACATCTGTGAGCCGCAATCTAGTTTCTATGTTGATGGTCCAAGATAGAATTCTATTCTAACAATCCTCTTGCAGGTATGTAAGGCTCTTCGCCAGACATGTGTCCTCCTCCGAGCTTCAGTACATCGTTGAACTCGGCGGCCAACATTTGATTCCCATCTCCAATACGGACTCAGACAACCACACACCTGTTTCCGAGCGCCTACAACACTTGAGGGACAGAGCTCACGCTTGGTTCAGAGTTGACATCCACTCTGCTAAAACGGTGTCTATACCAAAGCTTTCACTCTATGATGTTAGTGTCGTAGCCGACGAACATCTTTACTTGTGGGACCAAGAAGATGACACGGCCATGGTCAAACCGATACTCCCAAAACCCTCACAACGAACAATCGAGCGTAACTGGTCTCCAGGAACGTTGTGTACAGTTCCCAACTCAACCAACCTCTGTGTGTTGATGGATCCAGCACAAAACCTGATCGCCGTTGTCTATTTTGATGACGAGACACTCTTCATCAACCTTAGAGCCCTGGTTGATGATAGTTTTCACCCTCAAGCTGCTGGACCAATATTGTTTCTGTCGGAGCTTCCCGGATACGACAACGATGTGGATTCAGAGAGTGTGAAGCTCAAGGTTATGGGGAGGCATATCGCTTTGCAGCTTGCTGCTTCGAACTGTGACACGTGGCAGCTGCAGATTTGGGACTGGCAGCGCTCGACGACATCAGATGTGAGCTTTGGCCAGAAACTGTTGAAAGACTCCACAGCTGACTCTCAATTTAGAATGTCCTCAGCGGTGATCATCCCTATGAGGTTGATTTTTGTTTCCTCAGAAACGATAGATTGCTCGTTGTCGCTGACAATTTGAAACTCTATTCAATCGAGGATATGTCCAAGACGCCAGAATTACTGGCGTCTTTTGTGCTGCCCGTCCAACTGCCGGGCATGACAGCATGTCTCCTTCCCGTGGATAGTATTACGTGTAGCTCACAACCGCAGATGCAAGTCCAACAAACAATGTACACCCCAGATCCTAAACATCGGCTACTCTGCATTACCATGTACACGTATGTGTCGTCCATCGTCTACATCATTTCTACCAGGATTTTCTTCGATCTTCCCGAAATAGCAGTAGCGACACCAATACCGTGGAAATGCTGGGGTCCTTCAAACACTCGTATTTTCCGATGCCCGCCAGAGCACGACGAATGCAGAGTTCACCATAACGGAAATCGAGTTTTACTACTATTACGAGTCCACAATTCGAAACGCAAGCCAGTGTGGAATCGCAAATATGAGTTGTGTATCATGGACTTCAGCCCGCTAGCTGTGAGGAACAGTCGGGGTCTCGGACAAGTGGTGACAAAGCCATCTACGCTAAACGTCGCTGATCTAAATTGCAAGCGTAACAGTTGTGAGGAGCGCTTGACGACTTTCCTGCCTTATGTCAAGGTCGTATTGAACAGGAGGTTCGGTCTTGACGATTTAAAGAACATATGGATGGATAAGGATAGGATTTATTTACTCTCAGACAAGCTCGAGGTCATTGACGTTTAAAACATCCCATGATAAATCGTCGACATTGTTTAGACTTCTAATACCTATGTACTAGAAGAAACAACCATCCTCCTTCGTCTATAAAGGCCTTTCTAGTGGAGACCATAGTCTATGTGCTACTTACACAGATATCGGACTTCCCTCCTTGCGTTTTCCAGTTCACTCGGCTCATTTACACGGAATGCTAATAGGTGAGTTCCAAGCAGTACAGAGTCTAAAGATTAAGCAACTATCGAAGCCTGTCGATTATCTATCTTCATAACAAGTTACTAATTGTCCGCTCTAAACATCGATGACCTCCAGTGTGGTCAACGTACGCATCCAATTTGTGTTGAGTAAGTAAATTCTATCATTATCGATCCACATGGCTTTTAACTTGTCAAAACTGAACTTCCGGTCAGATACGACCTCAACATAAGGTAGGGACGTTGAAATCGTCAAGCTCTCCTGCAAACTTGCCAGTGAAATTAATGGTAGATGTCTCCTTCACCACTCGTCCTAGACCCCGCCTGTTTGTCACAGCTCGCGGGCTGAAGTCCATCATATGCAACACATATTCGTTAGGGTCCGGGTCTGACGTGTTGACTGGGAATGCCTGCAGAACCCGATTCCCACTAACGTGAACTTTGCATGAATAATGGTGCTCAAAAATACGAGCGTTTGAAGGGCCCCAGTGGTTCCATGGTATTGGCGTTTCCGCTGCCGTTACGTTGACGTTGAAGAAAACCCTTGTGGAAATGATGAAGACTCGAGTGGGAAAGGATGCGATAAGGCATATTAGTCGATTTTTAGCGTTTGGGGTGTATGTTGTTTGTTGGGCATGCGACAGCGAGCGGTGCTCAGTATCATCCATCGGAAGGAGACACTGTATGTACGACAAAGGGAGGGGCGACAGGAAGCATGCCAGTAATTGTGGCGTCTGGGATATATCCTCGATTGAATAGAGCTTCAAATTATTATTGGCGACAACCAGTATTCTATTATTTCCGAGGAAACAAAAAGCGATTCCGTGTAGTGTTGTGATGCCGAGGACGCACTAGATAGAGAATCAACTATCACGACTTTCAACAATTTCTAACCAAAGCTCACATTGGATGTCGTTGAGTGTTGCCAATCCCAAATCTGCAACTGCCATATATTCTCGTGGTAAATCCCGGCTCCATGACCAACCGCAACCTCAACAGAGCGCTGTAAAGCAATATGCCTCCCGAAACCCCTGAGCTTCGCACTTGTTGTTTGAATACGGTTGTCATTGTATCCGGGCGGCCCCGACAGATACAGTGTCCGTCCAGCAGCGTTGGGGTGAGCACTATCACAATCCAGTGCTTCAAGGTCGATGTAGAGTGTCTCGTCACTCTCGTGATCAACCTTGTACACGACGGCTTTCAGGTCCTGTGCTGGGTCCATGAATACATCGAGGTTGGTTGAGTTGGGAACTGAACACAACGTTCCTGGAGACCAGTTACGCTGGATTGTTTGTTGTGAGGGTTTTGGAAATATTGGAATGATTGTGGCCAAGTCTTCCTCTTGGTCCCATAAGTAGAGGTGCCCATCAGCGACATATTTTTGCTCAGAGTACCAATTTACGTTGACAGTTTCAAAAGAATGGAAGTCAACATTGAACCATGCGTGAGCTTTGTCCCTCAAGAGTTGTAGGCGCTTAAAAATAGGACTGTGATTGTGCGTGTTGGGGACAGGGAGTAACCCTTGGCCGCCAAATTCAATGATATACTGGAGCTCGGAGGATGACAGGTACGTCTGGCGAAGTGCCTTGCATACCTGCAAGAGGACTGTCAGTATATACTGTGTAGGTGACAATCATAACCCACAGATGCACAACGAAGAATATCTCGGCAAGAAAGGAAGCTCATAATGTAAAACTGGAGTTCTTCGGCAAGAGCCTGAAACCCTGCTTTAGGCTGCATTTCACGGACTACTCTCTTCACCAGGTGAGATGGGCAAGTAGTCGTCTCGACCATCTGATACAAGTGAGAAGTCATGGAAACGATTTGAGCGCCCAGCGTGAAAACCTCATATAATTGCCTCCCGAATGCCGTAAATCAGTGTGACGAAACACCCTGCTGGGGACTGGTCGCTAGTCAGTACTGAGTATGTCAATCCTCATGCATGGGAGTACAGACTAGATCGTGGAACTACGATGCGACTGCAAAAATAGTTTCGCAGACACTGAGGACAGCCTCTGCAGAAGCACAGAAATAAGATACACATTGAAAACATACGGTTTTATGACAAAGTAGAAAGAACAGTACATTACCATCAGTCCGATGTTCCGAACATACTGCTTTGCGTGCCTTCAGAATAATCATATCTGTCCCTGGACAGGGGAGAGGATGCCACACTCGCACGCAAGGGAGGTCCAAAGGTTCGATATTCTGCAAATTGAAATCAGACATGAACAGCAAAGTTGATACAAAAAACACTCACTTTAAGGTGTCATCCAGAGGCGTTGAACAGTTAAGAGGAAATACACGTAGATACACACCGTAACTTAATGTGTACACGTCACCTTAGCTCTTGAGCTCACTGTTTCACATCACTGTCGAGCGTCGATTAGAAGGATGATTAGATAGAACAAGATCGAGCATGTGTTATGCGGTGGCTCGAGAACTCTACACATAGAGAATACTATTCTCGATGTTGACTATCAGCAAGGTGAATATAGAACTTCGGACGTGTGGCGCATGGACCAGCGGCACGGTGGGACGCACTCGATCTATGGGATGAAGCTAGATGTGGCTAGCGTACTAGTCTATGCCTTAATGTTAGTTTTTCATAGACAGAAATAAAATCAAACGCATTATAGATCCAATGGTGATCTAATTTGCATATCGTGACAGGACATGAATGATTGAAGCTACTAGGGCAATATTTTTTTGGCTCGAAACATCGACCCGAACCTAGCAGAAAGAGGGTTTGAGGGTGAACTGTATGGCAGGTGGGCTGCAAGACCTCACAGAACGAAATGAACGTCGTTCTATCGGAGAGAGATGCGTCGAGTGAAAATGTGAAAAATGATTAACAAATCTTACATTTATTAGAGCGAGACGCATCCTGCTGAAGGGAATGGTGGACGGGCACGACGAAAAAGAGCGTACTCAAGCAGAATTGATCTTGCGAGTCGTGGTACGAACTTCGAAGCAAGAAAGATGAATCATAAAAAAACTTAGATGCCACATAGAACATAATATAGGATTACACGAGGATCAATACTTACATCATGATGCCCATCAAGACAAGCTCTACAGTTCACGAAATATCTTGAGTTGATCGGTCCATCTAACACCGACTGAGCGAATGAGTTATCTGGTCATGGGTTCAGGTTGATGAGCATGCGTTCAGCGCTCAACCTTCGGTCCTTGTGCAAGGGTTTGGATATCCTAGCGTTTTTCCGAATCATAGCAAGTTGTTACAACGACTGATTTGAGTCATTCGACATTTTCAATCGCAACAGAGTGATCAGTGCTAGTGAAGTTTGAACGTTCTGCTACTAGCCTACCTCAGATAGTACTACATAATGTCAGCATGCGGACTTTGAAACCATACATCCAAACGTCTTGGATACTCATCGGAGTCATGACCTTGGGGCGAAACGAGTTCGTGGCCACAATGAACTCAAGCAAGTACTGTGCAGATATGAATCAGTCGTAGGATCACAGGAAAGGTGTTCAAGTGTCGCCTTTCTACCCTACAAATTGTTACAATGACTAGTTCAGTAAGTAACTACCAGATGCACATCACGATGCTTCATAATACATGCATCAGACGTTAATGACCTCGAGCCGGCTAGACTGCGGTACACGCCCAGGCCTCCGCAAAGGTCCCAATTAGCGCTGAGCAAATAAACCCTATCCTTATCGACCCATAAGTCTTCTGCCTGTAAACGTCCGCAACAGAACCGAACTTTCTGTCCAATACAACCTCGAAGGCTCAACGTAAGGCAACAGACGTTGTCAAGCTCGTCGTAGATGACTCTTTTATCACTCGTCCTAGACCCCGCCTGTTCATCACAGTGTAACCCGAGTATTGCATACAGCTGGGAATGCTACGGTTCCCGCAAACGTGAATTCTGAATTTTTCCATGTGTAGGAAAATACGAGCATCTGAAGGGCTTAGCATGTCCACAGTATTGGCGTTGCTCTTGCCATTCCGTCCAGGTCAAAAAGGAAATGATGAAGACCTAGTTAGGAGAGGCCAGCTTAGCAATGCAAAGTAACTGGTGTTTGGGGTCTGAGATATACGTCGTTTGTTGCGCTTGCTCTAAGGTCGATGTCGACTGTTTCATCCGACTGGGGAGGACCACCAGGAAAAGCACACACGACGGCAAACCGGTTTTTTACTGGGTCCATGAAAACAGCGAGGTTGACTGAGTGGGAACTAAACACAACGTTCCTGGAAACCAGTCGCACTTGGTTTGTCGTCGTGAGGGTTTTGATAGTATCGGAATGATCGCGGCCAAGTCTTCATCATCGTCCCACAAGCAAAGATGGTCATCGGCGACGAACGTGTCCGGTCAGTTCCTCAGGTATAGAGTGTTTCGAAAGATTGGAGGTTGAACTTTAGGCTTTGTCCCTCAAGAGTTGTAGGTGCTTGGAAATAGAAGTTCCACGTCGGGGACAGGAAGCAACTGTTGGCCACCGAGTTCGATGATGTACTGAAGCTCGGAGGAAGACGTGTATGTCTGGCGAAGGGCCTTACATGTCTGCAAGAGGATTGTCAGTATGAAAGCCCGTTAGAACAGCAGTAACAAAATTGTAACCATGAAATATCTCGGCAAGGAAGGAAGCTCAGAATGTAAAACCGGGTCCTTCGGCCGGGGATGACCTTCATTTCGTCATGAGCTCCCTTGACAAGGTGAGACGGGCAACTTGTATCCGCCAGATATGAGCAAGAAAGGTTTGAGCGTACGCTACCTAGTTGAACAAGATTCGTCTCCAAACTTGTTGCTGCTCGTGTAAACCCGAGCCTTCAAAGCAACAAGCGGACTTTGAAACCATTCGTCTCGAAAACTATGAATCGTCAACACATAAGTACAGCTGTACAGGGTTGTTCCACCTATCCAAATTCCTGAGTGAGTCATTTTTGTTATGGCAATGGAGCCTCCGAAGAGGGCGAGAGTGGAAGCGTTGTGCACGGGCTCAAGCGAAAATAGTCAGTCGTCGCCACTATCACTGGCACAATCGCGAGACCTACAGTGATTATCACTACTATCATCGTGATAGTTACGTAGTGTGGAGCAGGTTTGGAACACCGCGCCCAAACCACTTTCTGATTCGAATTTCAAGTGCGCCCATTTCCCGCGTAACATCTCACCAACCAGTCGATGGATCTCAACGCTTGCCGTTCATTGGTGGCCTACTAGTAAGCCCTCTATCTCACCTTCAGGTAAGTGTCGCTTGTTGTCGCATGGGGGGAATTCACAATCAATATCAGTCACTCACGTCAGGTCACATCTCGGTTCATAGATTCTGGCTGAGCTGAGATTCTGGCTGAGAAGCCCTTTCAGAACTTTGAACGACACTAGGCGCCGAGCGCTCTTTAGGCCATCTGTCGAACGTCTCACCGATATGTTGCTCTTCTTTCGCAGATGAGTTTCCCGAGTCTCCCAGTGTGGCGTCTTTCTGTCAAAGTTCAGCTTTCTACGATTCAGGGGGGCCTGATAGGGACTCAATGTATGAGTCGTTCAATTTTTTTTACCCACAGATCAGGTACGGATTCACAGCCTCCATCGCGAAGCCCATCAGGAACTTCGAAACATCGCTACCGTAATCCACCGTGATCATCTTTGCGCAACCGTGACTGATGCGGCTGAATAAGGGGGTTATAACCACGTACGCTCGTAAGCACTTCACCATATTAGGCGACGGGATTTGATGATTTTGGCTGTGCATTAATTGTTCCGTGCCTCAAACAGGGTTAACCTTATCGGTTTGTCCAATGAGAAGAATGATGGATCAGCCAACTTACTAGCAGTATCAGTTGTCTTTCCGACATTTAAGCGTTAGATCGGGGGTCTGAAGTTATGGCACGCGTAAGCGTAATATAAAGGTCTTAATAGCCCCACTCAATTTGCAATTTATTTCGCCCAGTTTATTTCTTCACGAGCAAATAGTGCTCAAGTGTGCTGTGGCCCACAGCTTGTAATAACAAACACCCTGCTCGTGTTTCTCTACTTATCGTAAGTCTAGCAGTTTGAAAGTCCTGTGGGTTTCTCATCTTCAACTAACGATTTCAACAGTATCGGCCAGGATGCACTGGCAGCTCACAGTCACGCAACAAGAAACCATCACTTGCTACGATGATTTGGGCAATCCAAAAACGCACGGTTTAGAGCAGAGATATGTCAGTCCTTCCACTGGGGTCTGTCGAAAGCTCGTCGTGCAAGCCGTCACTCCCCTCGGTAAATCCGAAGTCGCCATCAGCAGCCACACCAACCAGGCAAGCAAAATCGCCATTTGGCTGCTAGCCAATTCTCCCATACGAGGGTGGATTATTTTTAAATGGATAGCCGTATGGCTTTGGTTTACGTTGAAGCTCTTGTGGACGGTCGTCTGGCTGCTCGCACAGTTGTTCTTTCTCGTCGATTTGGCAGATGATACTGGGGAGGATACGGACGTTTATAACACTGGATACTACAAACCGTATGCTCGCGGGTTCCAGGGTCAGCTATGGGCAGCTCGTTCGCCTATGGAGCATTCTTCGCGCATTATTGAGGAGGGCGAGATGGATATCCCTACACATACCCTTTATCCTCGAGTTCTTATTATCCGCGACCCGATCCAAAACGAGTGGGTCACATGTACAGATCGTGATATCATTATCCATACCAAATTCATTGCCATCTCTTACCGCGCCGTTGATGCCTTCACTCGAGGCCCAGATCAGGAGACAGAAAAGGCTCAATTCGTAGAGGAGGTTCGCGCAGCGGTACTCGAACAGAAATACGATGCGTATTGGCTCGACTTGGAGTGTATAGGAGAGACGCCGTCAGAGAAGAATCGAGATTTGTACTGCATGGCGGATGTCTACCGTGGAGCAGAGGTGACTTTGATCATGCTCGGCAAATCTGCGGCTGGGGTGAATGAGTGCTGGAGAGGCTGGGGCGAACGGGTGTGGACTATGCCCGAAGCCCTCCTGAGCTCTCGCCTTTGCTACAAGTTCCGAGATCGAGAAGTGGTCACACCGTTGTCGCTGTTTGAGCTGGCCAACCTGGCCTATACAAACTACGATATCGAACAGGCTATCATCAATGCATACAGCGGGAAGGATCCGCTTGAGAGGCTGGAGCGCTTGACGCTGTTGAAATCAGCTATTTGGCGGCGCGGTACGGCAGCTCTAGCACCAGGTGTTGCTCCTCCCCCGCCAAAGCTGGATATGATAGGCGAGAAGTCTGTCACCAGTGGGGCGTACAAGGCTGAGCGTGTGTATGCACTGATGGGCTTTTTTGAGCATCGGATTCAGCCAAACCGCTCGGAGGACGATTTGCACGCTCTTGTGAGGCTGTCAATGGCCAACGATAATGACCGTATCGCTGAGCGCATGGTATCCATGCTTCCCTCGACCATTACCAAGACGGCGTGTTGGTACTCTGACGACGATATCTACAGCGCAAACCTTTGGGATATTCTACCGGAGATCCAGGTCGCTGGTATCACAGAGAATGGAGCTCTTGTGGTTGATGGGTGTCGGGCGGCATCCATCAGATGGAAAGATTTCCCAGAGGTTGCGTTTGAGACCACAGACTCGTTAAGGAGGACCATTATCGGTTTCATTCCGTATCTCTCGTGGCCAATTCTTATCATCGGGCTAGGTATTGTGATGATCAGCCTAGTGGGAGGCGCCACGCTCATCGCAATCGGATTCTTGCTCCTCGTTATTTCCCCTCGGCTGTTCGTTTTCAGTCAATCTGGGCGTATCGTCAGCGCCCAACCATGGTTCATCGGAGTGAAAGGGGTCGTCAGTATCAAAGAGGTGGAGAAGCACTTGTACGGTGGCGCCAGAGGACATTTCCCAAGAATGTATTTCACGCCGAGCGGATCACAGTTCTCGATCCCAGAACGAGGCGTGGAACGAGGAGGTTCACTCAGACAATACGACTATGCCAAACTAGCGGATAGTGGACCAGATGCAGGACACATCTATACACTCATTGACACGTCCTCATCGACGATGTACTATTTCCGTGCGGAACGACCGCCAACAGTGTGTATATTCGCCGGACGGGAGGGAGGGCTTGGGAGGTTTGTGCTGTGTTCGGAGAAGTGTGGTATCAATGAGTTGCATAAGGAGAGCGTGTTGAGGATGCCGACGGAGATCAGTCAGAAAATGGAGTTGTCTGGATGGATCGCGCTTGGATGAGATTGTTTTGCTAGGACGTTTCACTATCTTTTGTCAGAACCTTTCACTATCCTTGAACATGTACTTTACCGATATCCTTTATCTAGTACTATAGCAATATATTATGCCGATTCACTGTAGAATGTTGTCGCAATATTGAGGTAGCTTTTGTTAAGCCCCATAATGATGAACATTTCGACTCTGATTATTCTTATAGGATCATCCCCCCCTAACTGTTCCAGGGCTTAAGCCACCGAGTGTCGTGCGGAAAAAGCCAGGGATTATCTAGACGTTGGCGGTACTTGCTGAGTACTCTAGTATTACTCAGGGGTGCTGAATGTCTTGCAAGCGCAACTTTTCAATAGCTTCCCACTCACTGATCTGATGGTTGACCGACTTGTCAAGGGAGCAGACCACTAAATGAAGCTTAAACCAGTATTCCCCCAAGAACTCTGGGTTTATAGTTTAAGCTTCCTTTCCTGCAGAGGTCGTCGTCATTGCCCTAGACGGAATCTTATACTGAGTCACTAGTTCTTACAGGTATGTAAGACCCATCGCCATGTCCTCCGGGCTCCAGTACATCGTCGAACTCAGCGGCCAATGCTTGCTCCCCATATCTAACTCGAACATGGACGATCATGCCCCTATTTCCGAGCGCTTACAACGCTTGAGGGATAAAGCCCATGCATGGTTAAGTTCAACACCTGTTCTTCCCAAACAATTTTTCCACCAGCAATGCCATCTCCTGGGCCAAAACACGTCTCTGGTGAACATCCTTACTTGTGGAACAACTATAATACCTTGGTCAACATCAGGCCAATACCATCCAAACTCTCACAACAGACATTCGAGCACGGGTGGTCACCAAGAATGTTAGGTCCACATTTTCCTAGCCAGCGAAGCTTGATGTCGATGTCGCCAATGATTTGAAGCTGTATTCGATTGAGAATATGTCCGAGACGCCACAATTGCGGCGTGTTTCCTGTTGCCTTTCCCATTGGTGGACATAAAGTGCATCTTTCCGGCTGAGCATAGCTATAGCTCACAGCTCCAGAGCCGCAACCTAGTACACCCTGAACACAGGCTACTATGCCTTACCTCGATGACTGATAATCGAATGATCTTCATTTCCACGAAGATTTTCTTCAACGTCGACGAAACGACGGCAATGACGACAATACCGTGGAATCATTGGGGCCCTACACGTGTTCGCGTTTTAAGTACGAAGCACGAAATGCATTCAAAGTTCACGTCCGCGGGAACCGAGTTTTGCTGACATCCAAGATGATATCAGAGACACATGAATATGAGCCACGTATGTTGGACTTTAGCCCACTTGCCGTGACGAATAGGCGGGGTCTAAAAGAGCCAACTACGATGGTCCAAAGTGGCTCCAATTCAGGGGACGGGATAACCCAGCGGTGTTTGACGATTGAAACGTTTTTGCCTTATGTCGAGGTGTGTCAGATAGGAAGATCGGTGGTGGGTGGTTGGAGGATGCATGGATGGATAAGGATAGGATCTATTTGCTGCAAACGTGGTGGATACTGGAGAAGTTAGCAAGCTTGAAGTTATTGACATTTAGAAGCACCAAGGCTATGTAAGTCTGTGCAGAATGTTATCGGCGACGACAAGCAAGCGTGGGCACCGCCATTCATATCGGCGACAACTTTAGTACGCAGTAGCAGGAAGTGATAAGCAGCCGAAGCGAACAATACGAGCGCTTGATAGAGACAGCTACTACTAATAGATCCAGTGAAAGGGAAACCCACGATTATATTGACTCGCATGACGTCCATATGGCAGATTATTACGCTTAAACTGCCTAAACCCTTCGGGCCTTCTGGGTTCTGGCACTTCTTTCATCTCCATTTATTTCAATTTTCTTACTGACTTGTCGTTTATCCCGACTTGAAACAGATTGAAACTTCTACGGGCCCTGTTTAGCCGCTGGCAGGGCTGGCACCTAGGAGAGGAGTACTCAGCAGCTTGTAGCTGTGCCACAGGAGGTCCTCGGGCCTCTATATCAACCTTGAACTACTTTTCAAGTTTAGGTCGTCCTTTTCAACTGGTCCGACATCGCTGGACTCGTTCAAAACTCATCTCACTAGCACCACCATCTCAATATGGCACCGGCCGTGCCCAAGAAAGCCCAAAAACTTGGGCGTGCTCTTAAATCCGCAGCCCGTTTCCCGGGCCGTGGTAGCGGTCGAAACCACTACTCTCCCTCTCCAGGCGAGCAACCAGTCGTCTTCCTTCGCGTTCAAGTCATCGGCTGTCGTAGCCTCGCCAGGGCTCGAAATGGCGCACAGGCAAAGGAGGGCGACCTCAATCCGTGAGTCTGCTAGTCTCGCATCAGCACACACGACCCTGATCTCTGTTATCATGTGATTATAGCTTGGTCGTCGTTTCCCTCCTCAATAATCGACACCACACTCCTGTCCTCAAACGCACTCCTAACCCGGTCTATGCAGCTAAAGACGCAACCTTCGACTTTCCTATTTATCTCTCTCTTGCTGATAGGCTAGGGTCCGTTGAACTAGTCGTCTGGGATAAGGATACCCTGAAGCTGAAGAAGGAATACGTTGGCGAAGTCGCGCTCACTCTCGACTCTTGGTTTCGGGATGTCGACGGCGACCTGCTTGTCAATGACCTATGTTTCTCAGCTGAAACTAATCAGGTGCGTTCCTTTCGGCCGTATTCATAAGGCTTGGTATTGATACAAGGCTGTAGTCACGCTCTGTGAACCTCGTATCGACACGTGCAAACACGCACGCATCTGGAATGGCAATAGTCAAACTCGGTTTCGTTGCACCCCCTGGTGCACAATCCCCAATGGCTTTTGAGCGAGTCTTTGCTGAACTCGTAAAGCGATCCCGCCCGAGTCTCGTTTCTGCCCCTCCTGTACGTCTCACGCATTTCTTCTACCTTTCCAGATTAACTCATTCATATCCCATAGACAGAAGGCATCGGCACCCTGCGATCTCATTTGACAGGCCCAGCATACGAAGACGATGGTGGAATTAGTTCTGACGAGGAAGACCATGACGACGACGTTGCAGAGGAAGGAGAAGAAGAGGAGGACGAAGATCCCCTCCTCCACCTCTCCCGTCTTTACCTCTCCCCATCTCTCTTACAAGATCAGACTCACGAGAACGGAGAACCCGAGATAGCACGTCCCACAGTAGCACTCCCGCGTCTTCATCTTCCTTCCCCAACACTCTCCCACGTTGAACCCGAGGAACAGGAGCCTGAGACTGCACATCTTATACCTCCTATTCCGACCGCTACACCTACCACAACTCCGCCTATGCGCAGCACCATGTCTGCATCGAAAAGCAGACTCCCAAAACTCTTCCCCCGCCGGCCCAATCTACTCACTTCACCATCCTACGACACGAATACTCCCCACACGGACCGCCTGCATCGACGGTCAGTGAGTGCGGGTGCTATTGTTCCCCCTCCTTCTCCCGTATCACCAGGCCCTTCTAGTGCCGTCTATCAGACACAGAAAAAGAGGTTCCGAACATCTTGGTCAAGCAAAAAGGTAGATTACAACTTTTCAACTGCGAACTCGAACGATATAGTCGGGATCGTGATGCTCGAGATACAAGGCGCGGCTGACTTGCCTAAGCTGAAGAACAGTGCGTTTAAACTCATTGTTGTTTACTTCCGGCGTTGACTCCTCTCTACAGTGACCCGCACCGGCTTTGACATGGACCCCTTCGTAGTGATCTCTTTCTCCAAAAAGATCTTTCGCACGCGTGTAATCCGACACTCCCTCAACCCCACCTGGGACGAAAAACTCCTTTTCCACGTCCGTCGATACGAGACGTCCTTCAAGGTCCAAATGACGGTCCTCGACTGGGATAAACTATCGAGTAACGACCACGTGGGTGATGCATGGTTAGACGTCGGTGAATTGGTAAGAGACGCGCCACAGCCTGATCCACGGACGGGGCTTTATGCAGATGTATGTGGGGAGAACGATGCGGAAGGAAGTGGAGAAGGAAGGGAGATGAAGCAGTTTTGTTTGCCCTTGACGACAGCGAAGGAGATGCCTTGGGAGGCGAAGCATAATCCTACTATTTCCTTTCGGTGCGTTCGCCTTGTTGTCTATTGTCTTCGTCGCTTTAAATTTCGTGACAGGGCAAAGTTCCAGCCCTATGCCGAGCTTCGTCAGCGGTTTTGGGCACAGTATCTGAAGCAGTACGATACGGATGATACCGGTTCCATATCGCACGTGGAGCTCACATCCATGCTCGATTCTCTCGGCTCGACACTATCTGCGCAGACTATCGACTCATTCTTCACTCGCCACCGCAAACGACCAGTAGAAGACGAACTAACGATTGAAGAATCGATCCAGTGTCTAGAAACAGAGCTCGTACGTCCAACATGCGAAAAGAAGAGGATCAATACAATAGACACCTTCACGGACAGAGATAGCAGTGCATCTGCATCAGAATCTATCACACCTGGAGAAGAACTTGGATTACACCTAGCGTTTGGACGGCCGTTCTTGGGCAGCCTGGATTTCTCAGGTCCGCCCTTGGGCGCAATATTGGGGGAAGAGTCGCCTACGGATTTGGGAAGGTCATTGTTTGCGACGGAGTCGAGTGATAGGCCGTTGTTGAGCGTTTGTGTCCCAGAGTCTTCGTCTGCGGCATCGACGCCTGATGGATCTAGATCCAATAACGCGACGCAGGACTCTGCTTCGTCGTCTGACCCTGACGATGCGACTTCAGCCCAAGCGTCCTCCTCAGACACCTTTGAGCGGGTTATTAATATCAAGAATTGCCCGTTGTGCCATCGACCCAGGCTGAACTCGAAAGCGGAGATGGATATCATCACTCATCTGGCTATATGCGCGAGTCAGGATTGGGCCAAGGTTGATAGAATTGTGGTGGGGAACTTCGTGACTGCGAGTCAGGCGCAGAGGAAATGGTATACGAAGGTTATTTCGAAAGTGTCGAATGGGAATTATAGGATTGGAGCTGTGAGTGTCATAACTGGCATGTTGTCTTGGCTGAGTCGTGCTGATGATGCATCTCCTAGAACTCGGCGAACATCATCGTGCAGAATAGGATGACGGGGCAGTTGCAGGAGGAGAAAATGCAGGTGTATGTTCGGCTTGGAATTCGGCTATTATATAAGGGTGCCAGAGGGAGGATGGAGGGCGCACGAGGTTCGCACATCCATATTCCTATCCGTCATTCTTCCCAACTCGACATGTTTCAGCTCGTCGCCTTCTTAAGTCGTTATCCATCAAACAAGGTGCCAAATACGACTCACCAGAATCAACTCGCTATATCCCGAGTTTCATCGAGTTCCATGGACTTAAAGTCGATGAGATCTTGGAGCCGATCAGTTATTTCAGTATGTTTCACCTCTCCTATGTGTACCCCGCTGATCTTTGTTAGAAACCTTCAACGATTTCTTCTATCGTAAACTCAAGCCCTCCGCCAGACCCACCGAAAGCCCAGACGACCCCCGCCGCCTCGTCAGTGCCGCCGACTGCCGTCTCATGGTCTTTGAAACCGTCTCCGAAGCTACAAAGCTCTGGATCAAGGGCCGCGAGTTCAGCACTGCGAGATTACTGGGCGATGTGTATCGTGATGAGGCGGAGAGATACGTAGGCGGGCCTCTGGCGATTTTCAGACTCGCACCACAGGATTATCATCGGTTCCATGTTCCTGTGGATGGGAGGATTGGGGAGATTAGGGATGTGAAGGGGGAGTATTATACTGTGAACGTGGGTGGTTTTGTCTTTTTTTGATTGAGTGGGGACTAATGATAGCGTGGCTAGCCTCAAGCGATTCGGAGCGCGTTAGATGTATATGGAGAAAACGTGAGGAAGATCGTACCTATTGATAGTCCGCAATTTGGACGGGTTATGGTGGTTTGCGTTGGTGCGATGATGGTGGGGAGTATCAAGATAACTGTTGAAGAGGGACAAGATGTCAAGCGTGGTCAAGAGCTTGGATATTTTGCTTTTGGTGCGCAATTTCTTTCTGTATGCCGTGTACTCGTTTTCTAAGTGAATGTATCATCACAGGGGGCTCGACGATCGTCGTTTTATTCGAACGGGGAACAGTGGAATGGGATGAAGATCTAGTGATTAATGGGAGAGCTTGTTTGGAGACGTTGGTCAGAGTGGGGATGGGGATTGGAACTTGTAAGCGGCATGGTCCAAGTCACCACAATGGTAGGGTATGACCTTGGATTTTTTTTTGCGTGCATCGTATGGATATGACAGACGACAAGATCGATACTAATATACATATATCATGATCACTAACTTACAGTTCGTTATCGTATTGAGGGTTCAATTGATGTGCATCTTGATTTTGTGTGGAGCAATTGCGACTAGTGGTTCCTTCTGATATTTATAGAGCGCTCCTGATAAACTTGTGTTTTCCATTGAGTGATGGAGCATAGCCCCGATGTCATCGTCACTAAGGTAGTACTACAGGCTATGTCAGGCTATATCCCAAAACAGCCACATGTTCCACCCCTACTTATATTTAATGGTGAGCTCGAATCCTCCTTTCCACAATTTCCATTTTCTGGTACTCTAAGATCCTTCAAAACATTTCAATGGTGAGTCGATTTGTATGAACCGTCTTCCTACTAAACCTCAATGGTCGCTCCCAGTTTAACCGCGACCGTGACGATGGACGACACGAGGGGCGTGGAGAACGTCTGCATGATCGCCGCGAACAATTCGAGGAGCGTCTACATGACCGCCGTGAAGCGCTCGAGGAGCGTCGATCTGGACATGGACATCACAGAGAACATTCAGGAGAGCGTCGACATGAACGATACGATGACCATCGCCGCGACCTAGATCAGCCCCAGTATTTGCCCCCATCTGGAGGGTTCAACAGGGAGGATTTCGTCTCTGATGAACAATTCAATAAGATGATGCATGGCGGCGGAGGGTTCGGGGAACCGCGCACAGGAGGTGATCATATCGGCCCTGAGGACTTTGGAGAATGGGATCGACAGAGGTAAGTTTATCTAATCTGTGGTGATTGTATCATGATGTGAGCTGATGATGGATGATCCCACTAGACCACCTCAGAACGCTGGTTACCAACCATCATACATGCAGCAGTCCGCACCGTCGGGCCTGCCACCCATCCCCCACGAACAGCGCACATCTGGTTATGGGAGCAGCGCATATGCTCAACCTTCTCACAACCAGTATTCTGGATCAGAATCGCTGGAACCACGTCATGGAAGCAACGTGTACGCAGCCCCTCCTGGTGCTCCTGGGGCACCATCTAGTCATGCACCAGCGGGAGGTTATGCTCCGCCTCCTGGGCCGCCATCCAGTCATGCACCAGCGGGAGGTTATGCTCCGCCCCACGGGCCGCCTCCTCCAGATAAATCTTCATATGGATATGATGCTTCTCCTCAAAGGGGATCGGGCCGAGGTGCTGCGAGTGATTATTACAATGGACCTTCGCCAGGTATGATAAGACTGTCAAGTATCGCTTCTCTTTAATTAATGGCGAAGTGGGTCAATCAGCACAGTCATATTCGCACACCCCAGATAACGCAGCCGCTTATGGCGATTCCTCCAACCCACCTCGCTACCAGTCAAACCCCTCGGGCGGGTTCGACGAAGAGAATTACAAGTCTCATTTCTCTGCTCATGCTCAGGCGTATGGGTAGGTTCCTAATGAATGCCCTATCGAGTTTAGCTAAATTGAATGTCATTTCTTGTAGTTCTGGCTATGATGACAAGCCGATGGCGAATGATGCTATAGGCGCAGCTGCCGCTATTGAGGCGCTGAAGATCACGGCTGCAAATAACCAGTCAGGTGACAGGCCGCAGCAGGGAGGTAAACCACAGGGTGGATTCCATCCCGATGCGGACGCTCCACATGCGAGACCATCTGCCGGCCTTTCTTCTGGTGCGCAACATTCATCAGATATGGGTGGGAGACCGAGTGGTGGGGGGCCTCAGGGACGGCCGCAGAATGCAGAGTCTGAGTCTGACGACGACGAACCGGCTGCTAAACCACAGGCTCCTAAAGGAGGTGGTGGCATGCAGGACAAGATCGTAGGTTTCTTCACCATCTTTGTAGTTGATATACTCAATCCTTCAGATCGCCCTGGCGATGGCACAGGCAGGCAAGCTTTTCGACAAGAAGGGCGGGGGGGATAGCCAAGGAAAGTCGCAAGGTGAGTTTTTCCGCCTGATATATCATCACTTGCGCTAATGGCGTGCTACCCATAGCTATGCAATCAGCTGCGGCAACTGCAATGCGCTTAATGGGAGAGTACAAGTCGACAGGTAAAGTAAATATGGAGCCAGGGGAGATGCAGAAGCTTATGGGGGTTGCGATGTCGCTATTCTGAAGTGAAAAGGTAACATTGATGCAGCACAGAATTTGTAATTGATCTTGTAGTCATATATTCACAAATCGAAGACATTTGGTATGCTAAGCGGCTTTTACTGTAAGCATCTGATTATACACGACGAGCTTCCTATTTTCACGTAGTCCTTGGTCTCTTGCTTGTCGTTGCAAAAGCACAATTTTGTTGTTCTGGAGCGTATGTCCTGAGGACCAATGAGCCTGAATGACTGGTCAGCCTTGAAGTCTTCCGAGTCTTACTAAATGATATTGTCATCACTTATTCCTTTGTCTTCACTGTTCCCTTTCGTCCTTTCACACATGCATACTTTATCTTTTGAGCCACTTGTAAATGTAAACAGGATGGGATATACTCTTGCAGCACTATCAGAATTCATTGCTTTGATCTAATGTATTCAGTCTCAAACATAGCACAGGATGATACTTTCGATGAAATGTTGACATCAAAGACTTGCATGTACTCATAGCTATGTAGTGAGGATGATGGAGAGGACCACATGAGTAGGGGGACCATATATCTGGCCCTTTCGGAGTATTCGAAGCTGAGCATCGTGATGACAGGGCACCAGTTATACAAGAACGCCGCTCATCGAAACAATCTTTGAACTGCAGTCACTCAATAACAAATTTTGATCGAGAACCCAACATACCAATTGACGCGTTGTTCATCAACAGAACCTCGACATTTTCAAAAATCGAAAAGCCCGAGCCCGAGCCCTGACTCGTCCAGGAATCTGAGTATCCCAAGACTCTAGATCATATTTGACCGTGAGTACACGACATGACGTGTGTAAAAGACTATTTTTGTAAACCAATCAGTGCCTCGCATAGTTCATAATTTCCGACAGTAGGGTGAGATGAAGGCACGCCAGGAAACGGAGGTAGTATTTGCATGAAGGATGGGCATAGACTGAGCAATATGAGTATTTGTTCCTTACCTCGAAAGTGAGTTCACCGATGGGGATAGGCATTGGACTAGCTGGTCGAAGGGAGGAGGGGCAAGTCGAATGTACGGGCGAACGGGTTTGCGCTGTAGATGTGTGCCGTGAACAATTAACTCTTCAGTCAATTCGAGTGGGAACTTCGTCGATGATAATCTGGAAATAATCAATAAGTGCTGCCTGCGGATTGATGGAGCACTAAATGACCCGAGACATCACTATGCAGACAACAGGTTATATATTATTAGGAGAACCTACGTTCGGGATTCATAAGTACCCTCGTATCATAGTCCCTGGCGAGAAGTAGGCACATTCCCATAATTTCCATATCGCTTGAAGGTACAGCGAACACAGATGAGCAACCAAGTTGCTACTTATATTCCAGTTGGTGGGTCATGACAGTAATATTGAGCAACATGAGTCCCAAAGATCGAAGTAAAAAATGAACAAGTCCATCGTTGTATATAACAACAATCGTCTCAGTAAATGCAATATAAAAACCTATCACTATCATGAACGTCAGTGTACAGAGGCAGGTATATTAGTATATGCAAGGCTAAATGATATAGTCAATGGCACACTGGATTCATGAGAGGAAGATCATTGCGAAAAGGGTACCGGTGACACCGGCAAGGGTGGAAACGCCGAGAGCGACTGCACCGCCGCTCTGGGTTGCAGCAGCACCGCCAGCTGTATTCGTGCCAGTCGAAGAAGCCTTGGCGGTACCTGTAGCGCCGCCTGCTGAAGCGGAGACACCGGTAGGGGTGACGGTGGCGAGGCCAGTGTAGAGGGAAGCGCTGGCGTAAGTCACGCAGTTGGATGAGGCGGGAGTGAAAGCGGTGTAGGGTGGGTCGACGACGCCAGAATTTGGCTGGGTGTAGGTCATGGTGACGCCGCCAGTGACGTAGAGACCAGCAGGGACCTTGAGGTCAGAGTCGCAAACCTCGAAGGTACCGTTCTGAGCATTGTTGGGCATGTTGTAACTGCAGCCCATGCGGTCATAGATGTTCTGGCAGTAAGCAGACTGGTTTGCACTGCTAGAAGCAGGATCGCAGATTGTGATACAGAAGGAGTCACCACCCATGAAGCTGCGGTGCGTGAGAACGAGAACGGGAATTGACTTGAGTTCCATGACTTACTTTGTCCAGTCGATAACCTGCTGGTAGGAATTGTTGTTACCACCGTTACTTGGGAACGCGTTAGAGTACATCAAACCTCCGAGAGGATTCCCACGCTGGATAAAAAGTCAATTCAGCTCTAATCGAAAGAGTAGGAGACTCACGAGGTCAGCACCGTGCGGGTCGAGTTCACCTCCGTAGTCTTGAGCGTTCATGTTAACCTGAGTCTGGTCGATGAAACCAGCGATTTGAATGTACTCGGAAGTGACGAGGTACTGAACACCCTGGAGGGCACCATTGGGAATGAGACGAGTGCCGTGGCCAGGCTTTGTGCACCATGCAACCTCCTCCTGCTCGGTATCACCGATAGTAGAGTTGGGGATGGGAGGTGCCCACAAGCAAAAATCTGAAACAATATGAACATCATGAGCGATGAACACGTGCGAAGTTGTTAACAAGAGACGCACCGTCAATGTGGTTCACCATTGAAGTTTGGCACATGGAATCCTGGTTCTGTGTGGTGGAGTTACAGATGTTGTAACCGACCTGAGGGCCACGAATAGCAGCGGTGTTGTAGTCGACTTGATAGGGCTTAGAAATTTGATCCTATATGAGGACGGTACACAACGAAAGAGGACCTGAAGCTTACAATTCCTGACGGGTAAGCATAGGTCTTGTCAACAAGTGGTGTTGGGTCAGCTGGGTCAGGTTGAGCAAGGGCGAATTTTGAAGTGGCAGCGATGGCCAAAAGCACGGAAAGAGTGGAACGAGACATGTCTCAAAGTTTGGTGGTGATAGAAAGAAACAAGGAACGCTCTGGTTTATGACGGGTGAGGAAGCGAGGAAAAAAAATGAGGCAAATTACAATCGGACCAAAGGCTCAAATACTTTGACAAAAATAATTTCAGACACCGGAAATAGAACAGTAACTGCTATATTTAGATCACAAATCACCATGGCATGTTGCTTCCACGCTTGCCTGCGCTTACCTCTAAATTACATATACCCAGTGAATTCAAAGCTGACTTGCCTGTGTGATTTTCTCTATAGGATCATGGTGTTCAGGCTGAAGGGCCGTGAGCCGTTATACGTTATGGTCCCAGGTGGTACTTGGTTAGAGCTCATCTAATCACTCAGCTATGATGAAGTATTCCAGATCAGCGAGCTGGTGACTCCAGTGTTGCATCATACTCATCGTCATTACACCAGTCCGACAAGAAATGCCATGTGCGTCATTCTTACTAGTACTCCTTTCCTCTTACGAGCCCCTATAAAAAGTGGGTCTTTATACCGTTCCACTCCCCCTAACCATCATGTCAACTTCACATCAACACACCATGGACAAATTATCTTCTGTTATTGCTGCTCTCGACGCAGGCAAGCTCCCCACCCAGAAGCAGGTGGATACCGCAATCGATTGGACACTCCACAATATCGTCGTGAAGGTTGAATCTCCTGATACGGGGAAGCTCAGCGAGCCAGGCAAAATTCTTGCACGCGGCATACAAGACCTTCTCATCGCGTACAAGAAACTCGGGGACAACAAAAATCGTGAGCCTATCTCAACGTCCCTCAAAGTTAACATCTAATCGCGGTACAGATGACAGCCTCTTGCAACAAGTCCTCTGGCACCTCTCAGAGGGAGATTTTGCAGACACGCGTGTAGAGGCAATTGATGCGGATGAGGCTTTCGTCGATCTCCAATCCATCCGCTCTGCCATCCACACACTTATACACATCCTTTGGACCAACGTCAGCGGTGAAGGAAGTGTCCTCCTGAATGACTTTGCGTCCTTTACCCGTCTCGCCATGGCTGACCTCGCAGGGGCCATTGAATCCGGAGCTACTTTTACTAAGGAAAGTCTACGCGAGTTCGACACTCAAGTGCAGCAGGGTGATCGGGATAACCTGGGGCGGAAGCGAAAGACCCCGGAAGAAATTGAACAAGAGCGCCAAGAAGATACGAAGGCCAAATTCGAGAAGACAATGGATACTACGAAAGAGACCGGATCCAAGGCTATAGGCGTCGGGCAGGAGGTGAAAGCATCCGCTGAAGAAATGGTTGAGCGCACAAGTATTCGCCTGCAGGAGACTTATTATAATGTTCGTTTCTTCTTCTTTTGTCAGACCTTGCGGTGCTGACAATGTTTCATGCAGATCTGTGAACGTGCGCAGAAGGACGAGAACTACCACCACGCACTCTCCACACTTTTCAACACTGTGTCGAAGTGGATTAACAAGTCTCTTGATACTGCCGATGACATTAACCAGTCTACTTCGCTTGAGTCCTTCATTGACGATCCATCCAAAGATAAGCATGTCCTCAAAGCTCTTCGTGGCATTAGCACTCTCGTTGAGCGCGCCGCTGGTGGCAAGTCCTTGGATGACGTCTTTGCCAAGGCCCGCCTGTGCGCCGTACACGTCAGGAATAATGAAGACCTAAAGAGGTGGTTCAACGATTTCTTCGCCCACGTTCGGAAGAGCCTAGACAAGCTTGGCTATGCACGATCAGAAGAAGCTCATCACACGCACCAACGGCTCAGCGAGCGCTGGAAGCAGCTTCTCGACCAAGATTCAGATGCGGGGCGCAAGTGGAAAGAGGATGTGCGAGCTCTCAGGCATGAACTTCGTGATTTCCAGCAGGCGATCGCAAGGGATGCAGACTTGCAGCGCGTGCGGAAGGCTCATGCTACGTTTGGTAAAGACTTGGCCCAAAGCGTTGGCATGGGTGGACAGATTGGCATGCAGTTTGCCCTCGATCAGGCCTCGTGGTTCTGGCAGGACGTGTTCAACGTCTATGCGTCACGCCTCTTGCGCATTATCAAGGATATTCCGATTCCAAGGTAAGTTCCTGAGTCAACCGCGCATTTTCAGCATCCGCTGACGAGCCTGATAGAACCGAGTATGTTGATAACGAGATCGAATTTGTGCTCGAGAATCTCGACATCTCATCGTTAAGCTTGCTTCCTGGGCACGTCTACATCCGCAACATCACTGACGTCGACATCACCGCTCCTGCCGGGTCGCAGTCAACCACCGCCGCCATTGGTACACTCACGCACATCCGGATGCAAGCAGTCCAGCTCGCGCTCAAGGAAGTCTCATTCTTCTACAGGGATAAGGTTGCTACCATTGGACCCAAGGACTTCAGAGGCCTCATGGAGTTCAGTCTCCCACAAAAGGGCATTGACATCGATCTCAAGTTCCGCTTGATCCCAAACACGCCCCAAGGTCTCAAGGAGCGCGAGCATCTTGGACGGTTCTTCAAGATCGAGCGCATCGAGGTGAATGTGGCGGAAGATATCGACATGCAAGTTAAGCAGTCCAACCACCCTATCCTTGCATCTGTCTTCAGGCCTATCATCATGCTTCAGTTCCGCCAGGCGATCTCACGCACTCTGGAGGAGCAGATCCGGGGATTGTTCGATACTGCCGATGCTCTGGCGTTTGATATTGGGCGGCGCTCAGAGGTGTTCAGGGATGCTGGACTTGGAACTACGTCGGCTGTCGTTGCTGCAATGTGGAGCGAGATAGGGAAGCTCCGGCGGATGGAGGGCGGCTTGCTGTCTGGTTGGAGAGCAACTGGAACAGGAGTTGTCAAGGACGATTTAGGCGGCAATGCAAAGATTGCGATGGGCGCGGAACCACAGATTCTTCCGGGGGAGAAGAGAGGTCCTCTGGGAACTCATGCAGAGCCGCTTGCAGAAAGGATCCCGGGTGTGGATGTCGGAGGTGCCCTGGAAGGTGCGACGACTGCCGTTGAACGAGTAGAGCAGGCCGGGAAGGAAGGCCTGAAGCAGGTGCGGAGTTTCAAGCAAAGCGTTGAGCACAAGAAGAGGGAGGAGGTGGAGCGGAGGGGATGGCAGAGCCCAGCATTCAATATCTAATCATCGATGGTTGTATGCTTCTCATTTTTCTCGGTCTTTATCACGATGTTCACAAGTAGTACATGAATAAACGGACAGGTGTACAAGATGTGGGATGATCGACTATTCCCGTTTCCTCTTGAGGTTACCACGAGCGTTTGTACCCTGTATAGCACACAACGGTCCCTTCTCGAGTGTCTTGTGTTCTGTAGTATCGAATTCTATCCCTAGATCTTCGAGGAGCATCTCGGCCTCTTGAGGTGGGTGTGAATCTGTCGCAAGCTGCCAAAAACTACCCTGGTAATTAGCAACGAGACTGGATGCATTGAATGCGTTGATGGTCTAGAAGGGTCAGTGGGTGGGCAAAGAACTGACGTCATGAAGACTTTTCTTCGGCGAATCCATTCCGCTCGCCATTTTGCCCAGTCGGCATCGATCTTGACGAGCTCCTCAGCAGAAATGAGCGGTGCACCAGAGCGGAGCGGGACGAGTCTGTCGGTGAGTTGCATTATCTTTGTTGGGACAAAAGCATGTCATATTGGTTCATTCAAAACAAGTGAGAGTGATGTACTTACTCCCATTTTTGTGCTCGCAATCTGCGCCTCGAGTTCTTCGTCCGTTGGACAATTTTTGAGTTTTGACAGTTCTTTCGCGATTGAGATTAGACAAGAGTGTGTTGTTTAGGGCTTACCTGCTGTTATAGCCTTTACCTCTACTGCAAGTACGTTGTTATTGTCCTCGACCGTCTTGCACTCAACCTCGAGTTCTGTAAGCTTGTCAGCAGGAACCGCATCGATGCTGGCTTGATTGGCGACGAAGAAGCTCGTTTTCCCTCGATAGGTCGTAAATGCAAGAAACTCTCTTGCTTGTAAAGCTATACGCACCATACGTTTTCTGCACGATCTCCCCCTTTTCTGCTAGAGCGACGAGGATCTTCTGCGTTGCAGCCTTCGGTACTGCACCTTTCAGGTTGGCAGCGACATCTACAGCACCAAAGGGACGGTTCATCTGTTGCATATCATGTCAGTATAGCGCATATATGCGCCTTTTTCTAGGTCACTCTTTTCAGATACTGCAATATTGCATCTTCGGCTAAATGCGAAATGAGAAAGACATGAAAGAGTAGCAATTGGGTCTCAGGCCTCACCTTCTTGGCCTTTGAGGACCTTTACATCTGAGTTTTTCGCTTTGCTTGCCATTATCAGTGTGAAAGCGATGTCGATGGTGGGTAGATGGACGCGCCGAGATATTTGTACGCGCCTTGGAATCACGTGCGACGAAAGTCGAATCCTGTGATTGTCCGTTTCCGTTTCGGCTTTGCTTCGGGTGATAGCCATCCTCCGCTCCCTACATGAGTGTGTCATCTAGTACATAGCAATAGCTGGGGGTATTCATGAGTTCTACTGTCTCTCACCAGCGAGACACACGTTCACTCGACTATGCTATTCGATCTGGAATTGCTGGTGGCTTGGCAGGATGCATCGTATGCTTCGTTTTTCTTACGGTTTCTGCGGTCAATTGACCGCAGCGTCTATAGGCGAAAACAGCAGTGGCCCCCCTTGACAGAGTCAAGATTCTCTTCCAAGCCTCAAACCCTGATTTCCAAAAGTATGCTGGTATGTATACGTGACAGCGTATCTCCGCATTTGCCTCCAGACTGACTTTACACCCTCAAAGGAACCTGGACTGGAGCTTATCGAGCCGGACTCGCAATATACAGAGATGGAGGTGCCAGAGGATTACTTCAAGGCCACTCTGCGACTCTTTTGCGCATATTTCCGTACGCAGCCATAAAGTTTATGGTCTATGACCAATGGAGAGCGGTACGTCCACCATTCTACTGGTGTGCACACTTACTTACTGTGCAATTCAGCTTTTGATACCGATTAGGGATAAAGAAACGAATCTTAGACGGTTTACTGCTGGTGCTCTTGCAGGTGAGCCGGGCCCTCACTCATGTCCTTTCATTCAATCGCATTCGCCGCAGGCATGACCTCCGTTACTTTCACCTATCCACTCGAGTTGGTCCGCGTACGCATGGCGTTCCATAGTCGACCGTCTACTCATTCTGCCGGCCAAACGCGTCCGTCCTTCCTCAGTGCAATGCGCGTCATATATAACGAAGGTTCCACGCCTTCCCCTGCAACGCTGGCCACAACGACGCAAGTCTTTGAGCGCTTTCCCGTTTTCAAATTTTACCGTGGCTTCACCGTGACCATGGTGGGCATGATTCCCTACGCTGGCACGGCATTTCTCACTTGGGATTTCTTGCGGGCGCATTTCTTCCCAGTCATAGATGACCACTCCAAGCGACCTCACCCCTTGGCAAATCTCGCCATTGGTGCTGTTTCCGGTGCAATTTCGCAAACTGTGTCATATCCCTTTGAGGTCGTTCGTCGGCGAATGCAAGTTGGAGGTTTGACTAGACCAGATAGGTGGCTACGGTGGGGAGAGACCGTGCGTGCTGTGTACGCCAGTGGAGGGTGGAGAGGTTTCTATGTCGGATTAGGAATAGGTTACTTAAAGATCATACCCATGACTGCCATCAGTTTCGCCGTTTGGCAAGGAGGCAAAGGTCTGTTGGGTGTTTAGATCTACTCAGCCTATTCGTCTGTCAAAAAAATCACATTTTTCCGTGTAAACATTGAAAAACTAGTGCCTTCATGGCGAAAAAACGCGAACTTTGTGTAAGCACGCCAGCGTACCAGTTCCCATATTCTACATGAATGCTGTCCCGCGATACTGAAACACAAGTTATTTGTATCACTTCCTTTTGGCGTAACAGTTAAGCGAACGGCAGTGTTGACTTAGTTATACTATCAGGTAATGACATCGAACGAATAACACACAAATCAAACTACATGGGGGCGAAAGCAAGGCTACAGATAGGTAGGTAAAAATACACGGAACTCATGAAGACTCGGGGTGAGCGACAGCACCTCGTCCCCTTCCTCGGTAACCTCTTCCTCTCCCGCGATCAAGATGCGGCACAACCCCTCGTCCTCGCAAACCACCTCTGGGATGTAGATGATAAGGGCGATGAACCGCACCGCCTCTGCTTGGTGCACCATTGTCATGAGAGGGAGGTTGGTTGCTAGCGTTCACGGCAAGTTGCGATGTCGATCCAGAAGCTTCGCCTCCCGAGGTGCCTTCTGCTGTTGGTGCAGGACGACCGTTTGTTGTGGGTCCACCACGTCCATTTAGTGGTCCTGAGTGGCCGTTGAAAGGAGGGCCTCCACGAGCACGAGTAACATGCCATCCACGACCCCGGTTCGGATTGGCCATAATTGCTACGGGTGGTTGGTGTTGGCTGAGCGGAAGTCAGTACTGTATACAACCAGCGAGTACAAGAACTTCACCTCTGTGCAGCAGAGCGGAATCCAGCAACAGCTTGATGCCCAGGGGCAGGTTGGATGGCTGGATACGGGCCAATTCGAGGTTTGAAAGGAACACTCGGACGAGGAGGATAAGTTGACCCAGGGGAGGTGGAAGCGATGAATTGGGGGTGGCTTAGGTTTAGGCATGAATTGAACTCCACAGTCGAACCTCGATACTGAGAACATCTACAAATCACAAGTTTAAGTGTCTCAGGCCAGAAAAAGCGTTCCCACTAACCTGTTCCCAAGCGTCGTACCAGATATAAATGGCACATCCCACACGACATCCATCGACTTTGTGTTCAACCCAACAACGACACCCTTCGCAGACAACGGCACTCCACCTGAATCTTGAACCATAGTAACCCTGTCTCCCAAGGCAAAGTGCTGGTTCTGGAGTCGATAAATAGCGTGTGATGGTTTCAGAACTGCGTGGCGAGGGATGTTCTTCACAATGGCTTTCTTGATTGTCGCTTTGGACCTGTTCTTATTGATGTCATCGGCAACCTGTTCGATTTCTTCGACAGTGCTCTAAAGGCAGCTTTGAGTGAAATATGACTCAGGATAAACGATGATTCTGATATACCTTCGCTAGGTTGTCCGAGAAGAGGGAAACTGGTTCAAGATCTCGGACCCCCTTCGATTTGAGCCACGACTTTACTTCCTTAACCCTGACATCAGCGTGAGAGTCAAAGATGTCCGTAGCGCGGACCATATCTATCATCCTGGAGATGAGATCAAGGTATTGTTAGGCTAGTCCAACAGCTTACCGTCGCCCCCTTGGTCCAGAATCGCGAAAATTTCTGGGAATTTTTCCTGTAAAGGACTGAGTTCAGATTCAGGTGCGATTTAGATGGGGCTAACCTTATATTCATAAATGAGGTCAACTGCCTTCTCGCTAAATTCCCAATAGCGACCAGCCTTCCGCGAGTAGTCAATAACCCTTAAGCTCTTGGCCTCGAACTTGATGCTTAGTCCAAGATTGTTCTTTTGATGATCGGAGGTGAGAACCATGAAGCTCGATGTGATCTTGGAGAGCGCTCTGGGTGACATTCCGATTGCGGGAGCTGCTTTGAACGACGGTGAATAATGCGAGGAAACACGACTGTCAACAATAGTCTTGAACTTCTTAATATCCATCTTATCTGAAGGGAAGAACTACGAGGTCATTTAGAAAGATAAATCGTGGTAGAGCATTGCGACATACTGCCAAGACAACAGACAAAGCGCTGTCGGTAGCTGAAGACACCTGGGCAGCCACACCATACGCGTGTTCGCCCAGGAAGAAAATATTCGTTCCATCAGGAAATTCCTCCGATAGAGGTGGAGCATCCTTCTCGAGGAACCTGGGATCTTCAGATGCAACTTCTGAGATGACCATCTGGACGGCTTGTTCAAGTTCTTTTTCGGGTCCTTCGTAATCCTTAACCAATGCGCCTGATTCTAAGCGTTTCAAACCTGCATGAATGTATAAGAACGAACGATCATAAAGTACCATCACGCACCTTTTAGCGGACGGACGTGCACTAGGACATCGACGTCACCAGTGATCACTCCGCATTTCTTTGAATATACCGACTCAATCCGCTCAGCTTTGCCCTTCCAATGACTCAGGCCCTGGTTGAAATGCGGATTGGAAACGACCTTTGCCGGTGTACCAGGCACGACTACCAACTTCTCGTATTTGAACATCGAATCGGATACGGCGGTCACTAGTCCCTCCTGCAAGAAGGGCCAACCGACGAAAGTGCGTTTGCCAACCATTTCCTTGGCAATATCCTCTACCTTGCGGTTTTCGTGAGGATTTTGTATGTGAACTACCATTGACTTGTTGCGGCTTTCGGAACCGTGTACGTTGACACCGTGAAATCCTAGTTGCGCTGTGTGAGGTAATGTATCCAGCGAGGGGAATCCAGCGAGGGCTTTTGCACCGAGGCATACACCTTCGCATAGTCCAGGCACGAGATGGAGTCCGTCAAGGGTTGGTAGGTCGAAGGGTTCCATCTTGCATGTGCAACGATATATGGGAGGGAAGAAGTCTGGCAACGATGAAGGATAGACTGTGGACTCTCCAGGATTGAAGAGAAATTTGGTACTGGTTCCGAAGCCGTTGCGGCGGCGTTCTTCTGGAGTCAACCTATGCTCTCGGGCTGCACACATGGAACGATGATGAACTACAGCCGAAAAGCAGAACTTGCCACTCACATTGCATTGCTCGTAACAGCCGCTGCTCATCAATGAAGGGAATCTTAACGATCGCTTCCCATTCTTGCTTCTTCCCATTTAGGTCTTGCTCGAATTCGAGGGGGTAGAAGTCCAATATCGGCGAATTTGGATCGTACATCAGGTCCTATGGGTGATTAGTCTAATGCATGATATAGGCCACTGAACGTACTTGATATGCTATCGGAATATGATCCATGCTTGCGGACGGGAGGACGCCCATCAATTGTTCGAAAGGATGGAAAGGTTTACCCAACTCGAATGCGAACGACATGTCGCCAAGACCACGCAAATCTTGAAGAAAATGTGAACGCAGCGCAATGAGGATAGGGAATGCAAAAAGTACCAGATATCCGTGGTGCGTAATGGTAATTGTAAAACCAGCCCCAGGAGGCTATCCCACTGTAATAGTAGTGCATAACCCATTGTAGGCCCTCTGCGTAGCGGTATATCAAGTCGTGCATCTTTTGGGGGTCGTCATAGGAGATCCCAAGTTTCTCCTGCCGTACAAACAGTTGGTCTGGCGAATAGTATACGAGGCGGGAACGCACCTTGTAATATCCTCTCTTCCATTCCGCCATTTTGTCATTGATGGATTGTTCATGTCGAGCGTCAAAACCCCCACCTTCCTCATCATCCATCACAGGGGCCTTGTCGAATTTCTTCAACACTCGATCTACTGCAGCCCTACCTTCTTCATCTTCCTCGTCCACGTCTTCCCACTCGCCCTCACTATTCCCGTCTCCGTTAGCTTGCTCGGGATCAGGTTCTGCTAAGGGTTCGTCCAAAACTCCGGGGAGTCGCCATGTGACAAGATTCTGGTCTTCCTCATCGTACTCATCCCAAGAAACAGACAGATGTAACTCCTCCGCCAGGGTACTGATGAACTTCCGTTCCCGAGCGGGAAACGTATTAGGCATTGTCAGTGCTGCAGTTCGGTACTGTGACGATTTCCTGCGATTCTGCAAGACAAACTGCTGTACTTGATTGAAGATGTCTCGTTGAGGGCGCGTAAGAACTAACATGAATTAATTGTTGGTTGTCCACAGGAAGAGTGGAGAACTGTACCAAGCTTAGCATGCTTGCGCGCAAGTTCCATTTCTTGGACGTGTTTGTCCCGCTTTCCCTTGAACCAATTCGAGTCAGCGTACTCTTTCTCGAAGATCTCTCGCTCCCATATAGTCATTTCGTCTAGGACGACCTGCAGTCGCTTGGTATTGATGACCCCGCCCTCGTTCATGTAACCATCTGAAACAGTGAGTCGATGTGCGAAAGAATGAAGTTCAGGACTTACCCAGCGACGGTAAAACTTTCTTGTACACATCAAACAGGCGCTCCAGTCCGTTCTCGTGGATATGTAAATCTGGAAGATTAGGTAGAAAATCATTCCCGACGAAGACGGCCAGGAGAATGAAGTCATCGATGACTCGCTCTAAGCTGTAATCGAATGCGAGAATGTCTTCTATATCACGAAATTCAAGGTCCAGGTATTCACGCATCAACGAGAGATGAAGAAGGTAGAAGTTGAGGTTCTCCAGACTTGCGCTGGCGTTCAGTTTATCTGCCTAGCACAAAAACTACAAAATACCTGATGTTGCCCTTCTTCTTCGCGGCAGGTCCGAACTTTACTTCCTCTCGCAAGAGACAGAAGTGTGGATCATGACTCAGAAGGCCAAGCATGATGAGATCGGCATCAAGACCGTACAGACAATGCCGCACGTTCGGGTTATAATCAGGTTGGGCTCTCGATAGCCGAATGTATTCCATGATCTTGTGTTCACCTTCACCCGGTACTTCGTGACCGGACAATACAACTTGCACGCCACGCCAATTAGCATCTTCGGTAATCTTCTTGTTGACAAAGTAGCGTAGCTGCGCAGATAGCCTGACCATAAAAGGGGTACCTAAGACGAAATAAATGATATGATGCCATATGAAACGACACGGAACACACCTGGCGTAATGCAATTACTATCAAACGCTTTCTCATCTGGTAGTTTTTCTCCTTTCGACTCTGCCTTCTCTCTGACTTCCTTCGCTTCCTTGGCAGTGCGAAACCGTCGACTTCGTTGCTGATTCATTTTTGCCCGCGGAGCCACGCCGTCTACTGCCATAAAGAAAAGTTTCTTTGGCTTTATCTTACCAAACAACAGGTCCACGTATGCAAATATTGCAGTGAATATTTGCTCTTCCGACACCCTAAAGTGCGCATCTTCATCATTTGGATGCGAGCCTAAAATGAAAGCTGAACACGCCAGTCTGCGTTGCATCTCAAATAATTAATCACAGTTATGAATGATTCCATTGAAGTCGAGATATAGATTATCTATTTGAAGGCCTCAGCGCGAGAACATAGAGTCAGTATGATAGCTCACCAAATTCTGGAATCTTGTTCTCTTCGATCAACTGGGAGGTAAGTGGGTACCGTTCACTGTCGATAAATCAGCTTCTATGGTCAAATGACAAACTCCTGGCTCACGAGATATAACGGAAAAACTGCGGTACGACATTTAGCTCCCCTGCGTATACATCTCACAAATAAAGGAAGCGCGAACCTTGGGGATTCCTAGAAATCGGAAAAATGTGAGCATGCTTATAGAAATCTTAGTAAATAGACATACCCATAGCAAAGAAGGCAAGAGTACACTGGATACTGAGAATAAGTATGAGGGTTGAGATGAGGAAGCTTCTTACATAAGCACCGCTGGTACTTTTGTTGAACTTTATCAACTTGCCACTGGCATGTACTAACCTATAGTACTACGGACGCCAGTTGTCGAGGGCTCAGAGCGCTCAAATCTCCCATTTTTCACTCAGCCATGCAGGGCTAATGGCGATCATTAATAACGCTCCTCGAAGGTTCCTTGCGGCGCTTCTTGTCAGATGACGGCCAATCCGAATCTCATAGTCACCGAGTACTTCTAGGGCCTTCAATAGCGCCCAAACAAGTTATCTACCAGTGCTGACTTCCATTTTCTCCTTTCTAAGAGACATCGGCGCTGCAGTTACAAAGTGATGAATCCCAGTCCTCGTACGAATCCAGAGACTTTAGCCAGAGCGACTCCGACAGCCTTAGCATGGCTGTCGTAGCCTCCATAGTTCTAATTCTGGAGCTTGCAGCGTGCGAATGAATCTAGCACCAGCCCACCTTGGGCCCCTGTTAACAGGCATCACCACATTGGAAATGCTAGTACTACTACGAAATTGTGGTGCTTATGAGCTTGTGAGTTCCTTTTATCAACATTGATCGACCCTATTCAATAATTAAGAATGGTCTGATTACGGGGTTAACTAGCTCCACCAAAGCTTCAAATACCAGCTATGCCTTGATCATTCTTGGGCCACATGTCTAAATTCCATCTGCGTACCCCTTATATTAACTAACTATTCGAACATGAATCGTACACTTATTGGCAAATGTTTGAGACTCCAAATGTGCATGTAAAGATGATCCTGAAACCTCCACATATCTCTTCATTTATGGTACCCTACAAAAACGCAAGTAAATCCTTGACATGCAACCGATTAAGCACACCGCAGGCCGTTTGCAGGATACAAAAGTCCCCATCACTCATCCTAGCAGTATTCGAAATGCCGACTGCATGATAGTTTTGGTTCAGTGCGTTTCGCATTCAATGGTTTCCATCAGGGTTCCACTACTACTTGTACAGGCTGGTATTTGCTAGAAATGCGAAGTTTCCCACGGGTGCTTAATTTTTATTGCTTCAACTCAGATCATCAAGCTTATCAGCAAAAGATCTCGACGGTCTTCCTCGACAGAAATTGTGCCCTTACGTGTCATTTTCCGTCAAGTTCACTTTGAGAGTCACCAATCATAAAACATGGCCGAAATACACGATCAGTTCGATACCATCCTTATTCTTGACTTCGGTTCACAGGTTCGAGATCTGTGTTTTAACTCAAATCGTCTCGTATATTGACCATTAGTGTCGGTTTAGTACAGTCACCTCATAACAAGGAGATGCCGCGAATTGAACGTATACGCAGAGCTTATGCCTTGTACATCAAAGCTAGCAGATCTCAAATTCAAGCCCAAAGGTTCGCTCATGTGATGCAACGGGAAACGCGTTTCTGACGCAAAATTCCAGGGATCATCCTCTCCGGATCTCCATACTCTGTGTACGACGACGATGCACCTCACGCAGACCCCGGTATCTACACTCTGGGTGTCCCCATCCTTGGTATCTGCTATGGCCTCCAGGTCTAGTTTTCTCGAGCATCTTGGTGGACACTAACTCATACGAGATCCAGGAGATCTGCTGGAATCACAAGGGACAGGTAGCAAAATGCGATCATCGCGAATACGGGCTTGCAGAAGTTCAGATTAGCAGGTCCAGTGAATCGGGAAACTCTGTCGATGCCCTGTTTGAAGGTCTCGGCGATCAGATGCAGGTGCGTGTTTTCGTTTCATCTGTTGAAAGCCAACTTGACTTTTGATAAGGTCTGGATGTCACACGGCGATCAACTGTCTGTTATGCCTCCCGACTTCCACGTTATCGGACGGACGAGCACCGCTCCCTATGCCGCCATTGCACATAACTCCAAGTCGCTCTATGGCATCCAGTTCCACCCAGAGGTAACACATTCCCCGCAAGGAAAGCAGCTCATTGGTCGATTTGTGCTGAATATATGCAAATGCCGACCGAACTGGACAATGGTGAAGTAATTACTGCGTTGCGTTTATTGTCATGCTCACTGCGATTACAGGAGGAATTTATTGGCAAGGAGATCGTCCGCATCCGCGATATATGTGGTCCGAAAGGCCGTGTGATCGGCGCAGTCAGCGGAGGCGTTGACAGCACTGTTGCTGCCAAGTTAATGCACGAGGCAATCGGCGACAGGTGCGCCCCGCGTTCTTTTCATAACTTATGTCTTACTCGCGTATCAGATTCCACGCCATCATGGTGGACAACGGCGTGCTTCGTCTGAACGAAGCACAACAAGTCAACGACATGTTGAACAAAGATCTGGGCGTCAACCTGACTGTAGTGGATGCTTCTGAGCTCTTCCTCTCCCGACTTGATGGTGTCGAGGATCCGGAACAGAAACGTAAAATTATCGGAAATACGTTCATCAACGTCTTCGAGACAGAAGCAGCGAAGATCGAGGAAGCTGCCGAGAAGGAAGAGAACGGAGCACAGGCAAAAGGGAAGATCGAATGGCTGTTGCAAGGAACCCTATATCCAGATGTCATCGAGAGCGTCAGCTTTAAGGGTCCTAGTGCGACCATAAAGACACATCACAATGTCGGTGGGCTTCTCAAGGACATGAAATTGAAGTTAATCGAACCCCTACGCGAGCTCTTCAAAGGTCTGGTTAATGGAATCTTATATTATCGATTGCACTGACTGTTCTATATAGATGAAGTCCGTGCGCTTGGAAGGCTCCTGTCGATACCAGCACCTTTGGTTCAACGTCATCCTTTCCCCGGTCCTGGTCTGGCTATTCGGATTTTGGGTCCTGTCACACGCGAACAAGTGAAGATCCTGCAACAAGCGGATCATATCTATATCGAAGAGATTCGCAAGGCCAATCTCTACAATCAAATCAGCCAGGCCATGGCCATCTTGCTTCCTGTGAAAGCTGTCGGCGTGATGGGTGACAAGCGCACATATGAGCAGGTTTGGAGGATGATATTCTCTCTTGTTCACTACCTCAACCTATTTTACAGGTAATCGCTCTGAGGGCGGTGACGTCGGAAGACTTCATGACTGCGGATTGGTAGGCTTTGTCTTACTTTTTAGTCTTGTTCAATGCTAACTTGACTTTTCAGGTATGTGTTCCCTCCAGAAGTCTTGCGTCGGATATCGTCCCGCATCACGAACGAAGTGAATGGGATCAATCGTGTCACTTATGATATATCTTCTAAACCTCCTGCTGTAAGTCCTGTCGCTTCGTCTCACCAGAGTCAAGCTTGATTTCATTTTTTAGACTGTGGAGTGGCTATGATTGCTGACAACACGACGTGAATACGCAAAATAATAATATAGAAACTGATAGCATACATGATGGGGTTTATTTAGGAATAAACTTACGAATATGCGGAGGGTAGTACATACTAGAAAAGTCTACATTCATTAATCGGTAAGCAGTACTAGTGTCACGGTAGAGGGTACCAATTATTGGATTTCAACAATGTTTGTCTGTTTGCCTTTGTTGCGGCCGGGGATATACAACTTGAAGTATCCATGGGCCACCCACAACTTGAACTCCTTTGGTATGATAATTAAAACTACCACAAGGTTGGTGCGCTGTCTAAGCTTTTAGATATTTCACAGACAGTCAATTAGGTACAGCCCAACAGCTTTCTGCGGCTTCATCAGCGTCCAACGACTTTATCATGAGCTCTCGTCCACACACCGCCGTTGTCGCTAACGCGAAGATTTTCCCGGTGTTTGCAAACAGGCTCGCATCACACGACATCGACGAGTATATAAATACTGCGAATAAGCTGAAGAACTGGTTGGGTTCCGAGAAAGCGTACTATCCCGACGCTCTACGTAATGTAAGTGTTAGAATCCTGAATCAGCTCGACAGAAGCGAGACTCAATACTTACTTTTGACTCCTAACATTAGATCGTTTTGCTCCTTGAGGTATGTGATTGTATCGCTCCTTGCTTTATTTGTTCATCTTGTATTCGACAGATTGCCTATCAGACCTTCACGAAAAAGTTTTTCCAAACGGAATCGTCAGCAGTAGCCGTGATGGACATATATCAGGCTTTAATTCAGGCCGTGATTCCTTTCTTGAAGTTTTTCACTGAGGAGGACCTGCAACGTACGTGTTGAATCTTGCTAAGTGTCCCACTGTGTCGAATGTGTTCTGTAGTCCGACTCCAAGACTTGATCCAAAGTTCCTATGAGATTTCGACTAAAACCGTATATCCTGTCCAGGCTGAAGGCGAAGCTACAGCAGAATACAAGTACGCGGGCATTTATTAAATCTGAGCATCAGTGTTATGGTCTTGTTTAGGGATGCTACTTCAGTGATCACGACTGCCCAAGATACGACTCCAAGTGCGCAACTAATGTTTCCTAGTGCTGCACAAGTGGAGTCAGTCCAATCACCTGTAAGGTGTGCACACACTGTTTATTCATGATCTGACATATCAAATCATAGACTACAATGCACATTTCGACCACGTCTATACCCTGCTCAGATATTCGCATGGACCCCCCGGCTAGTGCCTCCATCCCGAGAACCCTTCCAAAACCGCAGCCAAAACGCCAATCTGTGGCATCTTCACTATCTGAGCACCTCAAACTCCGTGACCTCGAATGTTTCAAGGCACAGCATCCGCCTGTGGCCACTCCTCATTCAAAGCCTTCAAGTCCTGCTGCTCCACCCGGTGCGCTTAAGTTTTCAAACGATGTGACAGAGTCGCCTGCAGAGAAAATACGGCCATCTCGCATGCCAGGGAGGATACCTCCACGACCGGCATCCAGTGAACCGACGACAGCAAACGAGCCTGCAGCTCCTGAGAATGCTGTTGATCTGACGAGTACCTCGCCTTCCACCGAGATTTCAGTACCTACAGATGCCAAAGAACTCAACGAAAAAGAAATCGTATCAGCTATAGCTGATGTTGTCATGAACGACCCACAAACGGAAAATATGCCTCTAGGTTCAGAAACACTCCTCTTGGGTACGTTAGGAAACGTCGCCCCTGAGCTCACTATGCCGTCGCCGGAACCAAATACAGATTCCCCAGCTCTAAGGCAGCCACCTGCGATGTCCTCAGATGTGGATGTAGGAGGCCATGGAGACGAAATATCGTTACCTCCGGTAGATAATGCCCGTCTGCAAGTCCCTTGTGCGAGATTTGGAGGGGAGATGGCTGTGATGATGTTTCGGGAAGGACTCGAGTCACCTCGCGGGACGATCAACATTACTTTCGATCTCGATCATACACTCTATCTCCAAATTGCTCGGTGGGCTAAGCGCAAGTTGTCACCAATGTATGTGTCATTTTCTTACCTTTAACCACATATTCAACGGTTTACAGAAATCTGGAACAAAGCGTTTGTGTGTCGTTCGCTTGCTATCATCTCCCTAGTCTCTTGCCCAATCCACCAGAAGATGATCAACCGCCTCCGTTAGAGAAACTTACGATGGATTTGCAATGCTCGTGGCCTACATCTGGAGACCTTTCACTACAGACAAAGCGGGACGGGAAGGATGTTATCATTCCACTAGCTCCACCCATTTTCGTGAGTGTTACCACATATACTTGCAAAATACACTGAAATCAAAATAAACGTTTGGCAGGTTACTCCTGACAATTGCGTTGATATCTCTGCATTTATCAAAAGCGGACAAAATGCCTTTTCGGTGGTCCAACAGAGCGACATGTCAGACTACATGTTTATTCTCCACGCCCACCATCCCACGCCTGTGCAACTTAGCTATCTTGCTTCCTGCAGACAGAGGCGTGAGGATTGGGTGAAAATCACGCGTGCTTTTAGCATATCCGAACCAACGGAATCGTTATGGAGGCGATCGCAATCGTAGTCATAAGGGTTCGTCATAATGAATATTCTTGTAATCAACCCTCGAGCTTTGCAGTCCCATTGTGTATGTAGCACTTGTGCATTTCTGATCAGCTTATACTCTGTAGCATAGACAACCAATTAAATCCGTTTTGCGAAGCTTACTCGATGTAGCGCTACGAGGCATGATACATCCATTTGGTGAGTGACTCACGATTTGTCTTTTCGGAGGGATTTTTATCAATGGCCGCTACATACTTAGCAGGTCGATGTACGTCACTGTCGAGATGCAAGGAGGACCTTGAGAAATTATAATTACATAGATTGCCGTATCGTGGATCATTACTACTAGTATGTCCTTGACCGTCAACAATACTAGGACTCACTTGTTCTTATGTATCCCAGTGCCTAAATCCTGTCATCGTGTGCATGGTCTCTGTTCCGCCTGCCCTCACATCGATATCATTACTGCACGTTTTGCGGAGCTCACGCATGCTACATCGCGGTCATTGTAAGTGTACTTAAATAAGACACGTGCATACTTCGTGCTATATTTGGTGCGGCATTATACGCGGCAATAAGCGGTTACTCATGATATCATGAATCTTCTCTTCCGTACTAGGCTCGGGATCAGCCCGGCTTACGCTATATATCGCCCTCAAAGACGTACGTCATAATTCCTCCATGCATATGCATCGTGCCTCGGAAGCGCAGTCAGTGACAATTACCGACTTACAATACTCGCTTCGGCGCAATGGTACATCCTGCCCTCGCAAAAACCCAATGATGTTGAGCCCTGGTATGCCGCTCATAAATTGTTTTCAGACTTCCGTGTTGCGCAAAGCTTTTGTAGTCCGTCACGGTACTAGGCCAGTGAGGCCACGAGCGTACATGCAATCGTCCAACGATTCATTGAATCATATACTATATACCGGGGCCCCTAGAAGTCTCCCTTAAGCCGACTCGAATGATCTCTGGGATCTTTCTACTTCGCTCGACAACCACACCACGTTCTGAACTTCGCGCCGTACTTCAAGCCTTCAATTTGCGGGGTCCTGGCTCAATTAGTAAATAATCATCCAACCATTCGTCCACAACGTTGAGAACTTGGCATCATATCTCAGGGTCCTGATTCGATTGGTTAAACCATTCGCGAACTAGTGCGTCCCTGGACTGTCTGGCTATAATACTGTGACATGGTCTGCAACGTTTCAATGTTGCTACAGTTTTTCAGGACGATGTCGCCGCTTCTGCCCATCTCCCTGGATAGTGATGAACCCAAAAGACTCTCTCTTACCCGCAAACTGGTTTTGTTGGTTATGTTCTGTCTTACTCAATTTATGGACACCCTGAATATCTCGGCTCTCTTATCTGCAATCCCTGCACTCGAGGCGTCTATGGGTATGACTGAAATTCAATCCACTTGGGTGTTTAGTGGGTTCCGATTAACTTTTTCATCATTCCTGCTTATCGTGCGTGTCCATCCGTAAATCCTGACTCATACTTTGACGCATTGTTTCAGAGTGGCCGTCTCAGTGACGTATACAACCCAAGTTAGTAATACGCTACTCACACTTGACGTACGTGCTGAATGGCTTGCAGAAACTGTATTCATTGGAGGAGTGTCCACTCTTGGTGTCCTCTCGCTATGCGCAGGGTTTGTTTACTCCACAGTTCCTATCCTTATTCTCAGAGCAATCACAGGAATAGGTGATCATTCTTGTTGGCGTGTCGGTTCTGACTGACGAAAGCCGCTTCTTAGCTTCTGCGATGACGATTCCCTCTGCCCTAAAACTCCTGGTCAAGGTATTTCCAGATCCGCTCGAACAAGCTCGGGCAGTAGGGTTCTTCGCAGGCTGCGGTGCGGTAGCAAACAGTGAGCATCCCGCATATCGTAAGACGGCCCTCATGGTTCTTTTACATAGTGGGCGGTCTTGTGGTCGGTGCAATGTTCGTTCAGTGGGCGTCTTACCATTGGGTATTCTGGTTTGTGGCATGTGTGGCTTTCCCGGTGGCTCTGATTTGTGTTTTCATGATACCATCACAAATCGGGGAGACTATAAGCAATCATAAGCCTAAAGGGGCGAAATGGAAATCTCTTGATTTAGTCGGCGTTGGTATTTTGACCGGTACAAAATCTTTCTGTATATTCCTCTTTGTGTCGCTCATGAGCCTTGATAGTTGCCTTCGTCTTATTGATCTTTGCCGTGACATCCGGTTCCACTGATGGTTGGAAATCTCCGGTTGTGTTGGCCCTCCTGATCATTTCAATCATAATGATAATTGGGTTTTTCTACTGGGAAACACTTTTGCCTGCGGACCAAGCTGTCATGTATGTCAACAGAAATCCTGGCGTCAACCGTCGGCTTATCTTGTACCAGACCACCACGGACGTGGTTCTATAACAATTTCTCTGTTCTGTTCGCCATTGCACTTTTGCCATCCTTCTGGTGGAGTGGGGTTATGTTTATTTTCAGCATCATGTGGCAAAATGTGTTTCATTGGTCAGTGATGTCGACGGCCGTCCACATGTAAGGTGTTCGCTGTCACTTTATATCGCCAACCATCAACACTCTTTGCTCTCTAGGTTACCACTTGGTATCGTAGCCTTCGCTGCGAGCTGCACTGGATCACTTTCTCGCATCTACAGCCCGAAGTGGATTATTCTTACCGGTCTATCATTGTGCATGATCGCCACCTTGTTGCTAGCGCTCGGTGGGGGGAAGCCAGAAAACTATTGGCCGTATGTGTTCCCAGCATTCGTACTTGGCAGCGCCGGAGTCATGGTGGCTTTTTCACATACGAAGTAAGTCCCAAATAGTAGCGGCCTCCTGAACACGGTTTATTTGTTTCATAGTATTGCTATCTTCCAAGCTGCGCCTTCATCCATGTCCGGCACAGTTGGTGCCATGTTCAACGGCGCGCTTCAATTTGGATCCGCAATTGGCCTCGCTGCTATAACCTCGATAGAGACATCTGTGGAGGCCACTCACGGAGGTTCGCATGAGTACGCTGGAAGAGCTGCGTCGTTTTGGTTCCTTCTTGGAATTGTTGCTCTTCAATCCATTTCGATATCGATCTTTTACGACCGCAGTACGGACCACAAACCCCAACCAAAGTATGACAACGCTATGCATTCTACATCACACAGCACGACGGATTGCGGTGAAAAGCTCGGCGATAGGAATGTGACCACCGCAACTGAAGTAAACTAAAGTGTATATTTCTTTGGACGACTTTCCCAGACGTATTTTCGATTACGCACTACTACTTTCCGAGGTTTGGGGACATTTCACTCATAGTGTACTTATATGCATGAATATCTTCATCACAAATGGGGACTTGACGATTCTTACTGCTTATTGGTCGCAGAACAGAGGTGGATTCGGCAATTGGTAGCGGCTTGTGTTGGCTGTTCTGGACTCCTTCAATTATAATATATCATCATCGCCCATGCCGGACCTACCGCATCTATCCCGCGCTGGATTGCAACCCTCGAACGCGGCGGCTCGGTGTTAGTTGCCGATTCACACATAGGGAATGAAGATCAATTGCTTGTGGCAAGTTGAACGCTTGTCTGGTCTCGCTTGTTGCATGTTGACTCCGGCGACAAGCCCTGCTTGGTAGTTCCCTCGGGATAGATTGGGATGCGATGAGTATGTGGACTTTGTGATACAGGAGCTTGAACTTAGCCTTCAGCTCGGGATCAACGGCTGTCTCCCAATGGGCCGATGGGTCAACGTCAATGACGCGTCGATAAAGCCAAAAACACGATAATCTCAACGCCTACCTCGACGCTCGGCCTACCGTGAACCACATCGATTTTATTCTCATCCTCCAGGGTAGGTCCAAACAGGAGCAACTTGTTATATGTGTCCGAGAGCTTAGTGAGGATGTCGAACGTTTCTCCGCTCTGGCTGGGATCTTAAAAGTTACGGTGAACGCGTTTGAATCTTGTCTCACCTCAAGTTAACCGGCTCTTCAGCATGTTACACCCCAAAGAATTCCGAACTAAATTTCTAGAGACCCACTAGATGTCATTATCGCGATTATGGCCTACAGATGTGTTACGGCCACGGAATAATGGGTACAAATAGGGTTGAAGCTAGGCGCTTCGAAGTTTGATTTAGAATCGATTTAGAAAACGCGTTAAACGTTAACGCGGACGCGTCAATTATTCTCACGACTCATTACTTCACGTCTTCCATGACATCCACGAGAGCCAAGGACTTCCTCACCAAAGAGCTATTTATTAAGAAAAATGTGGTACGAAGGACGTGCACCCTCAACGTCTAATATCGACGCGATTATCTTTGCCAGGTCACATTCCGGTCCTTGAGTCGCGAGCTCGGTATTCACGTCAATGACGCCAAGAAGTAAGACATTCTAATAACTTCGTATTGAATGGAGTGCTACATATATGCAGTGAGCTTGCCGCGTATCTAGCGGAAACAGCAAACACCGACACATCATCATTCGCGACGTACATGGTCTCTGGTCAGATCGCTCCACTGCACAACAATGGAAGCCTTGATGCAATGGACGTCATTCACGATGATGACAATGCATACCAATCTGTAATGCGCTCGAAGATAGTTCTGGTAGACTGTGATGGTCTGCAACGTCCGTGTTGTTTACTCTTCTACGCGCCCTGATGCTAATGAGAGCGGTGTGCCACAGGCGCGAAAGCTCAATTCTCTCGTATACATTCCGTGTATATATACGGCTTGTCTCCCTCGGTCTTACGTGTAGGTGTTTCATGCAAGGGCTGACCAAGCACACTCATGTTTGGGCAGGACGCTGGTTTGATTTGCCAACCGACGGTCAGTGTCCGGAATACAGACACAAAGGGCAATCCTGCGCTCAATGGGAAAATAATCGGTGAACATGTGAAGGTCGTTCTCGAATATTTTAATACTTCCTCGTGATCTCATAATGACACAGACCAGGAAAGGACTACCCAAAAATGTCTCTGCCGCATCATCATCAAAGACAACCTTGGATGCGCGGAAGCCAGTCGTCCCCCAACCATCTATTTTACCGCGAAAAGTAGAGCAGACGACAGCCAAGGGTAAGCAGAACGAAGTGTCAAAAGACAAGGAGCATGCAAAACCACTTGTTAGAACGAAAGAACAAACCAAGCCGACTGGCAAATTAGATTGGAGTAAGGGCAAGAATAAGGAGCAGGAGGCCACATCAGGAGCACGCGTCAAGGACAAGGCCAAACCTCAACCTAGACAGGATACTAAAATTTCGTCGCCATCGGCAAAGTTGGCTGATAAAGCGTCGGGCAATAGTGATGCGGGTCTGCAATCGATGAAGCAGCCCATCTCAAAGGTACCTGCAGTCGAACCAAAGGTACGTTGGCAATATTGTTTCTAGGGAGGTCCATGATCAATCGTTACTCGACTCCAGCGAGCTGTTAAGCGTAAATCACCTGATCCATCAGACTCGGATGTAGACGTTGAAGACAAGCCAACGCTCAAAGACAGGAACGTAATGCCAATGAGTAATGCAAGAGTGAAAAAGGGTGTCGTGGTGTCGGACGACGACGACAAGGAAGTCCCGAGCAAGTCACACAAAAAAATCACTCGGTCGACTTCAGATTCCGAGAGGAGCCTTGCAGCAATGATGGATATTGATGATGGTCTGTTGTTACGGACTATGCCTAATGGCATGCTAATCAACCAGCAGATCAAGTTGTCAGGGCATCTCGCTTGTCCTCTCGTCGCCCCGATGATGTGGTAGATGATACTGGTGACGAGGTCGACCAAACTGACGTTGACGCTCTGATATCTAGCCTCGGCGAGGAAGAGGAGGAGGATGTCAAGCCGCAGGCTAAGAAGAGGAAATCTAAGAAGGTAGTCCCCGTCGGGCGCAACGGTTTGAAGAAACGTCGCGTCTTAAAAAGCCGCACCACCACCGATGCCAAAGGCTACATGCGTATGTTTACGATCCCCCAAGTGATAAATGCGCCGTTCTTATGACGGTTTCCCAGAAACGGAAGATCATTCTTCGTATGAATCCGCCAGCGAAGAGGAAGCTGTGCCCGCGGAAGTGAAGAGGAAATCTAGGAAAGTGGTCCCTGTCGGGCGCAACGGTTTGAAGAAACTTCGTACCGTGAAAAATCGCACCACTACTGATGCCAAAGGCTATACCCGTATGTTCATCATTCCAAAGTGATAAACGCAATATTTCTCATCAGGTTTTCCCAGACACGGAAGAATACTCTTCGTATGAATCCGTCAATGAAGATGAAGATGAAGCTATGGAAGTTGCGCCCAAGGATGTAAGAAAGTCCAAAGGCAAGAAAAAGGCAGAACCGAAGTTGAAGGATGAGGCAGGGGACAAACCGGTGCAGGCTAATTCAAAGATCAAGGAGACGAACTCCTTACGCGGGACTAAATCCAAGGCTGGGAGAGCACCGAAACGCGGTGGTCTTTTGAATTTCTTTGGACCCGACAAGAAATAGCGGCCAGGTTACACTAGGGAGCAGGCAATGTAACTATGATTTTGGCTGTTCAAATAGGATACAAGTACTCCTCGGATTATTATTTCGAGGTGGGGAAACCTGGTAACGGTTCAGTGGTCTAATGGTTATGATTTCTGTCTCACACACAGAAGGTTCTGAGTTCGATCCTCAGCTGAACCACTTTTTGCAGTTGCTTGGTACAATTCGGTCCTTACATATCAAGATATCTGGGTGATAGAGGTGCGATACTCGCAAACGGGCGGACACCGCAAGCATAAGTACGGATAAGATCGTAAACTCCTAAGGCGTGAGCTTCCCTATAAATATTTAGCTCTACCACCAGACAACCCCTTTCATGATTCTCCTTCCGGTTCTAACTACTTTCGCTTTCAAAACCTCACTATCTGCTCCAAAATCTGCTCCCACTTCTACGATGCCGCTCGGATGTTTGATTCTGACAAACTCACAATCCTCCACCTTCCCGAGACGCATTGACTCAGTCAAATCCCAAGCTAACGTGCCCTCGACTTTCGCAGCAACACCAAGACACAGACCCACTGTCATGGGTACGGCTTTATGCAAGATGCCCATCGAGAAGACATGAATACCAATGTCATGATCTGTGTTACACGACGGCGACAGCACTGCAATTTTTGGCTGGGCTTGCGAATTTGGATCAAGGCCCATCTTAATCGCACCTGCCCGTCTGATATACTCCATCAATTCCCGCGAATTAGGGGCTGAAAAATCAATGAGGGACGAGGGGCGAAGAACGCGACATAAGTCTGCATGTGTTACAAACACTGTGGGATTTGTGGCGTCGACGAGGGAGACTGGGATTTCTTGGTCGTGCGTGTTCACGGAGTCAAGTGGCTTCCCTGTAGGAAGTAGTTTGCCAGTGCGCGCACCTGCTGGGGAGATAAATTCGAGGGTGATTTGTGAAGCCTTTCCCGGGACCCCTGCTATTGTGGTCTGTGGCAGGTCTAGTTTGGGCTGTAGGCTACCGCCAGCAAAGGTCACGGGAAATGTAGTATCAATTGTTTTATTTGTATTCGTGTTATGAGCTCGAATGGTAGTGGTGGTTCCGGATAGAGCGCAAGGATCTCGGGAACAAAATCCTTCATCCATGGCGAATACACCAACCATGCTGGAAAGGTTTCCACAATTTCCAGAGAAGTCGACGGTGGTATCACGGATTCCCACTTGGACAAAGGTGTACTCGGCGTCAATGCCTTGCGCCTGCTGTTCCACAGAGGCTGAGCCAACGACACATATTTTGGACAGGCTTGATATACCACCGCCCATGCCATTGATCTGGAGACCATTGGCTGTGTCCGGGGAGCCCATAATCCCTAGGAAAATGGGGCCCCATTGAGATTGGTCTTCCGGAAGATGAGCCCTGTTCAGGAATATGCCTTTCGATGTTCCTCCACGGAGGAAGGTGGCTGGGATGGGGTTGAGAGTGGTAAATGTCCTATGTAGGTGATGCGACTTGGGCGAAAGACGAATGGTGGAGGGCAGCATATCTACAAGACGTGACACTGAGACTTTGGCTATTAAGTCTTAAAGCTTAAAGATCTAATCTAAAGGCTACACTTGGTCCTATGATGATTCCTATCTGGATCTGACCACGTAAGTACTTGTGCTGACTAATTTGTCTAGAATGGTTGATCTCAATCGGTTTGAACTAACCCTGCAGCACACTCATTTTTCTTTCGTAGGAGCGGCTGGGTTCACTTTAATTAGTGAGAAGGAATAGGTCTCCCAATGGTTTTTGCAGGTAGCCTTAGGGCGAATAGCGTGTCTTGCGCTAAACAATTACGCTCAAGTCACTCCCGAGCATTACACAAGACCGCTCCACGATTATCACAGAGCTTGGGTACTCAGATTGCTGCCAGGTTAGCTAGCCCAAGACATTTTTCGACATCTCTCGTTACCCCTGCTCGCTCATCTCCTCTTCTATCCTCCCCGCGCTGGTCAGGCAATAACAAGCCCACCTCTCCAGCATCGTCAGAACCCGAGAATGACACGGCAGGATCGAGTAGCCAGTCTGTCAAGCTTGATGGCGCAGATGACGAAAGTCCAGCAGGCTCATCCGCCCAGTCATCATCCCCACCGTCTTCTTCCTCTGGTGGAGATAATGGCGACGGTTCCGATCCACCACCACCATCTCCACAACCGACACCCACTCCCAGCTCAATAGCTAAACAATCCGTACCAGAAGTCTATCCCCAGGTTCTTGCTCTCCCAATTGCACGACGTCCCCTCTTTCCCGGCTTTTACAAGGCTGTTGTCGTTCGCAATCCAGCTGTCGTTGCTGCTATCAAGGAGATGATGAAGCGAGGTCAACCCTATCTCGGTGCTTTCTTGCTAAAGGACGAGCATACGGATAGCGATGTCATTACGGATATTAATTCGGTTCATCCGGTCGGTGTCTTTGCTCAGATTACTAGCGTGTTTGCTGCGAACAGTGGTACTGGTGACGACAAGGAAGAGGGTCTCACTGCTGTTTTGTATCCACACCGTAGAATCAAGATAACGGAACTAATCAAGGCTGGTGAACATACTAGTACTGCTAAAGTGCAGGAAGAGACGCAAACGGTTACCCCTCCTCCCACACCAACTGAAGGTGATGTCGCGAACATATCACAAGGTATGTCTCTCACAACTCATTGCAATAAGTAATTCACCGTCCTTCTCAGGTCCTGTTCAAACCTCATTTCTGCACAAGCATGCTATCTCCATCGTTCAGGTAGACAACCTCGTAACACAACCATACAATAAAGACGACCAGTACATTCGTGCCTTTATGTCTGAAATTGTTTCTGTCTTCAAGGACATCGCCCAGCTTAACCCTCTCTTCCGCGACCAAATTACCAACTTCTCTATCAACCAGGTTGCGTCCAATGTCTTTGACGAGCCCGACAAGCTCGCAGACTTTGCAGCCGCTGTATCCTCTGGTGAGGTCGGAGAACTTCAAGACGTGCTTGAGAGTCTCGTTGTCGACGACCGTCTCCGCAAGGCCCTCCTCGTTCTCAAGAAAGAGCTTATTAATGCTCAGCTCCAGAGTAAACTCTCACGCGACGTGGATAGCAAGATTGCGAAGCGTCAACGCGAGTACTACCTGATGGAGCAGCTCAAGGGGATCAAAAAGGAGCTCGGTATGGAATCAGACGGGAAAGACAAGCTTATTGAAAAATTCAAGGAGCGTGCCACCTCGTTGAAGATGCCAGAGGGCGTTCGAAAGGTCTTTGACGAGGAACTCAACAAATTGATGGGACTGGAACCTGCTGCTTCGGAGGCGAATGTGACGCGCAATTACCTCGAATGGCTTACTCAAGTGCACAATTTGTCATCTTTCATTTTTTGTACTGACGCTTGTGTTACAGATACCATGGGGCCAGCACACACCTGAGAACTACTCCATCACACACGCTCAGAAAGTTCTTGACGAAGACCATTATGGTCTGAAAGACGTTAAAGACCGCATACTGGAATTTCTTGCTGTGGGTAAGCTTCGGGGAACAGTCCAAGGCAAGATCATCTGCCTTGTTGGGCCTCCCGGCGTTGGCAAGACATCTATTGGTAAATCAATCGCCCGCGCGCTTAACAGACAATTCTTCCGCTTCTCGGTCGGTGGCTTAACGGATGTAGCAGAGATCAAGGGCCACCGGAGGACGTATGTTGGTGCGCTTCCTGGAAAGATCATCCAAGCGCTGAAGAGGGTAGGGACGGAAAATCCGTTGGTCTTGATTGATGAGGTGGATAAGATCGGGAGAGGCATCAATGGTGATCCTGCTAGCGCGCTGCTTGAGATGTTGGACCCTGAACAGAACAACGGATTCTTGGATCACTAGTGAGTGTTTTCCATCACTTCGCTTCTGCATGACGTATATTCATCCTTCTTAGCATGGATGTTCCCGTCGATTTGTCCCGCGTTCTGTTCGTCTGCACAGGTGAGTTGCCGAGAGAATATCTCGTGTCGCTCGTACTTACACTTCATATTTTTCAGCCAACAATCTTGACACGATCCCAGCACCTCTCCTCGACCGCATGGAGGTCCTTGAAGTCAGCGGATATGTCTCCGAGGAGAAATGCGTTATTGCAGAAAAGTATCTCGGACCACAGGCAAAGGAAGCGTCAGGCTTGAAGAACACCGACATTGTCCTCGAACCCTCTACCGTTGATGTGCTCATCAAGTATTACTGCCGAGAGAGTGGCGTGCGGAATCTGAAGAAGCATATTGACAAGGTGGGGATTGCGCTAATACTATGTGCATGGCTCACGGGTGCTGTAGATTTACCGGAAGGCTGCACTGAAACTCATCCTCGACCTTGGCGAAACCGTCTTCCCTGAACCATTTCCAGCTACGGCTGCCAGTACACCTGCTCCCTCGAGTGCTGCCGATCCTCAGCCCAAGACTGTTGAGTCTCAAGAACCACCTGCCAACGAGCCTAATAAGGTCGCATCAGAGGAAAGTACACGCAATGAATCTAGCGACCACAAAATTGTGACAACACAGGAACGCAAGCCACTACAGATTCCTGATGATGTTCACGTTCGCATCACACCAGAGAACCTGAAAGACTACGTTGGTCCGCCTGTCTATCACAAAGACAGGATGTACGTGTCTCCTCCACCTCCAGGTGTCAGCACTGGTCTAGGATACTTGGGCAATGGGTCGGGTGCTGTCATGCCCGTCGAAGCTACTGTTTGTTTGTTTTCTACGATTGGATGCAGATTATGCTCATGATTCTTCACAGAGCATGCCTGGTAAGGGTGGATTGCAGTTGACTGGTAAACTCGGCGAAGTTATTCGCGAGAGTGCGCAGATTGGGCTTAGTTGGGTCAAGGCTCACGCATACGAGCTTGGCATCACTAAGACGCCCGAGGAACAATTCCTCACGGACCGTGATATCCACGTTCACATGCCTGAGGGCAGTATTGGAAAAGAAGGTCCCAGTGCTGGGACTGCTATCTTATCGGCCTTTGTGTCTCTCTTTACCAAGACGAAGATCCATCCAGACATCGGTACGTTGTATTGTTGTATTTATTTCCAGCGGCTCACCTTTTTATTCATCAGCCATGACTGGCGAGATATCGCTCGTCGGCCAAGTGCTTCCTGTCGGTGGTCTTAAGGAGAAGATCTTAGCTGCTCATCGTGCAGGTATAAAGACCATTCTAGCGCCCGCAGCGAACCGCGCCGACATCGAAGAGAACGTCCCAGAAAGTGTCAAGACAGGAATCCGCTTCGTATATGTCGAAGATGTACGGGAAGTCCTGCACGAAGTTTTTCGAGGTCAAGATATTGTTGAGCGGTGGAAGGATACGTTATCGTTATAGTCTGGTTCTGCTACATCATTACTTATTCTATCTCGTTCGATCGATCGACAAGAAGTCGATTGATTGATTGATTGCCTTTCTATCTGATTGCACACTTGCATAACTAGACTTACTTTTACCTATCCGCACAGTATACTGCAATGGCTGTATTTTACACAATAAACCCAACTCATGATCTCATGGCGCGGTTTTTCTTTTGGTGGTGGTTGTATGCGCTTGTTTTGTGTTGCACTTGACCAACTTGGTTTGCGGCACTGAGAATTCCATGTGTTCATCCCACTCTGACAGCCCGATATCGCTGGTTGTTTGCACTGTGCAGCGCGTGAAGCACACCTTATCTTCTGCTCGCTAGTGTCCGCTTTCTCATGGAACTCCGAAGGAACATCTATTTGTCTGTTTAAGTGATGTCATGTGCGCCGCCGCTGGAGAAGGGCTGTAAACTGTGCGTCCCCATATCTTTTCTTCATAGGAGTGATGATAAAAGTTTTGGTTCCATCCACGGCAGGAGCTACAGATTGTGCCAGAGTGACTCGAGTCTCCATTGACATGAGTGTATGACGTACACCGAATATTGCAACTAAGGAAATGCTGCGCGTTCTTAGCAGGCTCATGCATCACATCCTTCAGCGTACTTTCAGCGCTGGCAGCTGGAGAAGGACTCCATCGGTCGATTCGGAGAATACTTATCTCTAGTCGTGGTCTAAAGTTAGATATATGCTTCTCCCGAATTTAGCTCCTTATCGGTTCCTTGAGGTCTTGCCCATATAATACAAGTTCGTTGCCGTCAACATTTCATTTTCCACTTGGAAGGTCTCTGCTTTGCTTTACATCATGCACGACATTGATGATTCCGTAGTGCCTGGATCAGTCTACCTTGTCGACGTCCAGGAGAAAACGACGGTAGTGCACGCAGAAAATGACAGTGCCATTGTACTCAGTCCGACGCCTTCAAGTGATATTAACGATCCTCTGAACTGGAGTAGAGGCCGGAAACTTTTGCAGATCGTCTGCGTGATGATATGTGTGTCTCAAGAACTGATATATGATCATGTGTTGGACTCTTACTCAGTCTATAGACACAAGCGCTATCGGCATCGGGACGACTGTGCTGTACTCCATCTTGCAGCCTATTTCCAATGATACGGGGATACCTCTTGCAACGCTTAATGCGGGCACCGGATACAGTAGGCTTGTCTCTACATTTATTCTCATATTTATATTCAACGGTGTCATTGTTGTTATGAAAAGTGTTTCTTTGTAGGTCGTCATCATTGTCCCTCATGATCGGGTTTAGATGACGTCGGAATACCAGTCTTAGGCTGGGGAGCGTTGATAAATCAACCGCTCGCTCTTACCTTTGGAAAGCGTGGTATATACCTGATTTCAGTCCTTGGCAACACTGTAAGAGTCTGACGGCGAGACATTAACGACTTAAAGGTTAACTAATGTTTGGCAGGCTCTCTGTCTATTAACACCGTACATCAAGACGGAAGGCCAGTGGTATGCAGCGCATTTTATAGCTAAATGCCACTCATTGATCATTTACCACCAGGATCGCCAGCAAAATCGTACAGGGTTATCTCTGCACTCCTGTCGAGAGTCTGTGCGAAGTCAGCATTGCAGATGTGGTAAGCACACCAAGATCTCTGCTTATTCAAATAAGCCTACTTCACCTAATAGTTCTTTGCGCATGAGCGTGGAACGTATATTGGAATTTACACGCTCTTCCTGTTTGGGTCGGTCTTGAGTGTATAGACTTTGACTTGCACTGACCTCCCGAGTAGGTCAAACTACTTTGCACCACTCATCGCTGGCGTGCGTACCAAATTGCACATCGGTTTCTAAATCTTATCCTAACTTTTGACCAAGTTCATATATGATGGCCAAGGATGGCATTGGGTGATGTACTGGGCTGCGATCATAAACTTCGGTTCCCTCATAGTGTTGTTTTTCTTTATGGAAGAGGTGCGTCGCATGTGATTAGTACTGATCATTGCTTATACCTAAGTGTAGACAAACTTCGTACGCAATACAAGTGAAGCGACAGAAGCCGTGCGCTTCAGCGCCAAACCAGGTGCTGAGAAAGGCGACAAGGAGTCAACTACTTCATCCCCTGTCCCTTCTTGGGATTTGACAGGCATACCTAAAACATATTCGCAGCGGCTCGCTTTATTTGGTGGGCGCTATGCGTCAAACAAGCTGCTGTTCACGATGACGTACCGTCCTGTAATTCTGCTGCGCTTCCCTGTCATTTTCTGGTAAGCCATCCGTTGGAAATGCAGAAAATGCAAATTGACTTCTTCAATAGGGCAGGGTTTCAGTATGGAACGTGTCTCGTGTGGTATAACGTCCTGAATGCCACTTGTTCATTGATCCTCAGCGAACAACCCTATAACTTCAGAGCGAGCTTTGTCGGATTGACCTACCTCGGCCCTTTGATTGGCATGTTTCTGGGGTAAATTTCTCTTAAGTTGCCCTCGTAATATCCTCTGACATTGGTGCAGGACATTCTATAGCGGGTGGGTGGGTGACCGGTTTGCTGTGAGATATGCTCGTCGAACGCGTGGGATTCGAGAGCCAGAGCATCGCCTTTGGCTCATGGTTGTTTCGCTTCTTTTATGTCCAGCTTCTCTCATCCTCTGGGGAGTTGGTGCGTCCAAGGGCATTAGCTGGGTTGGCCTCGTCTTTGGCATGGGCATCATTTCTTGCTCAACCGGTATTGGCTCTTCACTCTCTATAAACTACGCCCTGGATTCATACAAAGATATGAGTGGGGAGGTAATGATGGCTGTCATCCTTGTTCGCGTAAGTACGCCAACTTGTCACTCTTCACACTTATACTGAATATGAGTTTTCTTGAATGTAGAATACCCTTTCGTTTGCTATTGTAAGTCGAGACATTTACTTCACCTTAACATTTTGACGCGTGTTCTTGCAGGGATATGGGATCACCCCTTGGCTTCACATGGGTTACCAGAACACGTTTATATCCGCAGGCTTTGTCGGGCTTGCTATTACAATGACTTTCCTCATTGTTATCAAGTGGGGAAAGAGCTGGCGAATAGCGAGTCGTAAAAGGTATTGGGGATATGTTGCTGATGGTACTCTCGGGCATTAGACACATTAACAAGCTGATTTTCAAAATGTCCAACGTCATCCGCACACGAGAAAGAAAGTTGTTATATGTTTCATACGATCTATCAAAATTTCAAGACCCCTGTGAGGAACTGGCATGTCGAGACGTTACTTTTTATATGCAGGTGAATGTATGGATGTGCTTACTAATATCCCTGGCACTTCAACAAGGCATCTTTACCTTAGAAGCCAATATTGAAGCTTAGCATACATCCGAGTCAACGCAGGAGTTGACTGGCTCGTCTCGAAGTAGAGTTGTACCATTGTCAACACCTGGGATCAGCCAAACGATACAGCAGACCAGCCAATTTCAGGTGTTTCTACATCTCCCATGTAGCTAGTAAGGTGTCTCGAATTTCCATTAGACTAACTGTCATCGCTTTAACTTCCAGTGTCAGAACCGCAACATTGCCCCTAATATCCTGTGTGGTGCTACTAATGTCCTGCGCAGTGCTACTCATGTCCCGCACGAGGATACAAGTACGATTGTTGTTGATGTCCTGGAGCAGTTTGTTGATGGCATCCCCCTGTGCAAAAACTTTATCTTTCATGTCAGAGACTCATCGGGTGTTAGGACTTCCGTTAAGTGACCTCGATTGCGTGTCCCGATCTGGCAGCGATCGAAAATGGCGCGCACCTGTCACCGAACAAGATATTTCACAGCAAGGCATGTAAACACTCCCTCGGTACTTCGACCATCCCTTAAACCCACGTCCCAGCTTCAGGAACCCCCGTGAATTGCAATGGATCCATAGTGCTAGGCTATTGGTGGATAGCGACATGTTGAGAGATCACGTCTGATTTTCCGGATTTACCTTCTCCGTCAATCCATACCGTCGCATTGTCTACGCTTAGGCGTGCCACTCGTTATTCGCCTGAATTGAATGCATTCTGGTTCCAAGGGTCATCAGGTACGAACAATGGGAATGCATCCGATTTTGACACTCCCCAATACCTGCAATTCAGCGTGCCCTTACCTCCCCTAACATTATTTTTCTTCTAAATTCGAATCGCGGGCCTGCTCCGCAAGCGCAACTGTCTTTCCCTGCACAAAAGCATGCTTTATTTGGAGCAGCAAGGCGTGTATAAATTTTTCGATCAGTGCACTGGGAAATATGGATCCAGGGAGCAGACGTGGATTCAGAGGAGCGTGTCACTATATGTACGTCTACGAGCATTCTGACATCAAAGTAGACTCGTCACCGTTTCATATGTCAGTAACGTCAATACAAATGATTCGATGTTCTGAGTGAAACGAGGCGTTTAAATAATAAAGGCGGGGACTCGGGGGTTCATGAATTCAGACGTAGTGCACTGAAGGACAATTGTAAATGGTGATTGCAAAGCCAGCGTGATACGCATGTCTATCAGCTTGAAGAAGGTCATAGAGTACACCAACATCATAGATAAATGACTACACTAGTATCCATCTCCTCATGACCCCAGGTGATTGATAACTGCTTGCAGTATCCTGCGCGTAAAAATGAGAACACCGGATGCTTGAGAAGAGTCATCACATACATGAAGACTAAGATGAAGGACCTCTGTAGATATCGAGTGTGAACTTTACCACACGTTCAAAGACTGCGGTGCTCTGTCCGACCTCGGACACCTGAAGAAAAAAGGAGGTCCCAGTCGAGTCTCTGTGTTGGGTTAACTGCCGTAGCATTCTGATAACGTCGTCTCCTTGATGATAGTCGAACAAACGACTGGAGACACGCCGCCCACTTTGCTCCCATTCAAAGTCGAACTTGAGTCCGGGGAAACCATCTTTCGGGGAGTCTTGGACTTTCTTCTGAAGTGAAAGATTGGCACTAACTTTGAGCGGACCATTGCCTGCACCAATCAGTAACTTGCATGGGTAGGTGAAAGCGGTCACTCACTTGACAGCTCGCTATCGAGTATTGCTGAAACAGTGACAGCACAAATCGGATTAGGGTTATCGCGGTCAGCAATGGCTGCAAATGAGAACTCGACGATTCTGGATCCCCAAGCAGCATTAATAACCTTCCCCTCAATTCTGGCGTGCCGTTGATCAGCAGCAAGAGCCGCTGCTTGAACCTTGGAAAACCACGTCTTGCTTGTAGCCCAGCTCCACATGTCTGAATGGAGAGTCGCCGTTGCTGACAGCCCTGCACCTTGCTCGAGAAGGTATATGACAACATCATCTTCCAGACATTTATCAAGAGCAATATGTAGTACCGTTCTGGCGGTCCAGTCCTGCAAAGATAGATTACAAGACGGTTCAACGAGGGCTTTTAGGACGGGTAGCAATTCGGTGGTGCCATTGTGTGAGAGGAAATCGTGGATAGGGGTAGAACCGTCGACTGTGAAATTGACATCCGCACCGCGTTGACGAAATTTGCGAATAGATTCGTGCGACAGGTCTTGCATCAACATCAAAACAGCTGTGTGCAGGATGTCATCAGGTAGGTTGACCTCTGTTTGTGACAGCAAGAAATCTACGGCGACGTCACTTCCAATCACAGCTGCCCACGAAATTGGAGCATAGGAGCCGTCACAATGGAAAACCTCTGGTTTGATGGAAGAAAGCTTGTTGAGATCAACGCCCAGCTTCAGGAGAACATTGAGACAGTCGGGGTTCTTGGTCATGGCGAAAATCAAGGGAGAACCCCAACCAGGGGCAACATCCTCGTCCAGTAGATCGGGGTGCTGCTTGATGATGAATTCGACCATCCACGGCTTTCCGTGCTGAAGCGGGATGCATAGAAGTGATGGCAAAGTCATAGCAAAACCAAACCACCTATCACAACTAGGTAGGTAACCCGGAAAACTATCTTGAGTCGCAAGAACACAATGTTTCTTGGTATTTTGACGAAACTCCGAATTTAGCCGTGACAGGGCGGTCATAATGCAAGGATCCTCCTCCGAAACATGTTTAAGATGCTGCCATCCTTGAACTGCATAGCTAAGCAACAGATGGTCTTCGCTGACATCCGCAGCATCAGCTGAGTTTTCGCCTATACAAGCATCAATTTCTTAGCTCATATACGTGAAAGATGGTAACGCACAATTTACGCAGACCTCATCCACGAAGTCGCACAATACATACGTAATCAAAAGCTCGCAGATCCGTGCGTGCATGTCTGAAGTCGATTTGAAGACGTTATTAGGGCGATTGATCAAGTATTCCTGGTTGCGCAGTGCATCAGCGGACGAGTAGGATGTCGGAATTTAATACATCATACTTTGACGCTATAATGAGATAGAGCGACGACACCAGTTTTCTCATCGTAGGTCACAAGGCTTCCACACACGGCCACGATGTCCAAAGGGTCCATCACACCAAGGTTTGGATTGAGTTTTGATTTTCCGACTTCAATCATCATCGCTTCGTTGAGCTGATCAAGCGTCAATGGGGTGAACGCGCCGGCCAGCCAAAGTAAGCAATTCTGAGCGATTTTATCGTCGCTTCGTCCTCTTTGTTTGATGGTCTGGATAATCCTATCATACGTCTCGTAAAGTCCAGCCGGAAGGTTATCGAGGGCTTCCTTGATATCGACAAGTCTTTTGCAAGCCACGATTTCGTCTAGTTGACACTGAACCCAGCGAAACCTATGCATGATCATACTACGATGAATTTCTGAGGAGCGAGCGGAAATTGCTTTACTTACATGCCCTCGGCCTTTTCTAACAATTTCTTCAAAATTGTGTTCTTCAGCTCATCGGGTAGGCATGACAAACGTGTTTGATTCTCCAGCTGCTCACTAATGTGAACCAGAATATCTCTCATTTGTCCTGCCTCGTCTGTCAGCGATATGGTGGGGAGAGCATTGAAGGCATTGTGTATGTGTGACTCGCTTCTACTGGTGACGAAAAGTCGTAGTGGTGCATCTTTGGCAAGGGTTACAAGATGTCCCACGAGGTCGGGGTAGTCCTTGCATTCGTCCAAGGCGTCAATCACGAGGACTGGTCGGCTAACTAGTGTAGACACTTCAACCAGAAGCTTTCGTAGAGATTCCAGATCTGTGGGATGTGGTTCTGCATTATGTTGTTGCTGCCAGAGGTTTCGCAGAGAAACAAGATCCCCTTGCAGCCCTGGCTTGCTTATCTTGGTGACCCAGTCTACTTCAGACTGTTGGAGAAATTGAACCACCAAGGAGCGCACAACTGCAACTGCGCTTGTCATCTGGTTGTCTCGAAAGTTGCAGTAGAAAAAAGCGAGCGTCTGTTGCTCTGCTTCACCGCTATTCTGAACTTCGTTGATAATGGAGGAACTGCACGTTTAGAAATTAATCTGAGCTGTCTAAAGACCCTCTGAGTCCGAACTCACGCAAGGATTGTTTTTCCATGTCCAGCTGTCGCGAGTGTCAGTGTCCTGCAATCAGTGATGAATGTAATATAACTCACCCTGCCCATTCAACCATAGGAATGCGCGATCGGATTTGTTCCAGGCCACATACTGATCAGTGTCGAAAATCCAACGACCGGTGTTGGGGTTGCGCTGGCGACAGGAGGCGTTGTGCTTCTCAATACAAGACACAGGGTTCATCCATTGAAGGAATTTTCGACGTCTCTGGGCTATAGAACCTTGTATTAATTCCTGGACTCCACGGTCGACTTCCTTGAGCGTGATCCTGGCGCTGTTGGATTAGCACTAGCATTCATCACGAGCAAATCAACTTACCGTGAGTCTATTGCTAGAACTGTTGTGATATCGCCATAAAAGCTTTTCAGTCTCTCAACAATCGTTGCTGCTTTCTCTTCCTTGAATGGCCACATCAATCTGGATATCTTGCCTATTTTTCTGTTCTCCTGCTTGTCTCGTAGAAGTTTCTTCAGTTCTTCGTGTAACTTCGTGATTGGTCCATTTTCGGCCATCAGTCTTGAAAGTACATCGCGGAGATTATTTGGAAGAGAGGAATCGTTCTGAATCTCTTTGACTGCGGTCAGGACTCCAAGGATTGAATTGAGCTGGTTAAGCAGAGTCTGGCAGGATGAGTCAGCATTGCGGACGGAAGAAATGTATCCATACACAAGAGCTGAAGTTTGCGCTATCGTTTGAATGAGTGTAATAATGGTCACGCCGGCGGTGATGGGATCCATCTTGACAGTAGAGGACATAACCCTGGCACGGTCGCCTTAAATCGAGGGTGTTATGAGCACCCTCCCAGGCGGCCCTCAGGCGTGGGAACGGCCTTCCCCTTCAGGGTTTTTTTTTCGTCTCCCCCACGGTCCCTCGCGGCCTTCCTGGACGGCCGCCCGCAGGTCCCCCCCCCCCCCTTGGAGAAAATACGGCTTCGTGGCCTTCCAGGACGGCCGCCAATGGAGGGCAGTCCATTTTTCCCACGGCCCCCCCTTCCCACCAGGGTTTCAGTTCCCACGCTCCCACGAGGAAACCCCCGGCTCGCGGCCTTCCAGGATGGCCGCCTGTGGGGGGGGGGGCCGTCCATCTTCCCCATGGCCCCTCAGATTTTGGTTCCCCCATGCTCCAGGGGAGGAAACACCAGCTTGCGGCCTTCCAGGACGGCCGCCCATCTTCCCCTTGGCCCTTCTCGGACTGACTCCCTTTCTGACTGTCTGAGACTGTCACCCACATGGCATGAAGGTCGAAATCCGCCAGACTGCCACTTCCACCCCCATGCCTCTCGAATGGGCGCTCGTTGAAAAAATGACCCCCAGTCGCGGCGGCGCTCTGGGACTGCCGTGGATGAGATAAAATGAATGTCCCCCCCACTTCTGTTGTAAAAACGACCCTGGCCCACCATGTGTGGCAGTCCAAGAATGCCGTGGCACATGAAGCCAAACATGAATGAGAGCACGAAAAAAATGACCCTTCCCCCCCCCACATGGTGGTGGTCTGGGACTGCCGTGGTGCAAAGCCAGTTGAGATGAATGAAATGAGCATCCACCTGCTTCTGTGACGAAAAGGCCCTGCCCCCATGGCGGCAGTCCAAGACTGCTGCAGCAAGTAAACCTGAGAGATGGATTTCAAACGACCGTGTGGCATATTGCTTTGCATACAAAATCGACCCTGCTCCCATGCAGCCATGGGACTCTGAGACTGCCATGGTGCAAAGGAGGCGAGTTAAATAAAATAAAACGACCCTGCCCCACTATGGCAGTGCAGTCCAAGACTGCCATGCTAAGAGTTGAATTTCAATCCAGTGCATGGCATATTGCTTCGCATGGAAATTCGACCCTGCCCCCCCGCAGTAGCACTCTAGGACTGCCATGGCGTGTGAAGCCACAATAATGGCAATGGTGAAAAGGTAGTGTGACGTTAACGCTGTCTTCTTACTTGAGGGTCTTATATTGAGTCGAGGTCAAGACTGAGGTGCTGGCTCCTCGAGTTCACGGTCAACGGATTTTCTACTTCTCGGTTGATGACGCGTTGTTTGTGGGTGGCCGAAGGGTAATGAATTACTTCTCTGCTCGATCACTTCTTGAGAAGTGAAGGAGTAGGGTATTTCGTCAGGTTAATGGAAACTCACTAATACGATGGTTTTCTGATGCAATCTCGAGGCCTTCACTTCCTTTGTGATCTCACACTGTTGAGACAGAAAGAGGGAGAACTCCTGCACTTCAAATCTTATGAATCTCACGGTGAAGAGGGAAAAACTTATTGATCATGTCCTCATATACATTTTAGAAACCATCCTTACTAAGCAATGACTCATCACTGGATTGGCAAGAATATGCTTACAAACCAAGCCTTTTGGTGTGCTGCATGACAAAACATGATAAGTCATGGAAAAATCCTTACAAATCAGAATATCACCAGTCACATGTCGTGCTTACAAACATATCTGAGTGGTTCACTGATGTAATCAAGTGGCTGAAACTATAAATGCAAGTTAATGGGAAACAGATGACTAAGCTTATGAGTGAGAAATATATCCTCACACACTCTCCTAATCATCTCCTTCTATACTTCTTCTTGCATATGTCATGGTATGAACTCCATACCATGCACGACAAAGCCACTGAGAAAAACAATTGGGAGTTGCTGGTCGCTGCTGGGGGTGACCATTGGCTACCCGAGATAGTGCAGAGTAACAATGACCCTGCCCCACGGTGGTGCTCTGGGACTGCTGATAGTGGCAGACGACATCCAGATCCAGCCACATTTTGTATCACCTCTGCATACAGGTTATTTCACAAACATGCTGCACATTAGAGCCTATTAGCATGCAAGAATGCATTCCAGATACCTTTGACTACAATGTGTTGCGAAAAAAAAAATCAAATAATGTTTATTTCCTGTCACGTTATTTCAACTTTTAGAAACACCTCGAATAGTCTTCAGACGCAGACTGATGAGGGAACATAAATTCGACGTCCTGAATTTGGCCATGTCATGTGATATATAAAATCCTACATGATCCACTAAAAATGTGAAGCAAAGTCTACCAGGACATTGGCTCACAAATCTCAGGCATGGTAACCATGCTTTGTGGCAGTGAGAAGAAATATAGTACTGCTTCCTGGCTACATACTAGCACTTGGATTATGTGATTTGGATCACAAGGCCTGAAGATATGACCATTTTAAGGTGGAGATACCATTGTGACAGTTTTGCAACTATTGTAATGATCAGGGTATTTGGAGAAATATTAGTACTTGGTATAACCTCCTTTTGCTCTAATCACTGCTTGAATCCTCCTAGGCATGCTTTCAATCAATCCCTGACACACCTCTGCTAATATCTTATTCCATTCTTCCTCAATCCTTCTCCATAACTCCTCCATTCCCTTAGGAGGGTGCTCATACTCTGCAAGCCTTCTTTTGAGATGAACCCAGAGATGTTCTAAGGGGTTAAGGTCAGGAGATTGTGCAGGCCATATCATAGTCCTAAATTCCTAGTCATCTAACCACTCCCTGACCTTTTTGCAGGTGTGCTTAGGGTCATTGTCTTGCTGAAAGATGACATCAGAAGGATTAGGATCATAAAACTCCAGGAAATTCTGAAGCTCATCCTTCAAAATTTGAAGGTAAAGATCCCCATCAATTCTACCATCAATCTTAGCAGCATAGCCAACTCCCTTCCAGGTCATACAACCCCACATCATCAAGGAACCTCCACCAAATTTGACAGTTCCTTGTACCTATAACCAACTTCCAGTCCTCCAAAGTCCAATCTCTGTGAGCATAGGCAAAGTCTAAGCGTGCTTTGGGGTGTTTGGTAGAAAGTAGAGGGTGTTTGGACTTGACTACAGCCTTCATTCCAGCTTTTTAAGGTAGCAACAAGTGGTACTTGGATGGAGAGGCTGGTTGATAATGTTTGAAAGAGATTTGGTCACTTGGACAGCAGTTTCTGCCTTCTGTGTAGAGATAAGATGAATAGCATGACTAATATTAGCAGAGGAAAGCTTAGTTGGACAACCACTAATGGACTTTTGCGAGGAAGAATGCTCTTTGGAATGAAGTCTGGAGATGGTAGCAGTGCTGAAACCAGTTTTGGAGGCAATAGAGTGAATAGAATGACCAGCATCAAGCTGGAAGAGAATGGTGTTCATTTGAGTGGCAGAGAGAGATCTCATGGTGGTGATGGTTGAGAATAATGAAGTGTGGGACTAATTTCAAACTCAGACATCATGTTTTTATGTATATCTTTATTTGTATTAACAAATAACAATAACTATCCTTTTATTTGACTGAGATCCTACCATCTATATCAACAGTTGCAAAACTGTTACAATGGTATCTCCATCTTAAAATGGTCATATCTCAATACCTTGTGATCCAAATCACACAATCAAAGTGCCAGCAGTATGTAGCCAGGAAACAGTACTATATTTTCGCTCACCAGCATAAAGCATGGTTTCCATGCCTACAGGCACTATATCGTGTATACTACAAGGATACCACACATTGTAATGGTTTTGCAAGTCACTGTAGGATCACCCAAGCACATGGTCAAGACCTTCTTGCCTTTAGGCAAAGACAAGAAACCACAATGAGAAAATCAGTCTACCTAGGAAATTCAGACCAGTGTGAGTGACACAACTTGGCTGGATACTTGGTAAAGTACCCAGCCAATATGTTGGATCTGGAGTGCCATGCCTAGCTGCTATTTGACCCACGAGGGTTTCTGTACCAGACTTAGAAAGTAAGTGTCTATCACACTGGACAAAATGGAGGCAGAGACTCAAGGGAAAGAAAATGGAGGCTGCTGGATTCCCATCCATAGTGTCATTCTTCCAAAAGAATGCAGAACCTGAGAGCTACAAACAGGAAGACAGAATGCAGGTAAGAAATAACAGATGCAAAATTGGAATATGCTGAATGATTTTCCATCAGATTACAAATGGTGCAAGGAACCAGATATGTTGCAGATCTGGAGATTGTCCAGACCCACCTGCCATCTCAGGCTGAACGAGTCACAGATCCACAAACTAATGTTGCAGCTGATTCAGATGCTGAATCCAAGTTCCCAGCCACATTCAAAATTCTGGATCATCGAGATCTCCCAGTTTTGCAAAGAGCCAAGGCTGAATTGATAGTGAGGCATGGGAAAAATAACCTCGACATGTTTATCTGTGCTCATGTTGCCAGTATGATTGCTCTCATCAGTCTGTATATTGATCCAGAGCTCAGATTTGGTCAGATGAAATGCTCCAAGCTTGTAGCGAAAGCAGTTAGAAGAGGGGTTGATCATGCCTGAAATTTATGCAGATGGGTTATGGACTACATGCGATTCTGGACACTGCCCCTCCATAGATATAGCCAAATAGGAACCTCCATTCTTGAAGATGAGGACCTTGCACACATATGTATCTCTGTCTCCAAGGCATTGCAGATACTATGGCAGCTACAGAGACGAAACAGTACCTAGGCTCGAAGACTGGCATTACCATTCAGACAGGTCAGTGTTGGCTGCATAAGATGGATTAGAGGTATAGGAAGGCAATAAAAGGAATGTACATTGATGGTCATGAGCAGTTCAGATATAAGGTGGAGGAGGAAATGTTAGTGGGAGTTTGTTGCAAAGGTTCTTGGCATGCATTATCAATGGGAATGGTGTTAGATCTGGTTGCAGGAGTCATGGGCCCATGCATATCTAGCATTGATGACCTGTTTAAATGTCTCATTCCCGAGTCACCATATGCGCAACCTGTCAGGAAAGCAAAGTATTGACCATTGCAAATGATTCATTTTGCTCATAAATTGTCTCCTGCAATTGAGCAGGAGTGCATGACATCTGGT